TTGTTCCCTCCATAGAAAATCAATGATGTAATCAGCATAATGCAGATATATATAATCAAGGATTCAACTCCACCAAAATCCCTCAATCTGCAGATACTGCAATCCAAAGAAGCTCTGTGAAAAGTTGCTTGGAATACCATTTCCATTAAAATTCGCTTCATGCAAAGCAGTGTTCAGAGTGATAGCTTTGATTAGTGGAAACAGGCAACCTTGGAGGTGAGCCAACCTTAGTAAAAATGGAACTAATAACAATTATGGTGGACCACCACCCAAATACAAGATTCAGTTTCAGGAGGGAGTCGTCAAGGTGGAGGTGAAGGGGGGGGAGGCGGACCACCATCTGACGACGAAACTGGAAGAACGGGCGGCGGCGGCGGCGGCGGTGGTGGAGGAGGTGGCGGAGGAGGAGGCGGCGGTGGTGGTGGCGGCGGCAGCGACAAGAGACTGGACGGCGATATTGAAACATCGGCAGCTCGCGAATCAGATGAGAGAGAAGGCGGAGGCGTCGCTGGCGGATTGTCGACTTCCCGAATGTGGTTAAGTGAAATTTCATGTTGCAAGGCGAGTGGTTGCTGAGCGGGAGTGGGAAAGTCAAGAAGATGTGGTGGAGCTGATCCATAGGCACCGGAACGAGCTTTAGAGAGACTGGCTTGTGGCTTTGTAGGAGGAGGGGGCGGGGGAGAGATCTGTGACTTGAATTCTTTCTCTGTCAAATACTTGGGTTTCTCAGCTAAGAGAGCCTTCAAGTCGGATACTTCCGTTTTCAGTGCCTGGATTTCATCGTCCTTCCTGGTAAAACTTTCAATCGTTCGGGACGCAATCAACTCAGCATCTAATTCAGCACCTCGTTCTTCTTCTCTGTGTTGGAAGCGTGAATAAACGGATTCCAAGGCGCGCTTCAGATACAGGATTTCTTTATCTTTGAGTGTTAATGAAGTCTCTATCTCTCCGTTCTGATTAGAATGTGGTGAGACTATGAACAAGTAAGATAAAACCGAGATATGACCCTACCCTCATTTTCAATTTAGCAATTTCTTCCATCAAGGTATTCCACTTCAGCCTATCGCGTTCCCGTTTGGCACGATCATCCTGTTGAAAAACGCGATGAGAATAAACTCATCACTAAATACACCATAAGGCTTACAGCTTCGCGCCCTTCGCTTGGATTTTGCTCTTTGAGACGATCGACCTCCGCCCGAAGGCTCATCACTTGCTTTTCTTTCTGTACAAGGCGTTGAATAACTCCATGCATGTTCTGGTGCCCGATATAAGCTTTAGCAGTAGTTTTTCCCCACATAAATGAGCCTACCTCGTGGCCTTCTTTAACAGCAGCCCTCGAGTTAGGAGTTGATGCACCCGATGACAATGACTTCAGTGTATTGACCTCTGCAACACGTTGATCAAGCTCGCCCTTCATATGATTTCTCTGAGGGAGAGAAATGAATCATTTACTGCAAGGAGAACCTTGATATATTTACCTCTTCGCTTAATTCTTCGAGTTTGGCTCGCAGGTTTTCCAGCTCCTGCTCTACCATAGACATTGAATCGAATTCTTTAGAAAGCCTTATCTCCAAAGATTGGCCGGTTATATGCACAACGGAATCAGAAAACCGCTTCATGAAGACAAGCCAATCGTCGTCACTATAAGAAAGATGTTGGTGGAAGGATACTATTACTGATGGGATACATGACTTACAAACTTTCCAGGAAAGCTATATGCTCTGCAAAGGCATCCATGGCCGTCAGGACGTCCAGTTTTAACAGACTGCAGGAACATGAGCAGACAAGGGGCCATGAATGGATTAATACTTACTTATCACTGTTTCTCTGGAGGATGTGCCCGCATTGCTTGACTAGTGACATTACCTTGGGATATACGTCACTCTGCTGTTTCGCCGTTTGTAGGATTTCTTCGAGAACGGCATCTGACTCGGACCTATCCCTGACGTGCGCGCTACTTCCGCGGATAGCCTTTTTAGCTCGTTCTCGTAGGTCCTCTTCGTCTTCAAACTTCTCCTCTGTGTAAACATCTAGCTGCGTCAGTAGAGACTCCGGGGGTTTGATATATCGTAGGGTCTGAATTCCACTCATTCATTAACTAGTAAAATAACAACAATGATCTACTCACAACTATGATTTCGTTTAGACCCCGCCGTCCAAACTCATCTCGAAGCAATATCCGTTCTTCAAGAGAATCAGGACAATTAGTCAGAGCATTGATGAGAGCCATGTAAGCTGTCCTGGCTTCCCAGATGCCTTCTTCTTCATTTGCGGGAGTTATGCTTTCAGCACCATCTTCACCATACATGTCAGGGAGACGAAGTGTGGCAACAAGTGATTCAAATCGAAACAGTTCGTCATATGCAGTCCGATAATCAGACAACGCGGCCAAGACAGCCTTGTGTCCCTCATGAAGTGAGAGAACACAGATGGCGGCCAGAAGCTCGCACGCTAACGTCCTCAGCTTCAGGGAAGGCGAATGAAGGGAGTATGAGATGTAGGTGATTATGGTAGGAGAAGACAAAACACTGTTAAAACCGGGCTATCATGATGCTTAGCGAAACGCCAACAAAACGCAACAGCCAAACTTACTTGTGTATTCAACAACACTCTGAGGCACTTCACAACCTCCAGTAACACCGTACTCTCAATATCACTTAGGCTTTTCTTTTTGCCGCCCTTACCAACAAGCCCAGCTAATAAAGTTCCTAAAGCAACCATTCCATCGCGATTCAAAAAGTCCTCAATCCATGCTAACTTAGCCGTTGACAAGTGTACTCGAAGTGAGATGAGGTGTTTAACAAGCTTCGAATCATTAGATTTCGTGTTCCGTATCCCGTCGACATACATCTGGGCTGATACGCCGCTATCTTTGTCGGCTCCTTTGTCTCCAGGAAATGCAGCGTTCTTTTCGCCTCCCGAGGATGTCCACCAACTACTCCAGAGACTACCCGTGCTTTGAGGTTGCAGCGGCTGCATCGTTTCAGCTACCTTTTCCATATGTAATTTCCTTCTTCCCCCCGCATCTGTACCAAACTCGCCGCTCGAACGACTAGAATCAGTCGACACTACAGGAGCCGCCGCGGTCGCAGATCCCCATGTAGCAATGGAGAATCGCTTCATGATACCAGAATCCCCAGTCAATTGAGGAACAAGTCGGGGTAACAATGCCCCGGCAGTTGCAGGACTATAAGACGCCGGATATGATGCTTGTATGGAGTGCTGAGTACTCTGAGGTACCTTCATGGTGGAGGCAGAAGGGAGTTGTCGACTTTGCTGAAGGAGATAACGTTTGCGACTAGATGGGAGCTCGTACATTCTCGTCCTCTGAGGGCCCTTTAAGCCCATATCGCCCTTAAAGTGAAAAAGTAAATGATAGAAATATCTATATAAAGAACTGAGAATACCAAGAACTGCTCAAACTCAGCAGGATCGAGCTCTCCTTCCTCGTCTTCATTTACGATTGCGTCATTGAAATTTGAGGTGTTGCTGCCAATGGACTGTTCTAAAATTTGGGGTTCACTGACACTCTTCCGATCAACCACTGATTTATTGGTACCGACAGGAGGAGCAGGAGCAGAGGCTTGCGACCAACTGGAAAATATACTGGAGAGTCGACTTTGCGACAATGAACTTCGCCAATCGGGAGAACTTGGTCTAGCAGTTGGCTGACTGGAGGAGGCACTAGGCTTGGAAGATTTCTGCTGTTTCGCTGTGCCATCTCCCTCTTCTGCTCCTTCCAAATCTGCAAGATGCTTAAGGGTATCCTCAGACGGCTGAAGAGATGCCGAAGACAAGTTACGAGGCTTCGATCGACGGTACCATTCTTCAGGGACACAGAAATGAAAGGTACGCGTTGCTGAGGGAGACTGTATCTCTAATATGTGAGAGAGCAAGGACGTTGAAGGTAGCCGCGATATTTCTGATACAAGAGATAAGTAACCGTTAACCCTCGGCAGGACTTGGCACGATACTTACTCTTTGCGTCTTCATAGATAGAGATTTCCTCTAATACATATTCTAAATTACCACCGCCAGGGATGGGTAAACCCTTGGTGAGCCCGAGTTCCTCTACGATTGAATGAACTACGTCTGCGACTGTTGACGATCTCGCGAAAAAGACCTTCCAAGTGAAGCCATCGTGTACTTCAGGCACGCGAAGAAATACCAAGTTCAAGCTAAGCAAGGGATGAAGGGAGACTAAACGCAAGGACGGGAGGTGGAGATGAGACGTTAGAGGAAAAGAGGAGAAATGCCGATCGGACGCGTCAGGAGTTACATTGTCTGGCGTGTTAAGTACTTGTGTTATTGGCGTCGATGGCAGGACGATACCTGCAGTAGAGGGTGTTAGAATAATTTCAAGAAGGCATAGGAATAGAATAGCTGACCATCTCCCAGAGCTTCAAGCTCGTCTTCCTCCCATTGTCGACCGATAGGCTCTTTCCGAACTCTCTGAATAGCCCAAGCGCCCTCCTGAATATCATTAAGTATTTCCACCTTAACCTCCTTAGTGCTCAACAAGATTTCGATGACGTCCTGTGCAGTCGCATCTGAAGAAATTGCAGGGTATTGAAGAGAGCCTTGTGGAATAAGTACTGGTACAATGAGTGATCCATCCATGATTGTGAATCGAGGATTGACTATCAATGTGAGCTTGAAGTCAAGCTAGTCAAGCATTGATATTTGAACGTGAATAACGTTAGCGCCAGCTTGTTGGTGACCGTAGGGAATGCTGCCTGATCCAGAATATTCAAGAATGGCTGTAGGGACTGTCGAATCTAACGACTGCAACCAAGGCCAACGTTTGGCTACTAATAGTAGACAACAAATAGCTTGCTAAGGCAGCCCTAGCACTCAGTTGCACTGAGACTGAGACCCTTCCGCGCAGTGGTGCATGCCGTAAGCACGTAAGCGCCTATGGTTCCCCGAAAACTTCCAGAACTTCCATTCTTGAAGAAAATAAAAGCAATGTTACAAAGATACAAGACAGAAAGCTTTTACAGTGTACAACTTGAACTAGGCAAACAAAGCATAAGACTCAATAAAACCCCCGGGTGAAGGACATAGGTACTTTTTAGTCTAGCTTGAATTTTGATAAGACAGCGAATATCTTCGAGGAACAAAACCAAACAAAAAAGTACATCCATACGAAGGAGATCATGGCAAGGATGAAGAGCCTTCTGTGTCAACAGAAGGGTGTACCATATAATACACTCGGATATTTTCTCCCTCTTGAGGACCAGACGATTGAGCACTGGATTCGTCTATCGAAGGAAGCATTGAATCTTGCACGTCTCCTCTAACCTCAATCAAATAATTATCCTTTCGTAGCCATCAGCAAGTGAGCCAAACAATATAGGCAGTCGCCTTACCTTGACCAGTTTCCTCAACATTTTGGTAATGAGTTCCTTCTCGTATTCCAGCTCGTCAACGTCTTGAATCTCAGACTCTTTCAACTCCAGATACCAGTCAATCAACTCATCGCGATCAATACCCCTGCCCGTTTCCCGTTCCGTGGCGGAAAGGTGTAGCACTATAAGACTTTGCAACGACATGTACTTGTCATGTGTGATTACCATTCTTCTCTTCGGTGGTGCAGGAGCTTCCATGTGTTCGTCTACAGCCGAGCTTACAGCTCGAGACGTCGACGAAGGTCCAGCAGTGTCACTTGTCGGGACATTCAGTCCCAGGGAGCTTTGCTCTATCTGGTCCATTGCTTCCATCTCGGCGGCAGACATCTCGATATCTTGGCTTTCTTCTATGTCAGTGTCTGTTGTACGTTGAGGGTTATCATTGGCTCGTTCCCCCTCCAATTCTTCCTCGTCGAAATCAATATCATCTTGTTCAACATGGATGATCGACTGCCGTAGAAGCGTATAAGCTTCTCGCACGAAAATGGGAGTAATCTCTGATGTGCAGTTGGCACGAGCAATGGCCTCACTAAGACGTATCATGCTTTCTAGTTGTCGGACAGTTATACGGTATGAATTTCTTCCAGCACCTGTTGCGTCATCTTGCCGTAAAATGCGGTATTTTTCAACAAGGACGTCAGCAGCCTCCGGTGTTAGCTGTAATAAGTCGTCAGACCTACAAATGCGACCCATAGTTAGATCGACTTACCTTTGGATTGAATGTTCTCGCATAACGTATATAGCGCTGCAGTGCTTCAGTGCTGAACTCGGGATTAATGGCGTCATCCTGAAAACGGTGAACATTAACAATGTGCCGTGCTATGTTCAAATCTATCTTCTCATCGCATTCGTCCAGGACTACGAAGAATAAGTCAAATCGACTCATGATCGGGGCGCTCATTGCTACATTCGCCCGCAAAGTCCTCTTGCGATCGTATCGCCCACCGACGGGATTTGCAGCTGCAAGAATTGAGGTACGAGCATTCAAAGTTGCATGGATTCCTGCCTTCGCAATAGAGATGGTCTGCTGTTCCATAGCTTCGTGGATCGCAACTTGATCTGAGATGTCCATTTTGTCAAATTCGTCAATGGCGCAGATACCATTGTCAGCCAACATCAGGGCACCAGCTTCTATGGTGAAGTCGCCTGTCTCTTCATCCTTCACAACGGCAGCTGTAAGACCAGCAGCAGAGGATGCTTTCCCTGAAGTATAGACAGCTCGAGGGAGGAACGAACATATATACCTTGCGGTCGCGAATCTCAGGTTACGTCGAAAGGGAATTTTGAACCACTTACTTGAGGAATTGAGATTTGGATGTGGATGGGTCGCCAACAATACAAATATTGATGTCGCCACGAAGATGCATGCCTTCCGTAGTTTGCTTATGTACGCCTCCCATAAGTTGTAGGAGAAGTCCTTTCTTCACAATTTCATGACCATACACGGTCGGTGCGATACTCTCCACCAATCGAGAGTAGATGTGATCTGAGTCAATCATACTCTTGAGCTCGTCGAACTCAGGTTCCGTCAACGACCTCAGGAAAGCTTGGCCGTCTTCTTCGCCCTCTTCTTCCTCGCCTCGAACATTAGTACCACCCTAACGCAGGCAAGGTAAGTTACAAATGGTACATTCTGTATACGACCACTTACCCTTCCATCCGCGTCGTGAACCATACATGCAAGAAATGCTGTTTTGTACTGAAGGTCTCTCACACCTAGACTCTTTAAACCAGTAACACCTCCTCCGCCAACACCCCCCGTGCCTGCACTAGTGCCGCCTTTATTTGCTTCTCTCATAAGTTCAGCTTTGTTGCCGCCAGGTAGGCCTAGCTGGCTGACGTCAGGTACAACAATAAAGGTGCCTGTGAATACACATTTATCTCCAGCCTTGGCTCTTTCCACAAGCTCTGAGCGGAGAATAACATCCAATGATCGTGGCATAGAACCTGTCGGTATTTCTGATGGATTTTCCTGGATTCGAACCTTTTGCCAATCGGTAAACTTGGAGGTGTCGATTTGAAGCTGCCAGGCGACACGATTTCCACACGTTGGATTTGGACATAGGCTCGGCTACGATATTTTCATGCGTCAATGGTGCCCGACCGAAAGCAGGAGCACACTAACCTCGGTATATTTGAACTGTTGCTCTACTTCATTCACAAGCCCACCACAAACTTCGCAAATGAAGCTACCATACAGCAATTCTGGTCGAACTTCACTTGTTCGGGTGACCGTGCCACTGATACTCATCAATGTACCGATTTTATCGGTCCTGAGGTCACGAATCCTAGACACCAGAGGAAGGTGATAGAAAGCGAGATTAAATTCACGAGATTGTAGGTTAGCAGAATCAGTAGTTGCTGCTGTTGGGTTGATTTTGAGATATTCTGGCTCAAATTCGGCGACAAGATTGTGGAGAGCTCGGCGAAGATATGGCAGAAATCTGTAGTACTGCTTCTGTATGGCATCTGCAAGCACGTCGTCCTTTTGAAGCAAATGGCTGTAATCGACGTAGAGGGTGGTGATTTCGTATTCTCGCATAGTGTGGATTTGTTGGATGTATATTAGTTCGCCTTCAGCCAGCTCGGGTAGATCACCATCAGAAGCAGGAGTTGATGCAAGTGCCACCTCCTCTGTAAATCTGAAAGAAGGATTAAGGCTCAGACACGAAGACTGAGGTCATTTAGCGCACGTTTTGAGGAAGGTTTCGAAGCTCTCCGATACACTTTCCCCAACTGCATCTTTTACTAGTGGGACTTCACCCGTAGGCTGTCCCCTGGGACGTCTCCTGCGCTGAGCAATAGCCTCGTTGTCCTCTCCTGCTTCTTCAGCTTCATCGTCACCAAATGTCAACGCATCTTGCGCAGGTCTTCTTGGTGTACCTCCAGACCTCGGTGTTCCATTGGAAGAAAATGTGGGTAGCGGGGCACTGCTTGGGGGAAGTGATGATCGTGGTGCTACAGGTGAAGAAAGTCCGTCCAATTCCATGTCACTGTAGATATAAAAGATAAGGACGAAATGAAGATGAAAGCAATGCGAAACTTGGACGCGACTGAACACCAATTTTCGACACGAGAAAGCCCACCCTGAAGCGTGACAGTGTGATGGAGCATCCACGTGATTTAGGCGCGTGGTCAATATTGCACTACGTAAGGGCAAAGGGGCGTAAGGTTGCCGTCTTTTCATGAAGCCGCTATTAGTACGGTGAGCCGAGTTATACAGTGAGCAAACATGCTTTAAATTTGCGTATTTTACAAATTGCTTATATCCTCATTTCTCGTCTAGTTGCTATGGAACTACAACCACTTGACCCAGACTATGTCCACGAAGTCCTGTCCAAGCCGCCCTTTGTCCAAATAGCTGGAGTGCACAACGTTCGCGATCTAGGATCTTACCCTACTTCGACTCCAAATGCTATAACAAAACCCGGATTCGCATTTCGTTCTGCTGAACTATCCAGTATCTCCGATGAGGGTGTGTATGATTCGTGGTCGAGATCTAGCACTATACACTCATTGATTTTTTGCGCTTTTACTTCAAGGGAGACATCATATACGGGATCTGGGCATCGTCAAAATATTTGACTTGCGGTCAGATACTGAAATGGTGAAATACAACTCTCCAATACCTACCATAGATGGGGTTGAAATTTTGCGGACGCCTGTTTTCAAAACAGAGGACTACAGTCCAGAAATGATGGCCAAGTGAGTGCGTGCTCTCACCTCTCAGCGGAAATTCGTACTCAACCTACCTAAAAAAAAATATCCACAGACGCTTCCAGCTATATGCTACTGGAACTGTCGAGGTACGGTGTTCACTTTTTGTCGTATCTCAATGTCATTGTGTTGTAGCTCATCGAACCGCAGGCCTTTATGATTTTGTATTCGCAAATACTCGACAATGGGGAATTCGCCTTCGGCACAATCCTTCGCCATGTCAGGGACAAACCAACAGAACCATTCTTATTCCACTGTACTGGCAAGTCAATTTCTCCTCTGGTATTGATTTCACGTTAATTCTGCTTTTTCTTCTCCTAGCGGGGAAAGATCGCACAGGTATTATCGCCGCCATTTTGCTGAAGGTAATTTTGCAGACAACGCCCAGATACTATCCGCTAATTCCCGTTCAGCTAGCAGGTGTAGATAATGACACCATATCGCATGATTATGCTCTCACTCGGGTGGGCCGAGAACCGGCACGTGAAATGGTTTTGGAACGTTTATCGAAGGAGCCTCTTTTTGCGTCCAATAACGAGGCCGCATTAAACATGCTTACTTCTCGGTGCGTGAACCATCATTATAAGTATCACATGGAACAGTGCTCATTATTATGATGCACCAAAGTTTCGAAACTATGGAGGCCTTCTTGACATTACTCGACAAGAAATACGGTGGAGTGGATGAATATGCAAAACGCTATTTAGGACTAACGCAGGAGGACCTTGCAACTATTCGCAAAAATCTTGTCGTGTCTTCGAAATCCCGAATGTAATATAGACAGCTTTGTGGAGTCCAGCCACACATATCATATGTCATTAAAAACGTAATATATCATCCCATCGTCCTCCATCCATATTAAACATCGTTCTGGCAAAACCCCAAAAGGGAGCACTCCCATAATCATCAAAGGTCCCCAACAGACACTATCATGTCTTTCTGCTGATGCTTATGGTCCGTTTCTGTTTCTGCGCCTGCTGCATGGTCGCATTAGTAGGACTCACAACAGCAGGACCAGGAGGTGCCCGAGCCATGAGCGTCGACGCTAATAGGCCATTCTGCCTTGCTCTTGGGTTCAACGGGGATAAGACAGTACGCTGAGCCGGTATGGGCGGTATGTCACCTGTCATCTTACGTCGTATTGGTGGACGCGATGATGGTCCAGGTGTGCGAGTGGCTGACGAGAAGTCCGAGGTTTTATCGCTCGAGGAGACACTCGAAAATGGCGCAACATCCGCGCTAAGTGTTTGTCTTCGTGCTTTCTCGTGTTTCCCTTGAACGGAACGAAAATGCATCAATAGCTCTTGCCACTTTATCTCATCCCGACCGATTTTTGATCGGGATGCAATTGTATTGATAGGTCTTATCAAACCCATTAGAATATTATCTGCACTAGCGTCATGGTGTAGACTTACGGTTTTGGCGCGATGTGAAGGAAACCCGCGGAGTTGACAGCATTTAGGCGATTACGAAGAGACACGAAGGCAGAGCTTTGTGGCAGCAGCATTAAAAGCCCATACAGGCATTTGAAGAGGTAAGGGTATCTGTCAGGCTCTAACAATTGCAAACGAAGGTCTACCCAAAAAAAATTGAGAACTGGCATGTAATTATTGGTGGGAACTCACATGTAAAAACTGGTGATTCAATCAACTGAACCAGCTTATCCACTTGCACTAACATTGGAACAGTTATTTCCAGGTCGGCGCTGGTTTAGAAGTAAATTCCATGTGTGAGGAACTATTGAGAAGACATACAAGATGGATAGTAGATTTGAAGCATGTTCATAAGCTTGTGCAAGTAAACAGAGCGAGAACACAGCAACGGCATTATGACACCAAGATCTGTACAACGTTGTGAAAAGAGCTTGGCCATCTTGCTAATTATGGTGATAGTGTCAGCACATGATAATTTCATCAGATAAATGATAAATGAAGTAAAGGCTAACCCGAGTTTCAAGACTTTTAAGTCGTTTGCGAAATTCTGCAAGTTCAGGAGACGTGATTAAAATCATGTTGAGTTTTTGAACGATATCGCTCGCAAACTCCAGGTCCTAAAAAAGAGGGGGGGACATATATGAGAAGAACCAAAAAGGAAAAGTAAGGCGAAAGGACCTCTTCTTTCTCCAAAATCTCGGCAAATGTGCGATAAATTTTCTCTGTATTCAGATTTAGACACAACTGTCGGATGATAAGACTTCCGCGAGCCTCTAAAAGCTTTCTGTCTGTGCTGAATAACTCCAACAGATTCATCATGAAGACTTTGAAATAGCTCTCCTCTGAACTTGACGATATTTGGGCTAGCAGTTGCAAGTCATGCTTGATGACCTGAAAACGAAAATGAGCACCCGTTGAAGGATAATAATAGGGATATCAAATACTTCTTCTGACGAATCCGATAAGGTCTTGAGTAAAGCGGGGAAAGTACCATCATCCATGGCGAGGATCTACGCCATGCTCAGAATTACAAAGCTGCATACAGATGCCTGAAGGCGTACCTTCTTTGGGGCTTTCTGGTGCAACATAATAAGCCATTTCAATGCGGCCACCCGTGTCTGTTCGTGCTCGCTCAAAAATTGTATCGTCAGCTCATTGACAGTAGCCTGGTAATCGAATAGGTCAGCTTCCTCTGGAGCGGGCACTTGCGAAGTATTGCTAGGTCCAGGTATATTTGTAAATGATATTGGGGAATGAGGGCGGCTAGGGGCAGTAGGCAGTTCCGAGACCATAGACTGTGTAGTGGTATTATTCCGTGATCTATGTGTTACTGGGGCCGTCGTCTTGTCTGAAGCTTGCGATGGTGAGGGTGTATCTGAAATGGACTCGGGAGAAGAAAGATCTCTCATAGGTGCCACAGGAGTCTTCTCCACATTTACTTGACGTGAAGGAGCTAGAGAGGGTGTTGATGGGGTCGGCGAGCTCGTATAAGCACGAGACGGAGTCACAGATAGTTTGTCCGTGGACTGCTGACGAAGTGGTCCTTCTGAAGGGGAAGGCAAGTTCTCTATTACATTAGTAAGGAGCTTGTTCGTTCGCAGTGCAGCAGACTGTATCATTGGAACATGGTGAGCCAGGTTTGGGAGGATGGCTGGAACCAGACGAGGCGTGAATGGGATCATCACTTCGTGTGCAAAGTTCAGAAACTCAGCCAGCCATCTCAAAGCAGTTGACTGTTGAATCTCGTCATCTTTGAAAAGGCAAACATTGTCAGATTGGCCTATCAGTAAGAGGTCTGGACCAACGTTGATTATCAAGCTGTTGAATTAAGATTTCAATAATGGCTGCATAATCGACCTTCACCCCTTGGCCTGGAATCCAAGCTAGCTTGAAATATCAAAAAGAGTCAACATAAGCAGTCAACATCCTTACCGCCAGTTTCTCGATAATCGTTTTCGGACCTAATATCGTCTTTGAGGCTAAATCCTCCATCGATATCAGGTGATAGCTCGCCTTCCGGGATAAAGACGGCACGTTCGGAGTGCGACATAGTTATATCGGGTAGTTGCCCCTTTGAACTATCGGGTCGTCTCTGTTCTGAAGCCTCGTGTACCTGCTCCTCTTGCCGTTTTCGAACTATACTCACGTCACGAATTTCCCGAAGAAAATCAGCCAGAAGGTTTTCGGTAGCCACTCTTACGTCTTCGGTGGGGTCCGACAAATATTTTCTGCGGAACGGCAAGGATAAAATAATAGACAGAAAGGCGAAAAGGTTAAATGCTCACAGAAGACCATCAAAGAATTCTGGCAAATAGGATATCAGTTCTAGCTCTGGTACAGAGTCAAGAACAGTGATCCACGAGACCAGATAGCTCCTTGTGAATGGGCTCACGACGTAGATTCTGTCCTGAAGGAGGGGAATGAAGTGTGCTAATGAGAAAGCCTTCTTCACAGCATAGCCCCCTTCCCCCACATACCGCCCATCGGGGTATGGCACTAAGATACTTTGTTCCTGGCTATCAGTTTGGTCGCGAATTCTCTCGGTCTCTGGATACTGTGGAATATAGACGGATGCTGTTTCGGCAACGATATCTTTGAGAAGACGGTCAAGAAGCTCTGCTCCGTTTTTAACGGATAGTTCAGAGTCTGCGGCAAGCTGGGCAAGACCAATGCGTCAAGGCAATGTACCGCATGGAATAACGATAATCCTCCATACCTTGCTTAATGCATCAAATATGGGGTTAAAATAAACCAAGACTTCGCCTTTGGAGACCTTTGCAATATTATACAGACATTCGGCTGAAAAGTAGCGAATCCTGTTCTCTGGATCGGTAAAGCAAACGAGTAGAGAGTCGATGAATTTCTCCATGTATGGTGATATATCGACCCCCAGAGCGATTGATGTTCCAGCGAGACCGATGAGCCCACCGTTTCTTATATGCAAGGGATTTGAGGCATTGCTAAACATATCCACTAGCTGGTCAATAATCTGGTTAATGCGACGCTGATCTCCTTGTTGGTGACATTCGCGTATCTGCCTATGCAAACGCGTCGGTATGATCCAAACGTGATATAAATCTCTATGGATTTACTTCTCGAGGTCAAGGGCAGCAGCCTTCCTCTTCTCGTAAATCTTGTCCACCAACTGCTTGGAAATACCGGAGTCTACGGAGAGTATCGTTGTCAATGTAAAGCTGCATGGATGGTGGATGATACCCACCCATTGTGTACTTTGTTCAGCGAATACGCCAGTTACATGTATAGATAAAGAAAAAGGATCCAAAGGGAATGGCCCCAAGCCTCGAGGAATCGTACAACGAGTGCGTCAAACCAATGCTAGAATAGGAACTTACCCAAACAAGGACCGTGGGACACTTGACACGGCATTCTCCGGGAGACGTCGGGCCGATCGAGGTTTCGCCCACATCCTCCGACAGTTCCTCCGACTCCGAGCCACTCCTTCCGATTCCGTACTCGAAATTTAGAGCTCTTACACACGAACAGTCACGGCTCTGTACTTTACTCACTCCACTATCTCATTTTATCTGGTAAACAATCTGCATCGATGTCTACATTCGCAGATATACAATATGACCAGGTGGATCTTGAGCAATGCCATGCCATGCAATTAGAAGAATGGGAGGTCCTGGAGGTGGGTCAGTATCCGGTTGACAGAAACATGCAGATCAGCTGACAATGCTATGTGTATTCCCAGTCCATATATCCAGACTGTTGTATCTCTAGCGATTTCTCGACCAGATACATTAAATTGGAGATCCCCGTAGACCTCGGAGACTCGAGGAGTGTTGCGGTCACAAATAACAAGAATTTATCTGCTTTATTTCCCACAGAGCTCGCCCAGGAGATATCAAACAGCATCGAGCTTTATGACCAGCTATCATCTTTACCACCCGTCTTGCTGCATATCAGCTTACCGGCCGCTTATCCTGTCTATGCACCGCCTGAAATCATTTCACTGCAAGTGACGCATTCCTGGATACTTCAAGTCAACGAACTGCAGGCAAAGCTTCTAGAGATGTGGCAATCAGGAGAGGGTATCCTCTATAATTGGGTAGAATGGATACGCAGCGCAGAATTTCTACCGAGTATGAATGTCACAGAGGATGATTTTAGCACACTCCAGTAAGTCGTAGACATCGTGGCATCTATTCCCCTCTCACTTATTTGGACAGCATTCCACACCCTGCGCCTCAATTACTCCTCCCACTCCTCAAAGCTCACGATACAGCCTCTAAATCAGTGCAGTTCTCACAGAATGCATACACGTGTTCTGTTTGCTTGTCATCTTATAAAGGTGCTCGGTGTCTTCAGCTCTCCTGTTCTCATATCTTTTGTCGCGGCTGTCTGGAGGATTTCTGGGGATTGTGTATTACCGAAGGGGACATTGGTCGAGTGGGGTGCCCAGATCCCGCTTGTGTGAAGAATAACAGAGAAGCGGACGAGGAAGAAGTAATGAGGGTAGTGTCAGAAAGTGATTTAAAGCGATGGAAGTGGTTGCGGCAGAAACGTGCCCTTGAACAAGGTTTGCTTAGATTCAGTATCCAATGAATCAGCTGTTCACGTCATCAATAGATCCTACCATGATTCATTGCCCAATGCAATTTTGCCAGACACCCGTCCCAAAACCAAAGGCTACCGGCGATGAAGATTCTGGGTGGGCCCGCCTACGAACATGCCAGGCCTGTGACTATTCTTTTTGTGCGTTCTGCAGGCGCACTTGGTGAGTCTACCCAATACCCCCATCCTGAACTGTTATTCAAAGTAACCTTAGGCATGGACCACTGTCCGAATGTCCAATTTCCTTTACGGAGGTATTCATCATCAAGTATATGGCCCTACCTGAAAATTCTCAGGGCCGCCAAGATATTGAGCGCCGTTATGGTGCATCTAACGTACGCAAATTAATTGCGAAATACGAGGAGGAGCAATCGAACAAGAAATGGCTTGAAAGCTCCACGATGGGATGTCCAGGATGTCATGTACACGTAGAAAAGTCTCTTGGGTGCAATCATGTTCGTCCAATGTCTATCATGTCTATTTCTCTTCTTTTCCACTGACAATTCTGCACCCAAAGATGACGTGTGCCAAGTGCAAGCAGCACTTTTGTTATCGCTGCGGAGATAAACTCCTCGCGAGTAATCCTTACCTTCACTTCTCGACACCAGGGCAACCTTGTTTCTCAAAGCTATTTGATTTTACGAGTGTCGATGACGAGTGGCAACCAGTGGAAGGATTTGATGCGCTGTGAGATAGCAACTGTTCGTTGTTATAATTCATTTTTCAAGCTGAGGAAACATATTTATGCATCAATACACAAGAGGCCCAGAGGGCAACCACACACTATACATGTACTTTACAAACTACAATCATCCTCATGTTTACAAACCCTTCCAGGTAAACGACTTTGTCAGCTCTACTTGAGCAGACAGCCGTACATCGTCTGAGGAAGCAGCAACAAATACATCAAACTTCCCAGCCTCCGCAACCCAGCTCATCTGGCGTTCGTCGTAGAAGCTAAGAGCGTCCCTGTTAAGGTTTACTTGAACTTTTTTGGCCTCTCCCGCTTTTAGGGTGACTTTAGTGAATCCCTTGAGTTCTTTAACGGGACGAGGCAAAGAGCATTGTGGATCCGATATGTAGACTTGAGCGGCCTCGCGACCAGTAACACTGCCCGTGTTCTTAACCGTGAAAGACACACTGAAGTGTCCATCCTCAGACACAGCACTGGTCTCGACGCCGGAGTACTCGAAGGTTGTGTAGGAAAGGCCGTAACCAAAAGCGAATAATGGAGCAAGGTCCCGAATTTCATAGCTCCGGTAACCTACAAAGATGCCCTAAGAAGAGCGTTAGGAGATAACAGTATCGACCATTCAGAAGATTTACCTCATTGTAGAGTATCTTACCATACTCTTGACCATGAGGTCCGTATGAGGGATAGGAAGGCGTATCCGCAAGCCGTTTCCTATATAGGCCTCAATAAATCGATATCATGTGAATGATGAATACAAACGGGAAAGTGAGGGCAAGTTTGCCCGAAGGGTTGACTTTTCCAAATAGGACATCCGCCAAACCGTTACCGAGCTCATTACCGCCATAGAACGCCTGTAATGGAACGTTGTCAATAGTGTTTCAAGCAATTTCACAGTAATTGCCTTACCTGAACTAAAGTCGGGGCTTCGTTAACCCATGGCATCGAAACAGGAGTACCTGATTGATTGACAACCACTGTTTTCGGGTTAACACGTAGAACCTCAGAAACAAGACGATTCATAAGTCCAGGGAGTCTTAGAGGAAATTTAGTAAGATTCATGATAATGCAGTTAATCTTACTCGAGGTCTGGACGGTCGTAACCTTCACTTTCCCATCTACAGAAAAGTCAATATCATACACTTTGCTCAAATTTGTTCACTTACTCATGATTTAAACCAACCACAACGATCGCAACTATAATGGTGCTCTAGCAATTAGCTGGCCTGTCACCAATCAAACAAACGGTCGACAGTACGAACCATCCGAGTCCTTGGCTACTTGGACCGCTTTTTTAAGAGCCTCTTCTGACTCAGTCTTGCAGAATGCTCCAAGTCGTAGTCCGCCATGGCAAGGAAGTGGGCATCCCCTCGCAACAAACTCTTCGTTGCTCAACCTGATCTCCAGATTATGTTCTTCGCCGGCTTTCAAGCCTTTTACAACAGCTTTTAGATCGACAGTCCCCATGGCAAAGAAATTTTCGCCTTGCTCTGGGCTGGTGCTTAAATCAATAACAAGTTTACCGTCCAAGAAAAGATTGCCATTGCCGGCGATGTTGAGACCAAATTCCCAATCACCATCTTCATCCGGTACGAAAATTGTAGAGTACTTCACATGGACGGTAAGCTCAGTCACAAACGCCAACACAAAGATATACTTACACGAATCCAGCAAACTTCTTTCACTTTCGACGTGTCGACACCATCAGCTAAGAAAATGTTCGTGTTTGCTGTCGGCGTGCTCCAGGCACAAGGCGTCAGCTGTTCGCTGAAGCTCGGGGTCGTGTTGAGGAAAGTGGAGTTGGGGGATTCATTCCAAAATTCTAACAATGCGGGTTTACCCCCATGGCTCGATTTGATAAACGGGCTAGCCTCCGGTAAGTACTTGTGAGAAGTAGCTCCGATAGTATAGCTTATTTCGGCACCAAGCTCTTTGGCCGCGGCAGTGATTCCCTCCAGGGGAGATACTGTATAGGTAGACAACAAACGAGCAGAACCGCCACCAGAAGTGAAAGCTTGTTTAGCATTGGGACCAATGACTGCAATGCGCTTCAGGCCGGATTGAGAGGACAGAGGGAGAATTTTCTTCTCGTTTTTCAAAAGTACAATTGCGTCTGATGCAGCGGTCCTCAGCAGCTGACGAAGCTCAGGGGTGTCCACGCCTTCTTCTGGGCCATTAAATGGAACACCAGAGGCCTGAGCCCGCTGAATCAGCTCTAATATCTGAATAGAAAGTGAGGGTGCAGTAAAGAGAACTTGTAATATAAATGTACCTTTCGAACTCGGTTGTCCACGTCAGAGAGGAACAACTTTTCACCTGCGAGAGCTCTCTCCACTGCTTTACCTCGCATGACTGTAGGACCTCTATAGAGGCCTCTTTCAAAATAGAGGACAGAATGTTTTGCATCGATCGGACTCACGGCATTTCCAAGTCAAGCCCAGCACTTATACTTTCGGAAGTGCTGTAAACACCAATCCAGTCACTCATGGTCATTCCTTTATATCCCCACTCCTGTAGACGTGTCTCGTTAGCGCTTCGTGTTATGTAAATGTGCAGCTAAGACCACAAGCCTCGCGAAGTATATCGTGAATCAACTTCTTATCCTCGGAGACATGAATGCCATTGACACGGTTATAGCTGCCAGAACACGAGAACATCAGAATCACGTATGCCTTATAAGAATTTCTGCCACTTACGCTGTCATCAAGGCCCAAGGATCCGAGTCTCTGAGAGCAATCTGGAATGGTTTCAAGTATATCTCTCGGAGAGCACGCTCGCTCATGTCGCCTTATGACAAAATCATAATGTGACTCTGTTGCTAATTGATAAAAACATACTACTAATAGAAAACCTAAATGCCCAAAATATGGTTAACCCTTGGGAACAGATCGAGTCAACAAAGAACTACCTCTGAAATTCCTGATCATTGGCAACATAGTGCTTTATCGTGGCTGCGACACCCTTTGACTGTACTCCATTTATGTATGCTGCCGCGATGTTGCCATTGACAACAGGGTCCTCTGAGAAAGACTCAAACCCACGGCCACCAAGGGGTGAACGCTGAGTATTCACAGTAGGTGCAAGTAAAATATGACAGCCTTAGCGACATGAAGTTGTCAGCTTACAGAATGATACTAAAACGAAAACTTTGTTATACTTTTGGCACGAGCTTCGTCTCCCAAAGCTTTCCCCACCTGAAGCGCAAGGTCTACATCGAATGAAGAACCAAGTCCAGTAGAGGATGGGAAGCAACTAGCTGGAACGCCGTTGAAAACTACGAAGGTTCTACTTTTAGTTACTGCGGGAGAGGGCATTCAGATGACAGTAGATGGAAGATACTCACAGCGAAGACCACGAACACCGTTAGGTCCTATGGATAGATAATCGCTACTTCAGCTAAGTACATCATGCACAAACCAACAAAACAGACCATCGCTCATCCTCATCGGAGGGACATCTGCTTCAGGAACAGCGTGAGTGTGCCACCAGCCCTACAAATACAGACAGTTCAGTATATAATGTGGGATACAGCAAAATACTCAGGGGCTGACATACATTACCAGCCAGGAGTTTGATTTTGCCGTTCAAAGACAGCTTTGCAAGGGTTTCTTCGACATCGAGGATATGGGCCATGGTAGAGGTGCTTCACTATCAACGAAAGATGAGGGTACAAGCGAAGCCCCACCCCCAGAAAACCAAGGCCTTATATAAAGTGCCATCTATACAACCGGCGCCGGTTCTTCTTCGGACTATTCCCCGTGGCCCAGTGACAATAAATCAGGGTTCGATACCAAAAACGCCAACGAATTTACGAGCTTTGTACCAAAAACAAGAAGTAGAAGAGTTGTAGAAGAGTTGTAGAAAACCATGATTAGACATGCCACAACTAAGAAAACGGGAATTTTGCAGACCAGACATGGTAGGTGTACGCAGAAAACCACTAAAAAGGCAATCATGTACGCAATAGCACCTCCACGTGACCTTCAGATCTGATCGGGTCAATTACCTCTAGTAAGGCGCCTTTTTATTTCCTCCATCCAAAGTGCTCCTGCTTAATCCATCCTGCAGCGCTACTTCGACGCATTCGCTTTTACGAAAATTAAGCCAGTATTTACAAGGTCTACGTTTGGAGCTATAGCCTGTACCCCGATATGTCTGTGAAAGGGACAGCAAAGCGAGTACTCCTGTCTCCAAGCTTCATTTTTAATGCATTATTAACCGAATGATGCTGTATTTTTTAGAGGAAAGAAACGAGTCCACGAAGAGCCTTCAACAGACAGAAGTTCTTCTTCATTGTCTTCATTATCACCTGTGCCTTCTGACACACCGCCGGTCAAGAAATGTACGTACGTACCGCACCCTTGTCACCGTCTACAACGTAGTAACCAAGAATGTAGCCAAACGGGCTGAGACCAGAAAATGTCCCGTCTGCGGGGAAATAATAGCTGTAAGGTTACTAGGTAAACATAGCGAACTAGAGTCGCAAAGAGTTGATGAGATTATAAGGAATGTTGGTTCCACCGAGGTCCTTGCTGACGACCCTCAAGAAGGGTGTGTTTACTAAATTCCTCGACCCCCAATCGGGAACTGACGCAATCACTTTCTTAGATCTAGCTCTGGAAGTCGTCGCTCTGCCGTCAAGGCGCGTAAATCGCTCAGTGCAATGAACCCCCGCTTTGACTCGACAAATTCACTCGAAGTCACAGTAAAGACCATTCAAACTATTACACGTCACCGTAAACAGAGACATGCGAAGTTAAAAGAAATGGCCAGAGAAGACGAGTTACCAGTCGACCAGGACGATTATGACGGTGAAACAACGTGTCCTGTCTGTCTACAGATGGTCCGGGGTGACAGAGACGTAATAGAGGCGCATGTGGATGCATGTTTAGCACACGAGAACGCGCGACAGCAGGAAGAAGAGGACGAAGACGAGATAGATGTTGATGGCGAAGGAACTCTCAGAGTCACGGACGGAGCGAATCTCAGAGGTATGGGTTTTCATGTACGGAACGAGCAGGACCAAGACGTGGATGACGAGGTCGATGTGGATGGAGACGACGAAGCTGTTTTCGGGAATGCACAATTCACTGAAGGCGACATTCTAGGACCTACAAGTGACCCTCACGCAGACGCAGATGATGGTACTGAAGGCGATGTTGACATAGAGGATGGCCCTAGCGACGATCGACAAAGACAGACACTCCGTGACTTAGTGGCCGACGGAAAGTTTGTAAGACGTAGTTCACCGTCAGAGGGAATGGAAATAGCCAAGGCGAAACTAGAGGAGGTAATAGGAGTCGGAGACACAGATAAATTGGACTTAGCGATCGAGGCAGCACGAACGCAAGGAAACGGAAACTCTCTGATTCTTGCACTCGAGAACAAAGTTAAGCAGCTAGTATGTCAAAATACTGTGTCCTACAACTTATACTGACAACTTTTCAAAGGAATCTATGAGAGTTTCTTCGTCGACCTCGTTATTATGCCGCATATGCTTGGACCCATACACAGAACCAACGGTGTCCACTGGTTGTTGGCATACGTGTTGTCGAGAATGCTGGTTGCGCTGTCTTGGATCAACAAAATTGTGCCCAATATGCAAACGTATTACAGCGGCAATTGATTTGAGAAGAGTATATTTATAGTGTGATATTTTACTCCGTGCTCGTCTAGCAAATGTAATATCATGTCGTTATCTAAAACTATTCATTAGCATATAATCACAATATTATCCACTTTAACAATAGCAAGAACTTCATATCTGGCCTTGTCGTGTCCTCATACACCAACGTATTAAACCGACTCTTATAGGAGCGGTTACAGAACGACTGGAAATCAGGATACATATATATTTGTATCACCACGACATTTCTAATCACAAGAATGGAATGCAACGTCAAACAAGCTCACCAGTTACTGTAAAAGCGTTTAATAGGCTGCCTCAGCTGAACTTGAAAACTATCGAACATTTGCTTGTCTTCAAGGAGAATGATGGGAATGGAGAGTTATTAATTGTCTAATGCATACTATATGATACAAATGGGTGGATCGATGCTCATGCGAGAGGGCTGATCAGCCTGTTGTTGCCAAAGTTCATGAGAAGTAACGAGGAAAAGCGAAAACAACAACGCACTTGATCAAAGTAGGCTGAGGGGTGCTTCGGGTGTAGCCAACGTATATTATCAAAGGTATCCAACCATAATGCAAAACCGTCTGATACGAAAATTGTCGCTGGTTAGCATTCCTTGACACGCATGCCATTCACAATGTTAAAAAAAAACGTACGCGTCCGAACTCGACGACTTTTGTGATACGTTCCTAAGAAGCACGTAGAAGATATTAGCCAGAGTCCTAGCATAAGTAAAGTCGTTGTTCTTACCTTTGTCTCCTCTGAAGGCATTTTGAGTTGTGGGTTTGCACGAGTGACGAAGGAAGGAGAGAAAAGGTGTAAACTTTGAAACTCCGACCACTTTTTGGCCCTTCTCTTTTTGTCGCCAAAAGGCAAAGCAGATAATACGACATAAAAAATGCCTCTGGGATCTTCCTCATCAGCAGTGCACATCCTGCAGCCTGCACAAGTTCTCGGTGGAAATGCTGCGTATGTCAACCATACAGAATCTAGCTATTGATACAGCACTAATAATCAGCTCACAGGCGCACACCGACATCTGTGACCATACACCCTGCCGTGCTCTGCTCAATCCTGGATCATTACCTTCGGCGTACAGACTCACAAGAACGTGTAATTGGAACTCTTCTCGGGACCAGGACAGACACTGAGATCGATGTGCGCTCTTCCTTTGCCGTTCTCCACAGCGAGACATCGGAGCAAGTTGCTGTAGACATGGAATACCACAGGACGATGTATGAACTGCACCACAGGGTCAATCCTAAACAAGTCATTGTTGGATGGTAAAAATATCTCTTTATGTGGGATATATGATCTAAGTGACATTCGCGATATGTAAAGGTATTCCACCGGATCGAACTTGAATACCTACTCCGCCCTTATACAAAACTTTTACTCGCAAGAAACAGCGCCCCATCAGGCTGTACATGTTGTGGTTAACACTGGTCTTGAAGAAGGTGTAAAATCAGGCGCACAAGCCTACGTCAGGTAAGACATCCTATTAATATTTGTATCGGTGATCTTATATCGCAATAGCTCGCCAGTGGGTATCTTCCCCAAACCTGAAAATTGTGTTTTTGTCCCTATCCCTTGTGAATTGCGTTATGATGCAGCGGAACGCAACAGTCGTGAGCTCCACTCGTTTATTCAATCATCAGAGGTAGTTTTGAACACTTTTCCTAGTCGAGCTCCTCACTTCCCCTACACCGATCGTTCATCCTACATCTGAACTCGAGATATTCGAACAATCGCTTCAGTCCATATTGGACATGATGGATCGCGTTCTTGGTTATGTACGTCGTGTCCTTGCAGGCGAGGTGAAAGGCGATCCAGCTGTGGGGCGTTATTTGATGGACACCATTGGTACCAGCGTCAGCGATAGCGAGGGAGGCTTCAACACTACGTTACAGGTATGAAAGTTTTCTCTTCTACTTTCAAACAAGTCTGATACGTTTACAGGATACGTTGATGGTGTCCTACCTTGCAACACTCATGCGATCACAGGCGGAAATATCGTCACGTCTGTCCTTGGTGACTCCTTTATAGCCAGCGCCACTATTTGCACGATAGACATGCTTGTACGAGACAGCAACTGACTGATATATAGCTTTGCGTCGATTAAAATGTAACTGCTAGCTGTTGAAGATCCTAGAATGCTGCAAGTCATGCCGAACAGCGAGAATTTCGCCCAAAGGCCAAGTGGCCGCTGGTCCATCGACGATGCTAGCTTGATTCTGGTCTGGGATAACGTTTTCCAAGGTATGATCAATTACTCCAGTGCGAAGATCTTTGCAGCGATCTGCCTCTATGTCAACAAAAGGGCGCACGGCGTGCAGCAAGAGTTGTTGAGAGCCATAAGGCCCAATTGTATTCAGCCTTACTGCGGCTGACAGAAGACTCCTTGCATGCAAGAAGAGATATAAATACTGGGCACGCTCTGCAATCATGTCAGCGATAACGGGTATCATAAATCGCTGCCTCACAGACCTAATGTCAATCCCAGTGCGCCAGTCAAAACGCCCCAACAGACAGGTAAATGGCCATGAGTGTCTTCTCGCCTAATGGATAACTTTAGTCGATCGACAATACTGGCCGACCGACGTTCTCGTTCTAGCAAAGGAGATCGAGACATATGACGGGGAAGAGAGAAGCCCTTTGAGTACAGCGTGAGCAATGCGACACCCTGTGACTTGGATGCTCGTCTGGCGACATGATTTAGAGTCATGGTTTCATAGTATTCGTCCAGAGCTAAGAGCTGCGATAGAGCTAGTTTTAGGGTCTCTTCGCTGGGGCCACTTTCTATTGAACAATGATCCGCAACGACACGGTGGGCATCGGATACGAAAGGTAGAGAGCTGCGAGCATAAGTCCCGAGACTGTCCTGAACAAAGTTCAGAGTATCATCTGAGGCCGATGCAGACGATAGAAATCCGTGTTTGACATATGATTCGTAACCAGATGATGCCACGAAAGATCCTGTGGGGAGGTTGCTGTCGGATAAAAGCAGAAGGATATATGTCTCGTCGTCGCTGTTCATGACAGCGAGCAGGGCTAAAGTTGCAGTGGCTGACGGGACTGAGCGGAAGCCGGACACCCGGTGGAAATTGAGTGCCTGTGTTTCTCTATCCAAGCTGCTCGGCCGAGCTCGACGTTGCGGACGACCCCCACGCTCTTTTACCTAGAGCTTTCTGGTTCATAGATATCCAGCTATTTGACATCACGATATAACACGTCTTTCTTGGATTTACCTTTTCACATTTCTATCTTATTACCATGAGGTCTATAGCCCGGCCGCAAATCCTCACTCAGCGGCGTCGTCTTCTGCTATCTGTTCCGCCTCGGAAGCGCTTCATAAGCACTTCGACCCCCAGATTATCAGCAAAGACACAGGGAAAGGCCTTCAATTCATCTCTTGCAGTAGATGCGAGTAACCTCGCAGAATCATCCATTCTGAATAGGTCGGAAGCGACGAATGTACTTACGGCTGCACAGAAGGGTGAGTTGTAGTCCTGGCACCAATGTCATTCACCAAAAATTTAGTTGGATATTAGGTGCTCTATCTCCAATGCAACAGTATGAAAAGCTCGTCCAGACTGAAACACTCCGGGTCGATGATCATCAGACGCGGATAATAGGGAAACTACAGCGGCTTCACGATCAAATCATGACTTATGCCCCACCTTTGATACCAGATACCGCTTCTCAAGGATCTATAGTAAGTGGGATATCAAATCCTGTATACCAGTACTACGACGACCGCTTTGCTCGCTGTAATATAGATATCACGTCTATTCTCCCGCGGATCCACTCCCACCCCAATACCCCCAGAACAGGTCCCAAAAGGCCTCTATCTTTATGGAGATGTCGGAACAGGGAAGACAATGTTGATGGACCTATTCTATCAAACACTTCCGGTATCTTTAAAGAGGAAGCGTCGTGTGCACTTTCATGCGTTCATGATTGATGTCCACAAACGTGTACATGCTGCGAAGGCCGCCATGGGTTATAGAGGAGGTGACCCAATATTGCCTGTTGCTCGAGATTTAGCCAATGAAGCATATGTACTCTGCTTTGATGAGTTCCAGGTAGGTTGACAAATGTTTTTTTTGATGATAATTGGTTTACATGTATCCGGTCTCAGGTCACGGATATTGCTGATGCGATGATTCTACGGCGGCTGTTGGAGAGCTTAATGGACCATGGAGTCGTCTGTGTCATAACGTCGAAGTAAGTATCATAGATTACTGAAAAAAAGTTTCATAGCACTTATATGATCTGAAATAATCAGTCGACACCCTAATGATCTCTACAAGAACGGAATCCAGCGCTCCAGTTTCATACCAGCAATAGAGCTGCTCAATAGTCGGTTTGAGGTCACAGACCTTGATTCTGGAACAGGCGTGCTCTCTTCCTTGGCTGCTTTTGGTGACGTTTGCTAACCAGACGCATACTCCCAGACTATAGGCGGATACCCCGCGCTCTCTCTCATGTTTACTACCACCCTCTCACTCAGGAGAACCGCTTTGAAGTCGACAAGATCTTCTCTTCCATCACATCAAATGATCCATCTGACCCAGTGATCACTAATCGACAGTTGTCGACCTGGGGTAGGACTTTGCTCGTTCCAGAAAGTACGAGCAAGATCGCAAAGTTTGATTTTGAAGATCTTTGTGGGAGAGCGTTGAGTGCAGCTGACTACTTAGAGGTTACGAAGCAATTTGGAACAGTATTTGTTCTAGACGTGCCCAAGATGGGGATGGACAGGAAGGACATGGTATGAGAATATCTCGACCCTGTAGTGCATAGATCTGATGCTGTCGCTTTAGGCACGAAGATTCATCACATTCATAGACGGTATGGTTACTCCAATTGTTTTCATGATATTGCAGTGCTAACGTTGCCTCTCAGCATGTTATGAGAGCAAGGTATTTAGTGTCCTGTTCTGCTTAGATTAATATAACATTTATGTTGTTATCTTAGACCAAGCTCTTCGTTACATCGGAAGTACCAGTATACCAGGTCTTTTCGGATGACTCTTCCAATAACTCCAAGCCGATATCAGACCATATGCGCAGTGTCATGGATGACCTCGTGAGTCGTTTTAAGTTTAAACATACTACATATAGACCACTAAATTTGTCTGCTCTACAGGGCCTTTCGGGTGACGACGTTGGTACTAGCTCTATGTTTACTGGCGAAGAGGAAGTATTTGCATTTGCGAGGGCGTGTTCGAGACTTGTCCAGATGGGTAGCAAGGAATGGGCAGAGACTGCTGGGCAATCATAGTCTTAAGTGAGTTCACTTCGTGGATTTGAATATCTCCATCTAATCAATGACAGGCGTCAATATCATATATTGTATCGTTAGTTCAGCGTAACCCACCCTTACCATTCTACTAGATTGGAAGTAGAGGAGCCTGAAGTATATCTATATGATATCGCTGTTGCTTAGTTCTAGAGGCTTATCACGGTAATCTAATTTGCCATATCTACATTGTGTGGAGAACATGTCGAGGGCTTTATTGGTGAGCTCTTGATGGATTTTGAGGGCACGGTGAGGTCAGTGGAATCCAACCCCTAAATTGTCATTAGAGACCCACTTGGAATGCCGTGGCATAGAGCGACGGAGTCGTCGTTGGTGAGTAATGATCATTATCATTTTACGAAGGACTCGGAGCTGACAAGTTTACTATTGGTCTAGTCTCACGCATATTTGTGGGACCTGCATAACCTCGAGTACGTGATAATGATGTAGAATCTGACTCGACCTTCTCTTTTATAGCGATGGGAATTTCGTTGAGGGACCTAGCCTACTTGCAAAGTGACTCGAGTTGGACCTATGAGAACATCAAATAACGGTTAGGCCAGCGTTGAGTCACAGATCCTATACAGTGCGTCGCATCGACAGTCTCATGCTCTTACCCAATTACCGCCAAACGAGGTCAATGATTATGACTTTTGGGGACTGTTGCTGTCATACTGTATGATAACGATGATTTGAACAATGTTCTAATGGGTCGAAGGTATGGATGTTCTAGCGTTAAACACGGTCATTTACAAATCATACTAACGAAAATTTTACCCCAAAGCACAACGATAGCCACTCACAATTTGGATATAAAGCCAGACATGATAGCAGTCAATCTCAGCATCTCCCATAACCAGAAAGCCCTCTTCTACATGTCCGACCCTATCCATGTTACTGAATTCTTGACTCTCACAAGCACTGATGCGATAAAGACCACTGATCATTTTCGCGAACTCGTGGACATCATTCGCAAAGAGATTCCTACCTTTCAAAGCTATCACTGGGGAGACCGAGTTCAAGAGCCAGGCATCCGCCAGTTGATTATTTGTGAGGAGGTTCCTTATGACACTGTTCTCATCTCACATTGCATACCTGTAGGTTTTGGCGACGACCCAAGGGATAAATACACACCCGCTCTGCTTAAATCCCTTGACGATAAACTCAATTTGATCTCTACAAGCTATGAGCGCAAATTCTTCGTGTTAAACCCGTTCCTGCCGGGTAAATACTTCAGTGCACCTTATACTGAAGTCATCTTCGCTACTACAAAGCCGGATATCAATCTCGAAGAGTTCAACAAGGTGTGCAACGCATCGCTCAGGCCGTGCGATGTGTTCCCCGGCTGTTACGGTACATCTTGGGGATACTATATTGGAAAAGGGGAAGAGATTGTCATGGTACTTGGATGGGAAAGCCCAGAGGTAAATACTCTCCATTCAAAGGAAGGCATAGTACTCACTCGCTATGGATTTATGTAGCACCACCAGGCCTTTCATAAAACGGATATATGCAAAACTACGACTGCCCCGTTCCTTGAGATGGTCTCCGATGCGAAGTGGTTCTATATCCAGGCTAGAGAAGACTAAGAAACGCGAAGTTTGATGATCAATTGTGATGGTTGTGTACGAGTAACTACCCGAATTTTCTGCATGTAGATACGAATGTACGTAAGGTACTTGCATTGAAAATCCGTCAGACGACGGTAGATCTATAGCCTAGCTGTGTATATGAATTGGGTCAACCTCCTACGGCACGGACCACACAAGCAACACATGCATCATTACAAGTTGAAGCTATGTTTGAAGACACGGCTCAGCGTACATGAACACCATAATATTGACCATTCTTTATATGCTGGTATGTGTACAGAACAAACTCGCTGCGCAAGCCTTGATAGTCCCAGAAAGATGCAAGCGGATACGTTACATTACAATATTTGAGTTACTTCATCGAATACGTCCTCGAACAGACAATTACTAATTCAACCTCGGATACCTGTCAATCCCTTTCCCCTCGTGTCTAACATAGAACCTTTCGCGCTACTGAACGTGCCGCCCGAAAAGCCCTCACCCGCCTGCTCCCTTCCTTTCTGCAGAACGATAGTCATGACATCGACATCTTTGGATGTACCAAAGACGGTCTCAAGTTGTTGCTTCGAAGGTCTACCAAGCAGACCTTGCGATCCTTGCCCAGAATGGAATATTTCGAATGCTTATGGAGGAAACATAAGTCATATGAACAAAACTTCCTTAGCAACTCACAATCTACGACACTTGCAAGGGGGATTGAACTGTAACAAGAAAATAATGTTAGATTTCGATGTCGACAACGAGACAATTCAAATGAGTTTACGTGTCTGGACATACATATCTAAATTAGTATATTATATAACACATCAATCGAACCATCGAGCTCACCTCCATCTTTCCACTTCTTGAACTGGTGTGAACACTAATGAGATTTGATATGATCAGAACTAAACGGAGGAAACTCACCTCTTCTGGGTTAACAACAGCGATGAACTCATCTGTTGATTGAGAATCAGGCTTGTAGACGACTTTGGCAACGTTCTTGACCATGGTGATTGAGGATGAGATGGGTTAATGGATATGTTAAAGAATAAAATGAGTATATGATTGTTTATGCGTTGGACTAGCTGATGGATGGTGTTCGATGTTGGTTGATGGGGAATGGATACTATCTGCACTCCGTAAGTCTCAGGTTATATACTCCTCGCGCGGTAATGACGTCGGGCCCTCGGCTGGGTCCGACTTGCTATATCGACGTCACGCGACCTACACATACACGTGACCGACACCATGACAGGTAACCGGAGCAACAAAGTAGTAAGAAGAGTCACTATGACTCCAATGAAGGTGCCGAAAGTGTGGTCACAACCCACAAGGGCAGTGAAATGACACCATAAAACGGCTTCACAACGAGAGTTTGTCCCATTCTATTCTCGGGGGCACGCGTCCGCCAGACTCCAAGCTCAGACGAGTCAAAGGGATAAGGGAAGGCCTAGACGACCAGTAAATATCTCGAACAAACGTGGTGGAAACAAAGGAAGGCCAACCTTCCGTGTGCACATTGAAAAGGAAAGGCCGTTCCAGAAAGCTGGTACACCAAACGCTCACACTGATCTAAAGATAACGTGTCATTGAACATTATTGCACCTACAGTTATAATGAAGTTCGATGAGCGAAAAAAAGAAATCCCTCTGTTCAAAGATCACAGACCTCGGCAAGCTTTAGAGTTGATCAAGTCCAGCAACTCTCGAGGACACCAACGAAGCGCCTTCAACCATAGAAAACCATCGTCCTCTTCCTCTGGTGCTTGCGAGGGTTGCGAAACACTCAACGTGAAATCCGGTCCATCGATCTGGAGTTTCGCTAGGAATCCCTTGATCAACTCTCGAAGCTCATTGCCCATCAGAAGCTAAATAGTATTTCAGCTAGTCATATCGTGTTGAGCGGAAATTTTAAGAATGCACGAACCTTTTCGCCAACTACATCAGGTATAGCACTTACAAAGACCTGAATATATCCTTCGTTACTTTCACCATGTAATTGATCCTCATCAATATCAATTTGCAGGACATGTTGCAGATCTGCGAAGTGGATACCCCAACTCCTGAAGGCCTTCCGGAATCGTTCTTCTCTTGCTAGACACAATGCTTCATGACGCGTAAGGAGTACGGGTACCAAGGGGGACAGTTTCCTGGTTTCAACGCCATCGCTCGTCTCTCTGTATCGCAAAAAGCCTAAACAGAGGTCCTTTAGAAATCGTTCAACACGTATACGCTCGTCTGCTGCATGCTGATCAATTAGCACCAGAGCTTTTCCTTTGGCCTCGTCACTGCGGTTGACGCAATCATTCTCGCCGGCGTCTAGAATATCGGAATCCAAGCTGTTGTCGATCAAACATGCAATGAACTTTCTGTCGACTTGGTTCACAACACGAGCGTTTGCTAGATCTTTCTTCCGGAAACGTCTCAAAGGAGTACTAGGTTCCACGTTGTGCTCAGGTTGGAAATAACGAGAAGCCCTTTGAAATTCCGTGCCTTGCCCGTGACAGGAGTGATGTTGGGTTTGTGTGATCTCGTAATCGAATATCCCCCCTGTATTTGAAGGGAGTGATATCGATGGAATCTTCGGTTCAGTGATGGCGTAAGTATCATTTGCCTGAATATAGATAGATAGTTGTGTCAGATGCCTTACAAAAAGGAGACAGCTTACGTTAAGGGCATTCCGAAGCCACTCTGGCATTGACTCTTGCGTGTTATTGTTATCACAGAACGTATCAGGGTCTTTACCTCTTTTCATTGACCGAGAACTGATCAGTGTACGTCTCCCGTTTGCGATATCGTCAATATCATTTTCGTCGACGATAGGGCCAGGTGCATTGTGAGGGAATGAATTGCCCGTGCGCGTGTCAACAATAAAGATTTCACCTGTCACAGGGTCCTGCCAATTGATTTTACCAGAAGTTTCCAAATCATTGCCCTGGCATACGCATCAGTGAAATACATGAAATCAGGAGATATCAACGCACTTGGCGTATGTATAATGGCGCAGGCGCTTGACGGTCAACGGCCCGCTGTATGAGAGCGAGGTTGGTTCGGACGCTGTTGTTATCTCCAGAAGGCTCTGAAGTAATCTTTCGACGCTTCCTAGAAGAAGAGTCCTCATTCACATCCTGCTCCTGACGCTGTGTTACAAAGCCGTGACGAGAAAGGAATGACTGGATGATAGTAGATAGGAATGATAGGACGATGTTTTTATTCTGAAGAATATGGTAGATATATTAGGTCAGTTCATGCGTGTGGCATAATGTTTCTTCGTTGAACGCACTTCGAGCTGCACAGAGGACTTTGCAGGCTCAAGGCAATTGTCGATATACCGCGGGGGTATGGTCATGTTAAGAACATAGATCGGCTTCCTTTCAGCTTTCCTCGGAGAACGTCGGGCACCTACAATGATTATGTCAAAATCCAACCCCTTTTTATAGCCATGTCGAGACTCTTAACTGGATCGTAAATTAGTTTCTCCGCCTTCATCGTAGGCCTAGTATATTATCACATCAAGAAACATAGAGCATACCGTAGAAAGGCAACGTACATGCTTCATGAAAGAGCTGCTATTAAATTTGGTGTCAATTAAACGATGCAAATCGCAGTATGATAACGGGTGTCGATTAATATCTGGAAAATACTTAGTGAAAACAGGGCTCAAAGCAGCTAAGCAAGTAACAAAAGTACATAAAAATTGGTATGACTGGCAGAAATCAGCAACTGATGGTGCACTGTATAGCAAGACTTTACCTTGGAATGAGCACCCACTAGGCTGATAAAACCTTCGAGCTTCAGTTCTTCCATTTCGTTGTTGATTTCTTCCACATGCTAGAGTACGAAACGTAGGCAATACTCACAACGATAGCAGGAGCTCCTTATCACTCACCTCTGTAAGAGCGCGGCCATATAAGTGGCGAAAAGCAGTCAAGGTGGAACTGGTCTGAAGACGACAACCATCGTTATCTAATAAGATTTTCATTTGTATTCTGCACATTGCTCACTTTCGGTATTCTCAGCAGTTGTCCTTTGGCAGGGTGATTTTCCTTTGCCTTACTCGTATCTTCTAGAGAGAAGGAAACATGCGGGAATACAAAAGCATATGTTTCCACTTCCTGACGTATGGTCTCTATAGTCCTATGTGGAGAGGGATGAGAGAGCCGGCGAATAGGAAGCTATTGAGGTATGCCACCAATCATCAACACCAACGGTGCATGTAAAAGGCCGTATATATGCGTACGTTGAAAAAGGCATCACGAATGCAGACAACTGTACCATGCGACTCTCTCCTCCAGCGAATAGATGGTCCAGTGTACAACGATTTTCCTCCCTGCAAGCGACATATAAGAGTGTGACCCTAAAGCATGCGTGTATTATGTCCACCTTGAGTATTACAGACCAGCTTTCGCGAGACCCGGAGGTCCTCGAGGATATCTCCAAGCAGGACAAATCGGCGGCGGATGCAAGTGCTAAGCTCGCATTAATCACATCTTTCATGTTCGCTCAACTGTGGCATCATACCTTCCCCACGAAAGCCAAACGTAGAAACACTCTCCAACGACGTCATATTATATGCCTTGGATGTACCTGTGAAAAATTCATCAAACGATACTAGGGGATTATCATAATGTATACTAACCATATCGCCCCTCCGAACCTGCCCCAAGCATTGTAAGGTCGTCCTTGCTGATTCCAGCGCCGTCATCTTTGACCCAACAGTTCCATTCCTGGCAGTCTACACCAATCTCAACATGGCGAGCTCCCGCGTCCAGAGAGTTCTGTAGCAGTTCCGAGACTATCTGGGGCAGAGAAGTCAGAATCTGGGTGGAGCGTAGCTTGGCTCTCGTTTCGGTTGACAATCTGTGCAAAGATTTTTCTTCCGTGGATGATGTATTCATTCAAGACTCCCAGCTCGCATGCCAAATACAAGAAGTGATAGATTCGTGTCAATTGCTAGTGTTGTTTAGTTGAAGACAAATTTGACGCGGAGTCGGAATAAAGGGTCAGGATGACCGCGGAGCAGCGTTTGTTTGGCAAAATCCTTGGAAATAAATAAACGACCTCTGACAGACTAAATTCAAATAAGAGAACATGATATATACAGCTCGTTGCTTGCTTGGCCTCGTAGATTTGACATATAATATTACATTCTAAATACACCAAATCCATGATTCGAACCATCCCATGTCGTAGACCGCGACCTCTCGCGCCCTCCAGCTCGTCCCCTTCCAGCAAGTGCAAGGCCGAGCCCAACGACGTCCCGAGTATCCGTAGGCTTGATGATACCATCGTCCCACAGACGGGCAGTAGAGTACAGTGCTGTCGACTGAGATTCAATCTCATCTTTGAGGGAAGCGTGCTGCCCTGGATCTCTGAAAATGCAAGAGTATAAGTTCACGTCGTATGACAAGACATAATAGGCAGTATAACCCACTTTGATACGGTTGTCATGACTTGTGACAGCTGTCCTGAGCCCATGACCGAGACTTTGGCATTCTATAATGTATTAGTATTAGTGCAATCAACTCCCAAAGTTATTGAACCCGGTGCGACTCACAGGCCACATCCAAAGGAAGCGAGGCGAATACTAATGCACAGTTAGATCACTAGGGAATATGAATATTAATAGAACAAAGCTGCTACTCACAGCTCGACCAGCCATACCTACGATGCATGTATATATAAGTAAATTGATGCATTCAACAACCATGCGGCACGACTGACCATAATTTCCCGCTCCAAAGCTACCGCCCACGATGACAGTTAATTTAGGTACATCTGCGCACGCTACCGCTCGGACCATCTTTGCACCGTCCTTCGCTATTCCTCCTCGTTCAGCTTTGGAGCCAACCATGTACCCTACAAACCACTCAGACATCGTACACCACACGCTTTCAGGATTCACTGACCTGTGACGTTGACGAGGAAAAGAAGTGGAATTTGTCGTTGTGAACACAGCTGAATGAAATGCGTGGCTTTCAGAGCCGACGGCGAGAAAAGAATACCATTGTTGGCGACAATGCCAACTTCGTAACCGTGTACGTGTGCGAAACCCTAACAAATCAGAGTGATATATCATAAAAGCTCTTCACACCAGTAAACCAAGTGTGCTTACAGTAATCATAGTCGGACCATACTCTTTCTTGAATTCCCTAAACCGACTCCCATCCACCACGCGTGCAATAACATCTCTCATATCGAATGCTTGGCGAAGGTCAGTTCCAACAATACCATGAAGCTCTGACGCAGGATACAACGGTTCTTCCGGTCTAACGACAGGCTAGCAGTTGAAATCAGCAATGAGCTACTAACAGTCTTAAAACAAAACCTACCCTGGGCGTAACGTACCCTCCAGCTGTACCAAGGTCACCGATCACGCCCCTCGCAATGGCAATAGCATGCTCGTCGTCTCGTGCCAAATGGTCCGTCACGCCACTCTCGCTCGAGTGCATCAATCCTCCACCCAGCGTCTCTTCGTCGACTTCCTCCCCGGTGGCAGCTTTCACAAGTGGGGGCCCAGCTAAAAATATACGACCTTGTTCACGGACAATGATGTTCTCGTCGGCCATTGCAGGGACATACGCTCCACCTCCATGAATATATGCATCCGTATGAGATAGTTTTGTAGCATATTGTAGAATACATACCTGCAACAGAGATACCATGTACCATGGCCACTTGTGGTATACCAAGAGCTGACATTTGAGCCTAACATGGACTTGTGAGTCTGATTTGATTCGATAGTTTCACAAAAGCATACCATGTTATAGAATATACGACCAAAGTGCTCTTTATCAGGGAACACCTTGACAAAATTTATTCGTCAACACTTACTTGAATATCATGAACAAATTATGTACATACATTCGCCTGGTGAGGCAAAGCCGCTCCCCCTGACTCCACTATACCGATATTCATATCAGCAACCTCCACCCAAATCCCAAACAAATACATACCGACATACACGCAAGGCAATCCATTCTCCCGTGCAATCTCCTGAGCTCGGAGATGTTTCTTCACCTATGAGCATACATACAAGGCATTTGAAGTGCAGAAGTAACAGCGCAGATAAGAATACTCACAGTGAGAGGGTAATATGACCCTCCTTTCACAGTCGCATCATTAACAACCACCATACATTCCCTGCCCGCTATCCTTCCAATTCCTGTGATAATTCCAGCGCCTGGGATAGACTGACCCGGGTACACATCATGTGCAGCCAGCGACGATAGTTCCAAGAACGGTGTTTGCGGATCTAGCAAGAGTCCAAGTCTACAAAACCGACAATAAGACACGTCCAGACCAAGCTCACGGTGCTCTCTGGGACACGAATAAAAAGACAAGTGCAAACGCGTACTGACCGCTCTCGAGGTAGCTTCTTGCCTTTGCTCCGCATCCGCTCAGCTGCTTTCGGTCCACCACCCAGCCTCGCCTGCCCCATCTTGTCTTGAACATCGGCGACGAGCGCGTCCATCGCTTGTGATTTCGCCTGGAACTCAGGGGAGCCTGGTGAAACGAGGGAGGGAAGGACGGAAGCATGGTACGCTCGTCTACGCTGTGATCGTCCAGAGACAGCTTGTACGGTCTTGAGTAGCGTTCGCATATCCAAAGTCTTCACTTTGCAAGTATTTTAGTTCTCAACTTCGCGTTCAGTGACTGCCAGTGACTGTTATTGAAAGAGGTTCGAGCCGGTAGCTCGAAAGAACCGGCCGGAACTAACGCAGGCGAAGTCAAGTTAACGTTAACTTACACCAATAAGCGACATCTATTCTACAACAAGTGCCTTGCTTCAGACTTTAAGAAATAAAAGTAACATCACACCAGCATATATAAGTGAAGTGACATCCATATTACAGTACCAAACGTAGCCTCAGACGTGCAAACGTCCGTTTGATTCACTACCCTGCTAGAAATCTTTCCACTCGTCCCAGTCATCTTGTTTGGCTGCACCAGCTTGGGGTGCCTTTAAAGCTGTCGTGGCATGGGATACCGACTGGGACGAATGTTGTTGGCCATTGTTGCCATGTCGCGCGTCCACATACTCACTGAAGAAGTCATCCGTGTCATCGTGGTATAACGCAGAGGATTCCTCCTCATGCTCCGTCCCAACTGCCCCATACCCAGCACTCTGCGGGCCGCGACCAATCTTATCCTTCACGGTACCCACGACACCCCCTACATGATCTGCAACGTCCACTCCAAGCTGAGACTTGGACCACTGGTTCGCTGAACGACCTACTACCTCCGCGCGACGCTGCGCCTCTGAGACATACCCGAGCACACTGGCATGCAACGATGGGTCCCTCGCTCGCTCCATCCCAGGCTGTATAACATTCTCAGACACGGCGCGCGAAGCTCCTGCAACAGCTGCAGAAAATAAAGACCATCCTTTGCTGAGTGCAGCGGTAGGATTTTCCTGGAAATCAGAAAGCGACGGCGCCGCGGCAGAAGTCAGCCCAAAGGAAGGATGCTGGGAGGAGGGTGGTGGAGAAGGCGAGCTTCCAAATCCTTGGTATCGTCCACCCTGCGACGGGGGAAGGTCAGCTGGGCGAGATGCATTTGCTTGACCCAACGAAGCAAAATAAGCCTCGTTCGCGGTCTTCTGGTTCGTCGAGGCAAGGTCGGGAGTGGATTGACCAGAAGGACTGAAGGAAGCCGGGGACGTGTTACCGGTGGTTCGAGTTGATGTGCGAGATTTGCGGAGACCCTGAGCCGAGGAGGGCCGCCCAGGAGATGCGGTGCGGCTGGCGGGGCTAGATACCCTGGGAGGAGGACTAGAGTGAGTCCACGGTTTGCCAGCGAGTTCAGCATCTAACTAAAGCACATCATCAATCACGTCAGCCTTTGAGATAGGGATATACTGGAATAGGTAAGTACCTTTTCTCGATATTGGGTAGCCGCCCAGCAATGATAAGTATCATAGGAGCTGCTACCATCTGTGTAGCCCCCTTGATCGGCAGGCGAATACGATTGCATAAAGTGCCTAAAAGGAGCGTTTCCTCCGAGCTGCATGGAAGGATGAGTGTGACCGTTGAAAGAGATAGGATATCGGTGCTGACCTGCATGCGCCTGATTTGCTCATCTTGCCAGGTGTCCATCGAGACAGATCTGACGAAGCTGGCCAGAAAGGGTGAGAGCCCCTTTAAACGGTACAGAATGGAGAACGGACCTGACATGGACACCAAACCCTCTATGGGTGCCAGCACATTGGAGACAAAGGAACACGGCAAAGCTAACTTGGAAGGTTATGGGAGAATGGAAGGAGGGAGGGGTGGGTGTGTGCTGACCTGAGGGAGGCCCATTGCGGATTTGGGTTGGCACAGTCTATGCAAGTCTTATTCTTGAGGTCGTCACGTTTGATAAGATCCTGAAGGGCCTTTTTGGCTGCAGCCTGGTCAGCCATGGCGTGAAAAAGGAAGAAGCCAGTTTGGAGGGGAGTGACACCTGGCATCGTGGGAACGACATATCCAGTTCGGGACGAGCACGTGGCGGGTGTATGTTCTCAACGATGGAAAGTTAGGTTCAGCAACGATCTACAAGAAGAATATAAAGTCCACCGGTGCAGAATGATTTAATTCATTGCTGAGAATACAGAGAAGAGTGCGTGTGCGCGTGGCCTGATCGCATGCCGACAAAGGGTGACTGGAGTGTGCAAAATGGACATGGCTCGCGGTCCCACGTCTGTCCGTGTATACCAGGGCTGGTCGGAGAAATTATCAGATAACAAGACTCCATCGGCTTGCGAAAAGCGACTGCATACAATTAGCGTTTTGGGATGGACCAAGCCTTTTTTCCACAAGGACACCGGGCCAGTGGAGGTGATGGCCGAATGGGCTGAGGTTAATTCTCCCAGCCAGGTTGTCGGCAAGATAGCAGCGAGGCAAGTAGCTTATTGTACAGACGATGAGGTTACGAGAGATGCTGGATGCCGGTTACGTTCGTGACGGGATCAGTTGTGCACTGGATTTATGACTTATGCAATTCACTTTGCTTTGCGGTGGCGTGACCCGCGCAGTGCCTTAGCAAGGCCTCGATCGACGCCGGAGAGCACCAGCCTATCGCCCACTCACATCCCTGCTCGCCATCGCCAGCGACGACGACGGCGGCACATTACACAGCGACCACATCTGAGACTCCGTCTCTTATTCGCCCTCTGAGAATTCTGCGTCCGCCACTCGTTGCCATTCCAGCACCAGCCCGACAAAACAGGTTCTCAGGCAATTGACCGTTCCTTCTTCCCCTGCAGGCTCGCAAACCTTTCGCTGTCTTTTCACCTAATTTTATCCGTAGACTTCTTGACGTGAGAACTTATCTTATCTGATTCCCAAGTATTTCTTCATCTCTTAACAATTCCATCTCTCCAGCCAACAAACATCTTCTTAACTCGTCCACTCATACCGTCACCCAGACTGGATACCTCCCCGCAAGGCTCGCAACGCGCGAGCATGATTCATAGAATAAATCCCCGCAGCGCTCGCCCTCCCACACCGCCTCCTCGACAGCTCAGCAGCGACAGTGTCGAGCACTGGGGTCAGTGGTCAGGTCGCAAGTCAGTTACACAGCCTGGTTCACGCGTATCTACCTTACTTTTTTTCTCATCCTTTTCTCTTTCCAGACACTACTCTCTTGAAGTCGTTCAGCACCCTCTCAGGGCGCGAATGTGTGGTTTTGGCGACAAGGTGCGTGTCCTCCCCAACGACATGTCAATCCGCCCATTTTACCCGCTCAAACCCGTCAGGACCGCCGTCCTTTGGCGCCCGCGGCAGTTGCCAAAATGGTGGTCAGGAGAGAAGACAACTCGCTCGTGGACGTTGAGTGAGTCATCACCTATCTTCATAATGGTATGATTTACACTAAGAGACAGAAATAGCGACTTGGACTACTCTTTTTTCCTCGTGACCGTGGACCTCTGGTCAGCAGACGGAAGAAAGGAGATGAACCTCGTCTTGCACCCATCTTCAGCGGAGCGTTACGTACCAACAACGCATGCCGCAAAACCACGAAGGCGCGGTACCGGTCCCGCTGTCTCAACCCCGCGCAATGGCCACCAGAGCCCTACCTCGTCGCATTCCACCCCAAATTCCACGCACTATCAATCACGGCTCCCCGCAGACCAACACGTTAGTCAAGACTTGGTTTTTTTCCCTCACGATAACCGCTAATCTTATTGTCACTGATTTCTACCCCCAAATTTGCCATCTCAGACGGCGATGCCCATGATGCAGCCTCCCATTCAACCAACTTACTCTAGTCAAAGTTATCCCTATTCCCAACAGGCTCCCTCGATGCAAGAACCTATGGGCTTTACAGCCTCGAATCCCTACGGTTCCACATCTGATTCCACGCCTGCATGGGGATATACGCCTCAGGCTCCTCCTATCGATCGCACCTCAAACTATCAACAACATCCATTAACTTCCAGAGAGTCCTTCGGACGCAGTACTGCACAAACCGGCATTGGCATGGCGACTTCTAGCACTACTGAAACTTGGCAGAGCGACAGCTCTTTCCGTGAAGATACAGACACAGCACCTTATCGTGGATGGCCCGCGGATCCCTCGTACTCTTCTGTAATGGAGACACCCCAGAATAATGTCTACTCTAGCCCAGAAAGCGATCCAGCCTTACGCCCCGCTTCCTTGCAGACATCTTCGCACCATGATATTCGCGAGGCCTGGTCACAGCCCATATCGACAGACTCCACTTCTCATCAGAACAGGTATTCTCAGGAACCATTCGGCCCGACGCCAGCCAATCCCTTCGACACTACGTCGATGTATGCACCGCCAACATATTCTCAACAGTCGCCACCAACATCATATTATCAAGCTAACTATGTTCAAAGTTCACCGCCGCCACCACCACCACCATCGTCTTCAAATAATCCACCTCTTCCGCGGCATTCCTATACACGGACGCTTGTCGGACCTCTCTCCGCCAATGCGTGTCGTTTGCTCGACGAGCATCGCAAACCAGGTATATTTTTCTTGTTCCAAGACTTATCAGTTCGCACAGAAGGTGAGATCGGCTTTTCTCCCCGCTGCTTGGCACGTATAAACGGGGGATCGATCTAGGTACTTTCCGCTTACGACTACGCCTCATGAATGTTGGCGCGTAAGTTCACGACTTGTTCTATTAAAATGGTGACAGGTACTAGACCTTACTTTCTCTGAGTATAGCCCTCCTGCTCCTGAAGCGGGTGCGCTCCGTGTCCATACGGATATGTCGCCCGTCCTGGCGCAGACATTTACGGAACCATTTGTTGTCTATTCTGCTAAGCGCTTCCCAGGTGTTCCAGGTAAGTATTAGTGCAATGGCTAAATACAGTACAGTCTTTTTACAATTCGGCTTTGATACCAAAATCTATCCCCACAGATACCACTGCCCTATCTATCGCTTTTGGTAATCAAGGCCAAAAACTACCTCTGGTAAGATCCTTCCGCCCCGTCTGAGTCGGACACAGCCCACAACTTAACCCAAACCTCGTTGCAGCGAAACCGTCATGGATCAAATAAGCAGGGCCGACGACGGCAGCGGGAGGGCGATTCTGACGGGTCTGACGACTCTGACGAGTCATGAGTGTTCGTCTGGCGATAATTATTTGACATCAGATAACCACCGATTATCAGACTGTATTCCATATCGTCATTTGTTTTTGCTTTCGTCCCATCAGCCCTTGGGCCTCACTTGTAGTTATTGTACTTGCTATTTCATTTCACTGGCTTTAGCTCCATCCCCCGAGTATACGCCCACCGTGTACTTCTCGTCGTCGCTCTACGCGCTCGTGGTCGAGAGCAATCTGGACAGAAAGAGGATAGTTGTGATAGATACGGTGGAGGATATCTGTCGCCAGCTGAGCATTAACTGGTCCCTGATTCAGCGCGCCGTCGCTAGTGTTTGAAGTTTCATTCTTGGGCTGTACAGGCTGTACCATTATCCCTGAATCTAGATGCATTAGCACCATTGACAAAACATCCAATGTTGCAGAGTGGGGGCGCCAGACATTCCAAGACGGTGAAATTTGATGGAGGATGTGAAGAGGATGTGCAAAATCGGCCGATACTTCCTCTGTATCCAGTAAAGGTCCTAATCTCTTCGTAGCTTTTTGGACGGCCTGTGCTCTTCGGTTTTGCTTGTGCATCGGAGATTCAGATGATGGGTCATCTGCATCAGGAGGAGCCGCGTCAAAAATCAAGGGTGATTCTGGATCGGTTGCTCGATTGCCAAGTATATGCTCGCTTTGCCGCTGATACGGGAGAATGACACGCTCTATAATTTCGAACGCTCGCTCTGGTTCGCCAGCACGAACGAGAGCAACGGCCAGATGATTCCAGTTGTGAGAATCGAAACTAAAACCCTGTGATCTTGCCGATCCCCACACCTCGGCAATTGTTAAATGCTCTCCTGCCGCGGATAGTGCGTCGATATAAATGGAGAGGGGGATACACAGAAGATTCCCTTGGCGTACTATTGGTTGGTTTGAAGAGCTAGTGGTGTCACCTTGGAATAAGGAACCTAAATTTGAGAAACGAAGGGCTAGTTGCCAAATCTGCGGCCAAATATCGTGAACAGATTCAATATCACCGCTTCTTCGATATGCATCAAGGAGCATCGTGAGTGTCCCCAAGGACGGTTCCCCACCAGCCTGTATCATACCCTCGAATAATCTCTCGACCTCTTCGGGTTGCTGTTGCCGTGTGTAAGCAAGCATGAGCGGGCGGTAGACGTGCTCTAGGGTCGACTGACGCGTGCCGGAAGTCCTCCAACCACGTTCGCTGGATTCTTCCTCCATAATGCTCCGAAGGAACGCCTCCGCTATCCGCATACTTTCCTTTGTCTTCTCGTTGCCATAAGCCTGTAAAATGTGACTGTATGTGATAGAACTTGGTTGTATGCCCCTGTCCTGCATATCCTCGTAGACAGCCTTCGCACGCACTTTGTCCCCCAGTCGCAGATAACCGGCCATGATGATAGTGAGAACAAACTGGTTGATGTGAAAATAATATTGCCAATCCCGCGACGTTCGTTCCATCCTTTCGTAGATATCCAAGGCGATTCTCATCAGGCCAGCATCACATGCAGACTGAATTAAGAGTGCAAACGTGTGGTTGTCGGGCGCCACACCACTTGCCTCGAGCTTGCGAAAAGTTGAAGATACGACACGAAATGGAGCACCAATAAGTACGTAGGCCTTGAGCAAGGTGTTGTAGACTTCGATGGAAAGCTTGACACGACGAGAGGGGGAAGACTTCAGGAAATCAAACACGCGGACAACGCCAGGCCAGGAGCCTGCTTCCACGTGTGCATTCATTAAGGAGGTTATCATACGACGGTCAGGCTCAATGCCCTCGCGTATAGCGCGCTTATAGATGGCCTCTGCAGCTACTGGATCCTTCTTCTTTGCAAGGAGAGTAATCACAGTGGTGTAGAGAACGTGAGTGGGCATTATTCCAGCGGTACGCATCTGATCCAGGACCGCAGCAACAGCATCGACCTCGCGCCGGATGGCAAAACTCTTCAGGACGATATTATAGACATAGACGTCTGGTGGGAATCCAGCTTTTGACATAGCTTCTAACCAGAAGTTCAACCCGTCAAAGTCTGCACGTTGCGCATGTGCAAAGATGACCGCGGTATAGTGGATGATGTTTGGTTGTTGTGTTCTTGTAGCGTCGTCTGGAAAGTGTTCGTGGAAAAGCTTCACGACCTTCTCAACACCACCTGATACAGCGTACGCGTGCATGAGCATTCCTATATCCGCTAGAGACGCCCATTTAAAGTCCTGCAGTTCATTGAAGTAGTGATTGGCACGACCTGTCTCTCCCTGGTGCGCGAATAAGTACAAGCCAGTGGATAGATGAAATTTGAAAGTGGAGCCATTGGGATCTGAGGATAACGACGAGAAGAGCGCATTGGCACGAAGAAAAGCGTCATCCCGAGCTAACGCCCTGACCACGCTAAGCTTTAGTTGATATGGTATAGAAAGGCCATGTCTTTCCATTTCTTCCATTACGGCGACTGCATCATCTGATAACTGCTCTGCACAGTATACTTCTATGAGAAGTTCACAAGCTCGCTGCTTGTGATGTTTTGCCCACGTACGACGCTCTGAAAGAATGTTGGTAGGATTGGTTATGTTGCTTAGAATTCCAAAAACAGTTTCACGAAAGACCCTCGTTTGTGAAAGTATGTCTTCGTGCTGATATCGAGAGTAACGGCCATGCAAATATGAACCCACAACATCCCACTCCTTGATTAAGAAGTCGAGAACATGACTAACACCGTGCTGCCGTTGAGTCGATAGGATGAGGTTCTGGTAAACATGAAGAACTCTGCTCTTGTCTCTATCGTCCAGAGGAAAACTTTGCAATTCCTGAGCTGTAGATATCGCCATCGGCAAATCTCCTAACCAAGTTTGTGCCTTTACTAGGAGACACATTCTCACCAGGTCCGGGGAAGAATGACGACGTAATTGTGTTTCAATGCTTTGCAGAAGAGCTGCAATCCGAGTACCCCATATATGTAGAGTGTCAAGATCAAATATCTTGTGTGGATCTGGTTCTGCAGCTGCTGCGAGTTTCTCCGCAAAACATAGCACCTGCTCTGGCTCCAGCATGGTACGTTCGGGCGAATTTAAAAGAGTGTCATAAATGCTCCACGCTTCTTCTAAATCAAAATCATCCTCCGGGGCATGCAATAGCATCATGAACTGTTGAAGAGGTGATCCTGCCTTGCTTGAGCTTGACACAGACTCGGAAGAAGCGGGTTGAGACTCTATCCGAGAAGGTTGTTGAGCTCGAGCAGGAAGAGAGGAAGCATGTCGACGCGTCGAGTGATGAGTTACACTTCGTCGATGAAGCCTTGGTCGACGAGGAATCATCTCATCCATCATGAGCAAGCAATTTCTTCCTTTGGTACAAGGATGATGATGAGACGCGTAGAAAGTGGGTACAGAAAACAAGTCTTACTTGGACACCAGATGGAATGCCTTGTGACGCAACATGAACTGAGATTATATGTTAAAGACGACTCAGCGCAACGGCTACATTCTGCATCCGGTACCTCACGACCTTTGCCTTTGGAAAGCCTCGCATGGGGAGTGAAAAAGTCATTGGAGAAGGTTGAGCGTACAGGTCGGCCCATGACACTCAGGAAAGATTTGAGATTTGGGTGACGCGGCGAAGAGGTTCGGCGCAGTAGTAAGGTGGTGAGTATGACCGAAGCCAAAGGCTCGACCATGGGGGCACTCGTACTACGAGTACCGTCAAGCCTCTGCCTACAACAATACACCAAAAGGTCAGTAAAACAGTACGAATAACATAGAGGCCAATAGTAAGAATAGATACCTGCAGTGTTAGTGAGGAATGCAAAGAATTATGAGGCTTAAAAAATAAGCCCGTGCTTGAATGAACTTTTGGGACAGCTCAACCCTTTTCTTGGACGTATTGACCTGTGTTTGGTTCTTGTGGCTTTCAGCCTTGCTGTGTCTGCTACTGCATAACCGCGACATTGACCTCTAATAGTCACTGCTCAGAACTGTCAGTATAGTTCTACGCTCTTGACACACCAGAAGCTAAAACCAGTGTAGAGTTTACTCTTAATATGTAAAGACACGATGCTTACGCTCTCAGATCAGTGGCGAACCCTGTATGTGCCACTATGTGGGCCTTTCCAGATAAACCTCGGACCTATCACTTCTCCTGTGTCGTTTTTCATCTTCTATAAACAACTAGCTTTCGCTTCTTGATATTTCTTAGATGAGCATGAGGTGTGTGATATGATGGCATGGCTGGTGGATCTGGATTGATACTAGCGAAATATGGTGTATGAAGAAGCTCGTTACCCCTCTTTCGCTGCCAAGCGGCTCACTTGGACTGCTTTAACTTGCTCCATCCGGGCGATACTGACATGTTCTATGAAGAACGAGCACCATCCTTCTATCTTATGCTGCGAGACACTGACCTTGGTCACTGCTCAGTCTTAATTGCATTTGTGAGGCTTTATCTGCATATCAAATAATGCGTCATGTCTGGGGTAACCTGGGGTCTGGCTTTTCTTCTATATCGCGCTTCAGGTTCAGGCTCAGGAAGGATACATTTCGAATGTCCCGTGGTCAGGGTGTCATTCCCAACTGATTGTTCTGATTATTGATAACGCCCATAGCGAAGACCGACTCTGCCGACCGATCGCAAGACGCCGACTCGAGGTCTTTTGATGTTTCCATCATCCATGTGACTCATTTTATCCCAGACCTGTGGCATTGGGGACTGTGTACATACAATTGTCGCTTGTATTTAGTACTTCTCAGTGTGTATCTTTGTCTCTTATTTCCCAAAATCACGTTCTGATCTCTTCCTCCTTATCAGGAAACACATCTTCGTCCAATCAGCCGGAACAAAACACCAAAACACCAAGACATATTTGGGCAGATCTCCCAAAAGATGGCAGATGACACATTCGAGCGTCCAGCTCACGAAACCATCGTTGTCCCGGCGGTTGGTCAGGAAGGCCACAAAGAACTCCAGGCGCAGTGCATTGGCGTCCGAATAGAAGTTTTTGTGCATGAACAAGGATTTCCGCTTGACGTGGAAGTTGACGAGTACGTTACGCTTATCCGATTTCATCTTTATATCGTTATCTCTTTTTTCATTAATTGATGTCAACGCAGGCATGATCCGACGGCCACCCACATCTTGCTTCGCCTCAAACCTTCTCTTACACCTATAGGAACAATACGAGCAATCAAAGTAGCAGGAGCGCGTTACTACAAACTTTCCCGATTGGCAGTGTTGAAAGATTATCGCCGCTATCGTTTTGGTCGCGATCTTGTGCTAGCATTGCATGAGTGGGTAAGAGAAGACGCAAAGGAATTAGGGGAAGCTAAAATGGCGCAAGTGGTCTGCCATTCACAGTTACCCGTCAAGTCATTTTACGCAAAGTAAGCCAACGCCGTTCATGAATGTCACACACTGTCTAACTCCTATTCTGCATCAAGGTATGGTTATCTACCAGAGGTGAATCGTTTATCCGTACTGCGGATTCATTCTTCTCTAACTGATGGATTCTCCCTATCAGGGCGAAGAATTCGATGAAGATGGTGCTCCTCATCAGAAGATGGTCGCTCGATTATCTCTACAAGAATAGGGATTCGCGTGTATTTTATCCCTCAAGCGGGATTCAGTGTGAATGTATAGTAGACTAGTAGAGAACACTCTAGCAATACAGCAAACATATAACAAGATCATCATATACAAGTCCGGTGTCGTGATAGTGTCGTAATAAACCTAAGAAACCTAAACTGGACGGGTAAACTAAACGTCTGCAACTCCTCGAAAAAAAAGTAAATCGAGAATGATCAACTCCAATGTATGATATATGAAACAAGAAATGGTATATACGGGGTTTAGTACCGGGTATAACGATCGACTCCATCGTCTGTGGCGACGCCTTCACTCTCACTCTCCGAACTGAAGGATTCCGTCTTGATAGGACGCAAGGCTCGGAATGGGCTTTCTCCTGGACTTCCAGGCAATATACTGAAATTGATGCTCGTCCCAAAACCTGTGGTGCCTTCCTCGTACATCCTCCTAGCAGCTTCGTAATCAAGCTTCTCTTGTTCCGCTTGTGCAAGGAAAGGCTGCATGAGAGAGAAAAAAGTTTAGGAACCAATAACCAAGTCAACAATAAACAACTTACTTTCCGCTCATCATCTGTCATAGAGCGCCATTTAGCAGCCGCTAATACACTTTGCTTCGTAGTTTCCTGTTCTTCCCCGAATACCTCCCTTACTAGGGCAGGTTCCGAACGAATGCGCTGCAGAAACATGAAGTACGCGCTCAGCGGCTTCTTCGGAGCATTAGGATCCTTGATATTGCTTTTGCGTGACTTCCCAGCCTTGCGCTGCGCAGTCCGGAACGCGTTCTCGCGTTTGATGTCTTCCGGTGTCAGGGTCCTCATGTAGGCCGCATGTTCTCGTTCCCGCGCTTCCTTCAGCGCCAGAGAACGTCTCTTGTATGGCTAGAACACAATAGATGAGTAGCTGCGCCTTAACACGAGGGATGAACAGCAATGTACCTCCTTCTCCTCCGTACTAAGGCTCGCGTATTCCTGGCCCGCTTCCTTGGCAGCCTGCGCCACATTCAACTTTCTTGTGTTGGTGGCTTGGTGCCTTTGAATCCAATCCGTAAAGTACAGTTGCCAAGCAGAGGGCGCAAGCTTGGGCGGCTTTAGGGTAGACTTCAGTGGAGCTAAAGAAATAAGGTAAGCAAACGAAGATACCGAGTGCGGTGCTTTGCGGAGGAAAGGGAACTTACGAGTGTCGCTGGCTTTCTCAACAAGCTGAGGCTCCTCGGTGGGCAACCTCTTCCTGCGCCGGACAGTGGCATCACGATCATCGCTGACGCTGACAGAGTCGGCTCGGCGACTATAGTTCCTGCTCAGCGTCGGGCTATTCATTTGCATTGGCGACGGAGCACTCGAGGATTGGAACAATTGTCCCAGAGAGCTGGCGTCCCTTCTCATCGGGAAGCGCTGCCGTTTCGTAGGGTAAGGGTTCTCTGATAGGGGCTGATGGAGCGCCGGAGGCCGTGAAGACGACGTGGTGCGAGGATAATTGGACTCGTTCCATAGCTGTGAAGCCCACGCAGGAGGCTGAAGCGATGTATCACCCGGCGATATCGACATGAGTGGCTGCCCTGGTGAGCTCAGATAATCATCGGACGCATCTGTAGGAGATAAAGAACGTGGAAGCGGATGCAGCGCCGCAAAGTCCGACGGCGAAAAAGAGGCATTCTGTGGGAAAGGATGGAGGTCGACGTAGGGAAGGAAAGCAGGGGGAGAGTGCTGATCGGAAATGGCACCTCGAATAGGTATAGGTGAAGAAGAAGATTCGGGGGCGGGTAGCAATGGCTCGTTCAGCCAGCTCGATAGATACTTGTTGTCGTCGAAATCAGGCAGTGTAGATTGAACATCCCCCATTCCTGCAAAGGACCCAGAATCAAAAAATGTATTGCTTGGGGACGACGCGTCCGTTACAGAGAAGTCAAATTGGTCTCGAGGAGACAATGGAGGTACGGACAAAGTGGGGGACATGTTATTATGAGGAGAGTAGTCCTGCAGAGAATCCCATGACAACGGCATCGATGGGCTGTACAAGTGACCCTCGTCAAATTCGAGAGGACCGAATATCATCTGGTCGCCATCGGTCGGAGAGTAATTGAAGCAGGAGTTGTCGTCGAAGTTCATGAGGGGGGTCGCGTCTTTCATCGCGGAATCGTAGGGGAACATGTTGTGGGATGAGGAGTCTGAACGCGATGAGCGGCGGTAGAAGGTGTTGGTAGGCATTGCGAAAGAGGGAGGGACGTGCGAGAGAAAAGAGGAAGGGACGAAAGAAGGTCCTTTAATAGTAGACGGAGCCGCGGTACGATGACACAGCGCGAGTCTGCCAGCGGCATCCAAACAGTTGTACCATCGGGGAAGCACCAATCTGAGAGGGGCTCGGCTTGATATCATCGGGCGGCCCTCGAAAGGATTTCCAAACTGGTATGTGACAGGCTACTGACTCGAGAAATGAATCAGCGGCTCGAATCTGGTAAAGCTGAGTTAGCCCGAGCCCCTACAAACGGTGATGGCTTCTTGAGCTAAAAGAGGAGAGGATAAAGACAGGCCAATAATAGTATCCCCTTACCGTCCAGGGAATTCCTCGAAGTATAAGATTCAGGTGGTACCCCGATACGCATAGTTTGCACGACTGGATTTGGACAGTGACGCCAATCCCTGGAGATCACAAGCGGTGTGATATCTAGCGAATCTATAGCAAGCTGTCCATCAGCTGGACAAGCCACGCGAATGGAAATATCACACCAGCAAACCTGTGCAGTGGCCAGGACAGCACTGGATAATAAAAATCAGAAAAGTCAGCAGAAAATAATAGAAAATACGTGCGTGACCTGGCGTACATGCAAAGATAGAAGGAGACAAGCGCGCCCGGCCCTAAAGTGCCATAAGCGGCAGAAAGGGCCCGCCACACAGGTCGCTATTGTACATCGCCACCCGCCACCCGGGGCTAGTATCCGTCAGGACTCGGCGGAGCCAGATCACACTCATTCCAGCACTCATTGGGGGTCCGTAAGGGCTGTGTCTCCCTGCTCACTTCTACAATGGAAGAATCCGTCTCTGTTAAGATGATCCTGGCATCCATTAAGTCTGTATAGAGGGAAAGTTCTACCAATCATAGCACGACAATCGATTCTGCCGACCGATAGCGCGCATTGTTGTACACACTTTTGCCGGGCTTGCGAATCGGCGATAAAAAGAATTTGACAAGTTAAAGGACACCGGAGGAACATCGAGAAATCACATCAATCACTTCTTCTGGCCATCAGACAGGGGTTAGGTGCACTTACCTCCCATCCCTTGACGTCTTTCATAATCTCCTTTTCTCGCTCCACTGCTGCTACCTCGCGACGATACGCGTCACGGTCTCCCTCCGCTAGCAGCAGCGGGACCAGATGGATACGGGACCAAACTTTCTCTCGCTGAAGCTCCCTGTGGATCCAACATGCCATATCAGTTAAGCTACCCATTTCTGGCACGGCCCGAAAGAGGACTCGGTCACTGATAAGAGCTGCGGCCGGATCCACTAAAGAAGGCCACGTTTCACGTTGAGCGCACCATGAGACGGCACGTTTAACATCCTGCTGACCCAGAATACCTCTTTGTCGGAAATTTCTAAAAGACGCGAACATACCTTTTCTCCAGATTTCCCTTTCCAACTCTATAGAAGCCATACGCACACACGGCTGTCACGGCGCCGAGAATAACAAGACCGCTCGGACCGCGGAAGGGCAGATTGCGCTTATACTTTACGGCCTCGAAGCCCCCAGGAGGGGGCATATCCCTGACAGCGAAAAAAAAAAAAAAAATGCGAAAATGACAGAAAAACAAGTCAAAATGACACGCACTGTCTGTACTGCAGAGACACTGTAGGGTTCGCAGAACGAAGCATGTCACGATGCTGCTGTAATAGAAGACATAATGTCAACTTACTAGCTGGGTGTTATGACGGGGACGACAGCCAAGAAAGATATGGCGTTCGTTGAGCACTGGAAGGTGTTGTGCAGCCTCGATGTTGCTTGCAGAGGCCAGCAGCGAGCTGGACACCCTGCCCTAAAGTGACGATGCACGTGACATGCACGGGAGGATCCGAGATATTACCTAATATAGTACTGCGCCATAGTTCCGTCGACCGCATTGAGAAAGAAAAGAATAAGTGGATATCGTGGTGTAAAGGCTGTAAAAAAAAGTGATTGTGGATGGTGTGATATTGAAATCAAAATATTTGAAGGATGTGTGGCACGTTGTGTGCCTATCTGAGATTGTTGGAAGGGCCTTACCCAACATGTGCTAGCACTGGAGCTACGCGTGAATCAAATGACCAGCCAGGTTTGAACTGGTTGGGTGTATATTCCCATGGAGTATTTATTGGTGCGGGAATGGGTGGTCAGTGCGCAGACGGCGTGCTCGCTGTGTGCTGGATGAAGGCAGCGACGTAATTAAGTGGCCGCGGCGTCGAAGGCTTTGATTGGAAGGGGACTCAACGCCCAACCAAACATTGGTAAAAAGCAATGTAATAAATATACCCGGATGCGAACTCGGCGTCTCAGCCTTCTTTGACACTCTCAAGCGCCGCCATCATGTCTCGCCAGCCATCCCCAGGCCCTTCCCAGCCACATCCCCTCCCCGCCCAAATGCTCCTCCTCGCTGCATCCACCCCCGCAACCCGCCAGAAATCAAAGTCCTACGCGACGGGCATCGCTGCAGGCGCAGAAGACGAAAAGTACCAGGCAAAGTACAAGGAACTTAAAAGAAAAGTAAAAGAAATAGAACTCGTGAGTCGTCGCTCCCACCACCAGAAAAAAATCTGTATCAGACACTCATGCTCGCTCTCAGGACAATGACAAGCTGCAGTTCAAGGTTTTGCAGTCGAAAAGAGCGATACAGCGCATGAAGGTCGAGCGAGCGTCAGTATTGCAACTCTTCTTATCTAAACCCATATTCAACTCGTCAATCTCTATCAACAGTGTTCTCTATGAACGTCTCTCCGTCGTACCACCCTCTCCAACCTTCCATGATCGTCAAGCTCTTCCGCCTTTGCACCCTGGCTCTAGAGGCTCTCCCCATTCTCACCCCGCTGGCATCCCTGGATATCACCAACACCGCGACCACCAGCCAGATCACGATGATCATGCTCTCCTTGAATATGTGCGCACCCATCCCAACGTCCGCGTCGTCTCAGGTCCGGATGGCCGCCCTGTCCCAGTATCAGGCATCCCCATTGGACCCGGCGTAGCTCCCTCCCATTCCACGTCAGCGTCTCATGCCTCAAAACGCGCTTCTGCCACAGGCCATGATTCCTCTCGCCAGCTCCCACCCCTCTCCCAGGTCACTCCTATCCAACATTTGGAACCGCCGAGGATACATGGCCACTCGCAGTCCCACAGTCCCAGGCTAAACTCTCACGGAAACCACTCCCGTTCACGATCCCAGTCCCACTCTCGAGGACATCAAGGTCCGCCCCAGGGATACCATCCAGGGCAGCCGCAGCAGTACTCTCCCGAGTTACTGCCTCCTGTGCAGCATGTTCTTCAAAGTCCTCCCATTCCTGTTGAGAGAGAGCGCTCAAGGCGTCACGAAATGCACGATCGCGGCAGCATGCACGGACATGGCGACTCTCATAGCCATGGTGGAAGATACCAAGTGCCTCATGCTCACCCGTCCACTCCATCATCACAGTTGGCGTCACCCACAATTACCCGAAGTTCCGCCCGCCTTCACAATCACCAGCGCGTAGGTCCCGGTGCAAACATCAATCACCACGAACTGGATCGCGAGCGTGAAATGGAAAGGGAGCGTGATTGGGATCGTGACCGCGGACGCGAGCATGAATTGGTACGGGATAGGGAACATTCCCATTCGGCAAGGTTAAGCTCGCCTCAGGGGGGCCACCGATCCCGTCAGCCCCAAGAGAGAGGTGATTATCGCGAACAAGCTCCACCGTCGTACCGAGAAACCAGGGACAGGGCTCGAGATGAACAATCTTATCAGCGAGAACCTGTAGCTTATACCAGTGCTTCGCGTTCTGGTACTCCGGGCTCAGGCTCCGGCTCGGGTTCAGGCAGTGGTGGCAATGGTGCCGCCGAGGGCCCGTCACGGCCGGACTCTCGTTCCCAGTACTACGACCGGGAAAGGCAGAGACCCTATGCACCGCGCACAGTTAATCAGCAGCAAGCGCCGAGTGAAGACCTGGATTTTGTGCATGAAGATGGTCGATCTCATTCCCGTGACTCTCGTGATCGTGGCAGTGGTCCTTTTGTGCCGCCGGAACAGCATCGCCCTCCTATAGAAGTATCGAGAAAGCGGTCTCGTAACGATATGGAGGTGGATGAGGAGGATGACGTCGATGCTTCTCCCGTGGGAGGTAGCTCAGGGGGAGGAGGGGGAGGAAACACAAAGTTCCCAGGTGGGCACCTTTCGGACGATAGGGGAGGAAAGAGGATGCACCATGACGCACATTCTGCTACTCCTTCCCATGTGTCGGATGCCCAAGAAGAGCCCGAAGGGGAACACTCGGATGCTTAGAGTATAAATTTGTCTATCTGGGTGACAGGACGGCGACTAGATTCCTATTTTGATATTCTTGAGTTCTGGTACTTCTGATGGTCCATTGTGCGTTTGTAAATGTTGTTACATAGTTCGGTATACGCCTAATGAGAGTGAGCAATTCTTGGTTTAATGTGTGAACATCATTGTTCTTCCAATTGCATTGTCCTAACTCTAGTCGGAATTGTGCGCTATTAATTCACCAATCATGTGCAGTCAAAGGTCTCCGAGGAGAGGCTTGAAACGGATCAAGGTATAGCTAATTCCGTTTGGGTCCATCTCGCAGTTCTCCTTATTGGGGGAGCTTCGAAAGGATGAATGACAGATAGCACATGTATTAATCGCAGTAAGTAACAGAGTCCCAACGGAAAAAAACTACCTAACCAAGCCCACAAAACGAAACAGATGTGGCTGAGCCAATCATGCATTAATCATGCTTAACCCTGTCTTTACGATTCGTCAGCTCACAATGAGTAAGAGGGGGCGTCGCTCTCTGATCCGAGTCCGAGAGCCAGGCCAAAGTGGATCGCTCAGCAGATATCGGGTAGTCTGTGGAAATTGCCTCCGCAGTCGGATGAACGCCATCCCATATGGTTTCTTGATCAGCCCAATAGGCGTCCAAATCACAGGGATCATCGAACAAGTACTCCTGACGCACAGCAACTCGACTGCGATAGACTGCGTCTTCTGTTTCACTTTTAGGCCTACGTGTGAGATCAATGGGCCGGTGATCTAATACGATGTCCATGATAGTGGGCCTATATCCGAATATCTCTGACTCGAGGTCGGCAAATTGACGTGCCTCCAATAATATTCGCTGTGCGTCTGACATGGGAAAAGAGGGATTGACATCCTGGAGAACAATGGTGCGATCGAGCATCGCCGCGGTATCCAGGTCAGGAGAGAGGGGCCGCCCATGAAGACTGCGAGTAGGGGTCCACGTCTTCCTCGTACGTGAACACGTCTGTTTGGAAGCACTGTCGGCCGAATCGGCGGGTTGCACTTGCGGTCTGCATTCCCTGTTCCACAATTACACCAAAAGTGAAAGATCAATAGAATTCGCAGTGCTTCTTGGAAAATGACTCAACTTGTTGGGCATAGCTAGCACGTGTTTCTTTGTAGGAGAAGCAAATACACCAGCTGTTACAGGATTCAAAATGTTACAGATGTCCATTGAATGGTTGCGCTGCGGCGGTGAACAGGCTTCTATCTATCAAAGATGGAGGGCGCGTTCCATGATCCCTTTCCATCTTCCATTTCCATATACCCTCCCGAGTCAGTTTGAGTCCGCACGGCGGTCCAGTGCGGTAGTGACCGTGACAATGGGGCATTTATAGGACTGGCAGTCTGAAAGAAAACACACAAGGCGGGCGGACTGCGGTGCTGACAATCGTGTTGCGGTGATATGTTGACACGCTGCCAATTGGGCGCAATTTGAAGCGGAGGCTTTCCATCCTTACTGGTAACACGCACAACTCACAAAGGTCTTAAGAAATGGAAGCGGCTCCTAGCAAAGTTTGGAAATGCGTAACGCGTGGAACGGCCACAAAGCACAATGGAACTTGAAAGTACTGTAAACATCCGTCATTGAGTTTTGTGCAGTGTCAAAACAGAGTGATGGTACTTTACGGATTACCCGGAAAATGTCCATCTTGATACAACACCCGTGTGTGTATTATGGAAGTCGCCCTCACTGTAGAATTGGCCTGCAAATGGTTGTGTTCGATGACCAGTCAAGAGCCGAGTTAAACGGGCTACGCCGCTATGGAGGCGACCACTGGCACTGGTTCCTGCACATGCATGTGTTGACGGGGTCCAAATTGCTGTCAAACGTGCAACCGTGACAGTGGCCCTTTGGCCCTCGATACGATGCCTCAAAGTAGCCTCAAGCCTTATCCAGCTCGTAATGAAAACGTGTGCTACATGCTGCCGTTAAAGAAAGCTGGAGTAAAGTGTGGTGAGTGGCACAGCTCGAGGAAGAACTAATCTTCAGAAATCGAACTCAGGCTTTCAAGCCCCTGAAGGAAGCACACTATAATAATGTGTACTTCTTGCATGCTAAATATTATTCATTTTCAAAATACGAAATGTTTTAATCATGACGGAGATTATAACGGTGTTCATGTCGTGCAGGTTAAAGGAGCGGTCCTGCAGCTTTTGCTCGCACTGAGCTGAAAACAGAGTAACTTCTACCGTATATACATGAATTAATGTGCCATGACTTTTGCCCCTCACCCTTATTCGCCCACATGTAGATCACCGGTACACATGGTCCGCTGGAAACAGAGATTTAATGTATGGGTTGCATTGATTTGAAACACCAGCTTACCATGCAAATTAGCTGCAATTTCAGCCTCAGCTCTGTCACCGTTAGCAAGAAGTTTAGCCTTGTTGTACAAGAGCTCTTCGCGCGTTTCTGTTGAGAACTCTTGGTTTTGGGCTAAAAGGTTTCATGTCTGTGAGAACTTGAGATAGGGAGGGCCGGAGAAAAGCACGCACTTTCCACGATAGCATCGACCGGGCAGGCCTCTTGGCAGAAACCGCAGTAAATGCACTTTGTCATGTCGATATCTAAAGGAGGACCATTCAATCGCTTATGAATCAACAGAACGTTGCAACTGACCGTATTTAGTGGTTCTCCTGGATCCATCCACCCGAGCTTCACTTTCGATAGTGATGGCTTGCGCAGGACAGATAGCTTCACACAACTTACATGCTATGGCGCCAAGTCAGCGGGACAGGAGAAAAGAAATGTATGGCAAACAAATTCTCACCAATACAACGCTCTTCGCCATTGGGATAGCGCCGTAAAGCATGTTCGCCACGGAAACGAGGGGACAGAGGGCCCTTCTCGTACGGGTACATGATAGTGTAAGGTTCTCTGAAGAAATTCTCAAGAACAATCCACATTCCTACAGATATAAGTTCATATGCGCATTTCCAGTGCAACGAAGAACATATCTACCTCGGATAATTTCGGTGAAGAAGAACAGGTGGACGGCTTTGTCGATAGCGCTGGCGCCATCTTTGTAAGGATCAATGTCCTTTCCTGGTTCGTCTGCAGCTGTCAGACTCCCTGCGCCCAGCGGTGGAGATTTAATGGACGATGGGCCTTCGAGCCTTCCTGGACGTTCCAAGGGTTCTGCATGGGAGCAGCGGGTCGAAGAAATGTTGCGGTAAGCAACGACGGAAGGACGCAGTGCTGTCGAGCGCAACGCTGTAAGTAATCTGGGGGACAACCCGAGGGCCAGCCGTGGACGAGCGAAAGACATGACGGTCAGAGTCGGCGTTGACAAAACAGTGGAGAAATCGGGAGAGAGCCGTGACATGCGGGTTACTGAGTCACGACGTGACGTATTCTGACCAATCACACCACGGCATTCTCAAATTCACTCCACCAGTAAACCTCGATATACGAACGGTGATTAAACGAAGCATGTCGACCTCAAAGGCAAAGACAAAAGTACAGCCTCTTTCAGATCAGGGTATGTGCCAAAATGTAGACGGCGGTCGTGTTTTCACTTGGGCTGACTAGCCAGAGATCCAAACAAACTACTCGCGCATGCAAAGTGACCTCCAGACTCTAGCGGGCAAAGTAGGAGAGCTCGAACAGGAGGCAGAAGAACATGGGTAGGTATTTCTCGCCTTTGATCTACATTACATGCTTAGATATTTTCTTCACACAGGTTGGTGCTGTCGACACTGAACGAGGCACTTGCTGAAGATCCAGATCGGAAATGTTTCCGCCTCATCGGAGGTGTGCTTGTTGAGCGTACAGTGAAGGATGTCGTGCCTGCGCTACAAACTAACCGCGATGGGGTATGTTATGTGACAGTGCCTAGTGGATTGATCGCTGACGTTTTCTCCAGATCAGAAAAGTTATCTCAAATCTATCCGAACAATACAAAGCAAAGGAGCAGGACTTTGAAACGTTCAAACAAGATTACAACATTCGACCCATCCAAAAAGCATAACAAAGATCGCCTTATCATGGCTACTCACCTTGTCTGTATCCCATACCTTGTAATAGTGAGTCCTGTCCTCCTGGCGATGTTTATCCCCGCAGCCTCTAACTGTTTGTCTTGTAGCGCTATTTGTACGGTTATAGAGATATAGCTCCTTGCTCACTTGCGATTCTTTGTAAACCCCTAGCGTGCGTTTCCTCAGGTTCATCGCCCCCTTCGGTATGCTCGCCTGCGTGATCATGCATCTTCATAAAGGGTTCAAAGCGCCAGGTAACAAAGTAGTGTATCAACAGCATGCGTAGGCTGTCTGAACTTAGCACTTTTAAAATATATACATACATTTGCACCTTGTCTAAAACTTTTCCAAGTCTGCCCTCTAGGAACAACTTCAAGCCACGCGAAACTTGAGTCAACGTAATCACCACCACGGCCAGGCCTTTGACAGTTCTGTTATGATCGTGCCCGTCATCAGGCACTGGCAACTCCCATTTATCTTTCCCAAGTTCACTTATAGAATCCAACTTCCAAATAACCATATCCTCAATCATATTTGATACTTTCTACGAATCAAGTGCACTGTTTGCTGATGAACTGCTCGATTCCGTCAACCGCCGCAATGCGCTGTGCTCTTCGCTGTTTTCGTATGGGTAAAAACTGTTTCACCCGGGAGATATCTTGTCCCAAGGCACCATGTACCGCGTGCTTTTCTGGGAAGCTATCAAATTCCCATCGCCGTAGATGCTGTCCTATTAGGATACAAAACGGGCACAAGCTTTTGGCCGCAAGGCGATCTGCACTTATTCCTGTCATTTGGTTTCCTCGAGTTTTCCATCAGGTTTCAAGGCTTCAGTCCGTGCAGCTTCTGCTCGCATATCTTTCGTTCTTTTGTACTACATTCATTTGTCTATACTCTCAAGATGTTCTGGTTTCTCTTGGTTTCTGCTGTGTTGGGCCTCCTTTCGACGACGAATGCTGCATCGGCCTACGATATCGATACCGACTCGACTCTACTGTATCTGTACGCTCATAACGTTTACCGAGCCGGGTACAACGCGTCGCAGCTAACCTGGTCGACTGATTTGGCTTCCAAGGCGCAACAATGGGCTAGCAGTTGTCAGTTCAAGCATATTAATAGCGAACTGGGACCTTACGGTGAAAACATCGCAGCTGGCACTGGATTTTTCTCTATCATCAACGCGATGGAGATGTTCACTCAGGACCAGTGTATGTCTCTAGCGTATCATTTTATCGCTTTATCAATAACCTCGTTTATGGTAGCCTCCTTTAATCCACTGAGCCCATCGTTTTCTGATTTCACGCAAGTTGTATGGCAGTCTACTACGCAGCTTGGTTGTGCGATGGCCCAATGTGGAGACATATTTCCTTCATCGTACGGCAATGCTTTGCTACACGTCTGCCTGTATAATCCCCCGGGTAATATAATTGGAGAACTACAGTGAGTTAATTGTATAAAAGTGTGGTCCATAGACTAAACAGCTTTCCCCTTTCCAGGTCGAATGTCATATTTTAAATTGGCGCTATATTATGATTTTACACATTTTGGGCATTGTAAGTATCTTCAACTTGCGCTTTTTGTGGTTAATCTTCCCATACTCACGTAGTCTAGCTTGTTTCTTCGCACTTTCTGTTTGGGTTTACACTGTTTTCTTGAAGTATACAAGGTTATTGGGCGCGGTGGATCTGACTAAGTCACTGGGCTTTGCTCTGGGAGCATTGTATTATTTTGACACCGTTGTCTTCATGCTGTTATTTCCTTTCTTGTTGAAATGCACGTCTGGTTACGACTATATTTGATCTGGTTATTTTCTGCATGCTAAAGGATACGTCTTCAGAACGATCCCTTCCATCATTGATTTGCAGAGAGATACGGGTGACATGCAATATTAATCGCACGTACCGGTGTTAACGCAGATCACTGGTAAGTTCATCCTTCTTTGCCCAAATCAGAAAATGCGTAGTTTGGTAGTATTATCTCATTCAATTTCCCTCCACTGCGCCTGTACTTTTCAACAAGGACGTATGGTGTTACCTCACAAATGCATAAGTCGAGAAAACAAAAGGTTATACTGATATCCATTTTAGGAAATTGCCTATGGTGGGAGGTTTGCTTACCGAGCCCCATTGACTCGGACAGGCTTGACTCCGTCCAGTGAACATGGAAAAGAAAAGTCGCACCCTTGCTTTCACCATGACCACGACCTTTGAGTCTTTACCTGTCGAGCTCATTGCTGAAATCCTGAGTGAACTGGACCTTGCATCTCTCATCGAGGTCTCCTATCTTTCTCGCAGGTTGCGTTTCATTGCATCAGACTCATCTCTCAACCCATGGAGGCGCCCTATAATTCGAAATCTCTACAATCTCGATTATGAGAACTGCCTGAAGCACCTGAGCGTCCGCACCATCGTTCCTCGACAGAACTGGATCGAAGTCTTGAGTCTCGCTACACCGAGCTTTTTGCTTTTCGATGCGACACTGCCAAATCTACGAGCAGTTGAATGGGAGGAATGTTTTCGCAGAAGGTTCTTGCCTGGCTGGACGAAGTGGAAGAAGGATAGTTCTTGGAGGGAAGCTTTCCTTAAGTGAGCTCTGAATGAGTTAACCCATGCGATAGTGTCTTATTCGCGTACTCAGAGTACTTCATCGAGTTTGGCATCGAAGTCATACATCTTGTACCACAGATGAATCATGGACGAAGTTAGTTGCTATAATTGTTGTGCTGCAGGCTTACTAAGTCTGGTACCTAGGTATGTTGTTCTCAATAGAAACGGGTCTGCGAATGAACTTGAAGGATCGTCGCGAAGCTTCAATCCCCTCGTGATTTTTAACGAAATGAAGTGCGTTTTCAAGCTAACCATATAAGTACCGAGTTGATGGATCGAACCATATGACATTTGTAGGCTTCAGAGTAACCTGGCCCACCTTGAAACTAGAGTGAGGGTATGTCGCAGACTCACTCACTAATGCTTAAAATCCTTAAAGCTAAACTCTAATCTTTAGCTGGTCGTCGAATTTCCAGATGTACGCATCATCGCCCTTGGCGTTCTTAATCGACCGAAGACGCAATTCACGGTCAATGCAAACGCTCGGGCTTTTCTGCACCCTCCTGGCATTGAAGCGGTCGACAACATTCTCACAGGTAGCAGCGATGGGAATGACTCTGTAGAATCCGACAATAACACTCAACCTCCTAATACGTTACCTGACAGGTTATATTTTCCTGGTTGGTCGTATTTTCCTGATTCGAGTCTCGATATTAATATCCTGTGAAGTTAATCAGACATCTCAAGCAGGCTATGACCGACTTACATATCCGTTACCGTCGCATTCTTACCGTGATTATCCGTTCTACACACCCGGCGGAAGCGATAAAAGGTGGATGGGCTCTGGTGCTTTGGAAGAAGAAGGCATGCAGTGGGTTGGTGGTCTCATGTCAGCTTTCGAGCCACATGGTATTTTCCTGTCCAGTGGACTGATTATGAGATGTTTTCAGGTTAACTACACAGATTATTGGATCTCATACTAGGGAGACCATAGCGGATGGGCCTCCTCTCCAAGAAATGGATATAGTGACCGGTGCTGGTCGAAATCAATATGCCTCATTCTCCTGGCAAGATCTTCTGGTGATTGCACCGTGGATGCAGGAGAGAGTGTCCAAGATTATCTATGGTCCTGGCCTCGGGAACTAGGCACAGATCTTGCTTATATCTTCCCATATAATCTTCTATGCATATATTAACACACATTGTTAACGGCACTTCCCTTCAGTCTAACCTCGCAGTTATAATACGATACCTTTAACAAGCTATCTGTTCCTACCGTCAACGTGTCAACGATGTCAACTCTAAAGTCTGTCCTGTGGACCACTGCGGTATTTGTTTCCCACGATCCATGCACGCCGCTCCGCCTTTCCTTTGTCGTCGACCGAGGTGAGACATATAGCCGCTGACGTAGAGAAAGGAATGACAGTCCAGCATTCTGAGTTCCTTGGATTATTGTTCTATCCCTCAGCTGTGCAGTGCTGATGCCTTCCTTTTTGTTACTTCGCATGGCTTTGTCTTTTGTCAGTGCACTCTTGGTTTGTCTACCGACTTTGTTGGAGATCTAACCTTAAAGATCACTCCTGCGTCGGGCCGCCGAATTACTAACCGACATATTAACAAAGGCACTTCTTTTGCGACAAATCCCTGAAAGGAATTTCGTCGTTGGATCTTCGTTCTGAAGCATTTGCCGGAGTGGCTAGCGTCCTTTAAAATGCAACATCGAATCCATGCAGAGAGTCCACTTCTTATACCACCCCCCACTTAATTCTTTCTATCCTATTACCCTCGACGTTGCGGGACAACGTCATTTTACCTTCATTAATTTTTTGGAACTGGTTTCTCATTTAATTATCCTTTTATCAATGGTGCGTTATCTCTGATGCCATATGGCGTGGATCGATGGTGTTCACTGTGTTCCGTTTTCATGATTCCCAGAACCCTTGCTACCATTGCGAGAAAACCTTTGTCCGCAGAGGTGATCTAACGCGTCATATGAGTTTACATACCGGCTACAGGTAAATATTTTGCTTCCTTCAGAGAATGTATCATAGCTAACAACAAACTCAGACCCCATGTATGCGAAACATGTGGTAAAGGTTTCTCTCAGCGTTCTGGTCTCAAGACACACTGGAATGTGCAGTGAGTATCGCTTGTTTCTGCTGCAGGATCTTACTCATGCTCGGACAGCACGAAAGAAAAACCGTATGTCTGTGGCATAGGCACATGTCGGAAAGCTTTTGGTGATCCATCGTCTTGCACTCGACATCGCAAAGAGACACACCGAAGCGAAGGAGCATATCAGTGCATACATCCTAGATGCGCTACCAAGTACGTTTCCCCCTCCATTGTCGGCGATGTTCCGCTTTAACGGCTGTGTCGATGCAGGATTAAACGTCGCTCTGCGTTCACAGCGCATTTAAAGAAGCATGGAATCGATCCAGCCATTGTAGATGCTATGGATGGGATAGGTCCCTCGAAGCCATCTCTTCACCATGAAGTTGAGGCCCGATCATCACGCCCTCATGGCACGGTTCCGTATCAACATTCTCCAGAGACATACAATATCAGTAAGTCAAGGTACAACTTGTGAGACTTGTCTCTAACATCGCCTTGTCAGCCCGGACCGATGGTCCCATGATGCATCGAGTTGTCACTCCGTCTATTCGCCCTGGAGGCGGTCCTGTTCAAGATTTTGCATTTCTGTCGGCCACCCCAACTATCCCTCAGGGAACCCATGCTTTTGGTACCGAACAATGTATGAGCACATATAGCCCCAGCCCATCTCTCTCATCCTCTCCGTCGTCGTCCCCATCCTCGTCTGGTTCTTCTTCTTCTTCTTCCTCGCCTCAGCCGTCATCAACAATGTCGTCACCACATTCATTACCTATGAGTTTCACGGGAACACGCAATAGCCCTGATACTCCTTACACCCCTCCTAATAAAATGTCTGACCTCCCTTCACGCCCTCCTTCTGTATACCCCTCTCCTTATCTGCAATCGACGGCGTCGACGTATAGCCCTCTTTCTACACAAGTGTGTGGAGGACCAAGTCCCGAACACTTCGCCTACACACCACAGCGATGGTTTTCTTGGCCGAATGACGTCAATTATTCCTCTCCGTCATCTGATGCTTAAGATGTATACATACGCCGTGGACTTTCTACCGCATGATTATACCTTTCTGGACAGAGACTTTAGACTAACTTTCTTTCTCCTTGCCAAACACTAAAGTTTGACATAAATTAAATATCATTTATCCCTGTAGCGTTGGTGATTTTCTTTCTCTCTTTAATGCCGTGTATTATAGATACACAATAGTCCTTTCATATGTATACCCGTAATAATCTGACTGTATAATTTTTGTACCGTACTACAGTGTATATAGCACACGATTTTCAATTGAGCACGTGAGAGCACGGAGACCAACAGCGGCAAATAGCACCCTGGTTTCCGCTCCATCATCTACGTTTACATACAACAAATTCTCAAGGCTGCGTTTTCAAGCGTCTATTCCTCTGTTCTTTGCCCCCTTGTCCCGTCTTCGCTCTCCGTTTCGCTCTTGTGATTCTGCACTGGTCAGAGGCTGTTTTCTGCGGTCCAAACGCGTTTTTTTGCCGCAGAAGATAATGTTGGCTTCGCCACTTTACCCCACATCACCCTTTTCTCAGCAGCCTCCAGAAGATTCCACACAATATCGACCTGTTAGAGACTTGGAAGCTTTCAATAGCCTTCTTCCACCCCCAATCGAGTTTGTAGAGGGATCATCATCGGGCACCCTCGCTATAGCAGAAGGAAAATATGAAGCTATCAATGCCACTCCCAAGGCCACTACAAAAAACCTTGTAAGCAAATCCCATGGATACCTGTCTTTGTCAAGTAAGCTGAGATCGTGTAGCCTCGTGAAAATGGAAAAGCCTCTACCTCCACTATGGTAAAATCTCAAAAATCACCTGTAACACCCTCCTCTGGTCAGAAAAAACAACCTCAACTCTATAACGGTGTTTTGGATTTGTCATGGCCTTCAGGTTGCTCTGTTGGCAGTGGTCTCCACAACACTGGCAACACCTGTTTTCTGAACAGTGCTTTACAATGTCTCTTGCACACTCCCCCTCTTCTTCATATCATCAGTGCGCACTCAAAAGCCGATCCATGTGAGTCGATTCATGATCTCATGTTCTAAAGCTAACGAATATATGGCATAGGTCGAGTAAAAACTGGATTTTGCATGTCGTGTAACTTAAGACAAGTGGCGGTGGAGGCCCATGCAACAAAGCGCGCTTTCGTGCCCTATCCAATAACTACGAAACTTCAGAGTGCGTATTCTTCATCTGATATCTAAGTGATAAGGAGACTGACAGTGACGGCAAAAGCTATTGCCAAGCACATGAAGAGAGGAAGGCAAGAGGATTCTCACGAGTTTCTTCGTTATGCTATAGACGCCCTCCAAAAATCATGCCTAGCAGGCTATCCACCGTAAGTATAGGACAAAGAAGATTCATCTTCTGTGCGTTGACCACTTGACAGAAAACTTGATCCCAAAGTAGCAGAGACGACTTGGGTTCACCGAATATTCGGTGGACACCTACGCTCACGTGTCACCTGTCGCGAATGTCAGCATAACAGCGACACTTTCGACAGTATACTTGACCTAAGCCTTGACATATATGGTGTGGCCAGCATAAAAGAAGCTCTCCGAAAGTTTGTTGCCGTCGACTATCTCAAGGGAAGCGACAAATACAAATGCGAAAAGTAAGTACAGCTGAATTGCCTTAATGGGTGAGGTCAGATATTCACCTTCTTTGTCAGGTGCAAAAAAGCCGTCATAGCCGAAAAACGATTCACAGTCCATGATGCCCCAGTGGTTCTCACGGTCCATTTGAAGCGATTTTCACCACTGGGTCGGAAAATCGGCCACTATGTCAAGTACGACGACCGCTTAGGCCTACAACCCATAATGAGTGAGGGTCAGTTTGGACCATCGTATTCACTCTATGGCGTTATATGCCATGCTGGTGGTGGGCCAAACTCGGGCCACTACTACGCTCATGTCAAAGGAGGGAATGGTCAGTGGTACGAGATGAATGATGGCATGGTTTCGTCTCAAAGGAATTCACCCGTTGGCATGAAGAATGCGTACATGTTGTTCTACATCCGCGATAAAGGCCAGTCTTTGGAAGCCGCGATCACCCGTCCGCTACCAACACCGAAAGTTGGTATCGTAGCTAACATGAGGAAGCGAAAAGTCATTGATAGCGACGAGGAGGCAGATGATGAAGATGTAGGAGTAAAAGCATCTCGACCGTTTATCGGCCCTCTACTTCCCTCCCTCATGTCTGACGGCGAAGAGAAGAAACTACCAAAACCTGTAGCCCGTGATCCTCAAGCGGAGCTCGTACAGAAGAAGATTGAAGCTACCTCCCAGAAAGCAAACACTGCCCTGTCGAGTTTGACACAATACGACGAAGACAAATCAGAGACTTCAAAGGAGGAGAGTGCCGAGGTTACATCTACGTCAAAGACCGATGGCTTTGCTACGGAGTCGCCACCTACATCGTCACCCCCTCCCTCTTCCATTCCTACCAGTAGCTTTTACTCCTCATCGACTATTAACGAGAAGAAACGCAAATCGCCTGATGGTAATGACGACAACAATGCATCATTAAGTTCCCCTGTCCGTAAATCTATACACACCCCTTCTCCCAAACGTGCGTCACTAGGACATCGCAATGCCTCTAGAAAATCTTCCTTTGGGGGCGGGGCACTCAATCCATACAATCGCTTGAAGAACAGTAACAACCTGCATTGGTCAGAGCCTCGTCATAGCCATGGCCATAAACCAATACAATATGGCAAGAGAAGGAAAATGATTATATAAATTGTCCTTTGGTTCTTGATCACTGCACTTTTCCTTGTTAATTAACTATAATTGCAAAACACTTGTAACATAAGGGACTCTGGCACCTGCAAGTAACAAATGTGTAGTCTAGAGTTTGGCCTTGACTTCTGAAGAAAATGCAGTTGCCTTGGCTTCTTCTTCGCGACCATCCTCCCACCATATCACTGTGACGGTGGTGTCGTCTCTGTAACTTCTGGCTACAGGAGCAGGTATGCTGAGCAATCTTCTTAGAGAAGGTACATCGCCTCCACCAAACGCATTGCGGATGAGGTGAGAACTGATGTTGTCGTCAACAAAGGCCCAAGAACCGTCCTCTTTCTTGCTGCGGTCTTTATCTTTCCCTTCTACTGTTGGTGCACCAACCGTAGTCGAAACGAGTTTTGACAGGGAAGATTTTGGGATGTCTCCTTTCAATCCTGCAAAATGTCCTCCAACGAGAGCCACTACTTCTTCGGAGCTAAGCTGGTCCCAAAGCCCATCTGTTGCTAGAACAATAAATCGAACTGCAGATGATGACTTGGATGTGAGCGCATTATCGAGGGGTGGTAAAGATAATTTGCGGTGGGTAACGACTGGCGTTGCTGTGACATATGGAGGGGTTTTGAAAGTCTGTGGAGGGGGTCGAAGCGGTTGTTTATTACCAACAAGGAAAGCTTGGCTGAGCCTGCATTGAAACATTGAGATAACAGCACCGCGAACAATACGGAAACGTACACTTCTTGAACATCACGAGACCATTTGTACCGAGCATCTCCGAAGGCCCTCGAAGGCTCCAGCCCTCCTAATACGCGGCCTGCACGGATAACATCCATTGCCTCATTAGCAGGATGTTCAGATTGTATTCTAGCATCAAAAGGGTTAGCATGCTAAATTTAGAAATAAAGGCTTTTGAATTGTGTTGTCGGAACAAACCTCTTGAGTTCGTTGGGATTTCGTCCTGTTTGGTCCTCGCTTAGTGTCTCCACGCGCCAAGTTCCTTTGCCATCGGGAGTCTCTTCCCAGACACCAGCTACAGCTCGGCTGTCTCCCGCACATGCCACATACAAATTGCGATGTGCAGTATCAATCACAGCCAGTAAAGCGCAGCTCCCTGTAGGGTATGAATGAGATTTATGAAAAGCATGAGAAGGAAACGCATATACCCGAGATTGCTGGAAGCATCGTCGCTAAAGCCATAGGATGTTGGCTGAGGTCAGGGAGCATGTTCTTCTTGATAGCAGCATCATCAAGGTTTGCAGCCAGTAGCGTCAAAGGAGCATTGAGAAGCTCTTGATCTAGCTTCGTAAATGCGCCTTGAATCACGGTAGAAATGGCTACTGGGTCCGCAGCAACAGCGATAGGATCAGCACGAGGAGATTGAAAAAGTGATTTCACATTTTTCACGAGGCCTGAACCAGACCCTGGGCCCTTGATAAACGAGGAAAGCTCGAGGACAACAGCATTGATGAGAGTTTTTGATAAGAGGCGAGAAGTGTGCGGGCCTCCATGACCATCCATAACTGCAAAGAAAAGTAAATCACCAGGCGCAGATGGGTCGGACGCATCTCTGGCGATTATTGTGTTTGAATGAGCATCTTCGTAAGGATCATTCGCCGCTAGTGCTGCTGTGGTGTGTTTCCAGACTATGCCTCCAGGTCTGGGACTGCTCTCCGAGGTGGCATGCTCCTTCAAGCGTTCGTCTACGGCACCCTTGCTGAGAAGAGAGAAGGTACGGGTTGACAACATAGCTTTTCCGTCCGCACCACGAACCCTAACGGCGAGGTCGAAAGTTTGCTGTCTGTTCTTGAACGTATAATAGAGGTAGCTCGGGGTACCGATTAGTACGGTCGTAGCAGCAATAGGCTTCCAAGCCCGCCTGAGCATCCCGGGCCTTGGTACTCCTGCAACGCTATACCAGATTTATGCTACGGTTACTGAACCGTCGGTCTGCGATGAGAAGTTTGTCAAATTCTCGTCCATGAAAATAAAGATTTACCCGAAAAAAGTTCAAATGACTCAACCTTAACAGCTTGAAATCGAGGTGCAGTATAAGCCTTCCCAGTCAAAGAGAAAGTATCCAATACCTTGCTTATTATACGGGTGCCCAGCTGCAAGCAGAGCCCATTCAGCCTATAAGCAAACTGGATGGAAAGAACTGGGAGCAACTGAGTTGCCGATCGTGACGCGACGCGCGGCTTGTCACGTGAATATTGTCGGAGTTTAAACGATTACTTGGCTCGTGACTTCAGCCACAAGCTTTGGACCTGCTCTGCCACCACGACCACGACCTTCACGCAACCATTACTGGGCTGAACTATTTGCTGTAGTTATATACATTCGAAACATCTCATCTATCCACCCTTTTGGTCTCAAGCTCAACTCTGTCTGGATGCATGAAGAATCTTCAAATGAAAGAGGTGCACACAAATCGATGATTGCGGGGATAGAAGGACAGGGAGAAGCAGGGACAGAGGCAGTGTCGACAAACAAGATGGAACCCACCATGATCAATGATGATGTTGAACATGCCCCATTCGTGGCATCAGATGAAGTTCTAGAGAACCCTCAGACTGTGAATGTAAGTCAAGGCATATGTATGATAAATAATCCAACAAATCCTCAAGCATCCGTTGTGTCTTGCATCAAGCCATCAATTTATGATCCATCAAGCTCAAGCTCCGGTGCTCCCAATATAATCGTTAAACACATACCAGCCTCTCAACCCACCCCTGAAATGTTAGCTCAGTACGGCGTCAAAGTTCGGGATTTTGCGTACGAAAGTACATTGCCACCTATAGCACCTATACCTCGTGTTCCACGTCAGATACAGCCAGGTCCTAGACCTTTAAAGCGTGCAAGAAATATATACGACGAGGTTTACGGGGATAATCAGTCCTCGTCTATCGTTGCTGTTGGACATGTAGCTGTACTCCGTTCACCCAATCGCGGTGAGAGTGACCACGAAACCAAGAAACTCAGATTTATTAGAAGAAAATCCACAGAGCTAATTGAGAAGCCTCGGGCCCTTCCTTGTCGTACTCTCGGGTATGCAGATCTCAGTCAATACAATAGCGAACGGCCTGGTCCCAGCAGGATGGTCACTGCAGTGCCACGCACTCCGACGTCGATTATACAGAAGCGCAGCATAAATCCGTTCGCGCATACCTTCCACGCAGAATCACAAGACTCTGAGCCCTATGTCGATACCCCACACGTCACCCCAAATGGTTCTTTACATTGGGGCATACGAGACACCAGTTCGATTCCTGCTTCGTCTTCCCAGGAACCTGTCCCGGAGGCAGTGACGTATTCGCAATTAGGCCTTTCTCCAGAGTTTTCACAAGGCGATACGTCTCCCATCACACCCATCGTTCCCCCATCGCACACAGTAAACAGTGATCCTTCATTTCTATCTTCTCGCGAAGCCCCTGATTCTTCCACCGACTCGCCCACTCCCGCATCACCAGATCTTCATCCCGTCAGCTCAAAGCGGACGAGAGCACGTCGTAACGCAGATATGATATCACCTGATCCTCCTTCTCCGCGCTACTTTCTACGTCGGCGATCTCTCTTATCTGTTCACACTCCGCCCCGTTTACGTTCACATCCTTATCCAGTGAAGGTTTCGCCTCCTAGGAAGAATGCGAAGGCCTCTTCACGTCCTCGCCGCATACGAAATGACTCCAGAAACGGCTTTCAGGAGTCCCTTCCGTCTGGGTGATGGAGCTGGGTGATGTATTGCTATGTCTCGTCCGCGGAAAAGACTTTCTATCATGGTCGCTATAGCTCCTCATCGCACTCGGACGCACGTTGTAAATCACAGTGACAGTCTTCAAAGTGTGCGCGTATTTTGCGTTTTGTTGTCAGTTTTTGTCTTTCTCTCGTGGGACATTCTTGTTTCTCCTATCTTTATTGTTTTCCATTCTGCCAAACTGGTGTATCCATATCCAGGCTACCACAAGATGTTATTACTAAACACCGGGTCCACAGTGAAGCTATATGTACTTTCTTACACATATCAAGAGGGGTCTGAAGACCTCAACGGTCAAGGAGCTCGGTCATAGCGCGCAGTTTACTAAACTTATATCAACTAGAGTATGTGTCACTCAATGTCCACCATGATTGCTAATATACACAAATGCTTTCTCGATTTCAACTTGCCAGCCTGATTTACACCGGCGTGACAGAGATACGAATTGATGAAAGACTACATGGGGTTAACATGATTCCATGTTGATGTAAATGAGGCAGCGGGAAAACTGCACCGTAAATATCTCTAAGGGAAGGTTTTGTTTGGCGTTCTCATGTGGAAATCGGTGACCAAATAACAAGTATAGATAGCGTCTTCTCGGCGTAAATGGACCAAACGCGGAGAGATGTTTGTAGCCAAGGGCGCCGGAGGCCTCAGCCAAAACAGATAACTGACACACCGTTGTTCGCGGTCAGCAGCCACAAAGGAAGTCAAGTCCTGGGATATAGGATGATGCAGAAGTCATATGCTGTCGTACGCACCAGGTGTATATCCGTGGTACTGTGCTTTTGCACACTCTCTCACTGAGAAATCCTAGCCTAACCATTTCTGTCGTATGATCTACGGTTCTAAGAACGACGTCTTTGACTGAAGAGGAAATCTCATGAGAGGACTGCGAAGGTCATGGGGCAGTCATGGGACATACTTTGCATGAACTTTGAGGCTCCTCACTTTCTATTCGAATATAGATTCAAGCGGAAACAACAAAATATTCGGTATCAGATGAATCACGATCAGAAGCCTATCTATTTTGTAACATCTTCGTTGACCGCGACGGCTGTCACTTCTGTTTGCAGGAATCTATCCCCAGAGTGCATAGGTCACAGGGTAGGAAGATCAAGATTGGAGGTGCACGACCCCGCCATCTGAAATGTAAGCAAAAGAACATGGCAAGGTCGTTTCCGTTCTGTGCAAGAGAACAAGGCCCAGTTACGTGAAGGCCAAGAAGGCCTTCGATTATGCCGAGCCAACATGCTGGGTATCTGTTGCCGCGATACGATAAAAGTGTGCTCGTGATTTGATATAGTCACAACAGACCCTAACCCTAAGGAATTAATCTTGGTATTTGCCGTGAAATCGGGAGCGAGTTCATCAAAGCTTGAAAAGAAACGTACCTATCACAATACGGATGATATCGGAGTCGGCTAATTGAGCAAAGCCCGCAGAGGCCTTGGAAGATGGCGCCTTGAGTATGATACAGCAATGATGAGGCAGGATGTCGTTTGATGTTGGTGGCAGTAGGATTGACGAACGTTTACAGCGGATTAACGTATTACCGGATGAGAAAAGGGCGAGAAAGGTTGGTTGCAATAGGAGCTCGCGGAGTAAGGCTATCCGTGATCTCGATAGCATGCAATATGGATGTCGTGAAAAATACCGAAGACGATCATGCTGCCACAGGTACGTAGCTAAATAAAGGTCGGACAAGAAACGCTGAGTGTGGGCACTGTGTGGGCGTTTTAGTTGTGATATTATAGGAGAACGAGGGGCACAGGAGCAAGAACACTAGTACGACTACGTACGATCCAAGAAAAATGTTACTAGATATAGGATGGTGAATGATGACTGGCGGTGGCAGGCTGACAGTTGAACCCTGGCTCAAGTGGCTGATACGGGTGTCACAGGTGCTTTTTTTTTTGTATTTGAGAGATGGAGAAGACACTATAGGTTGCGAGGGCACTCTTTTTGAGAGACGTAAAGATAAGTGGACTGAGACGTAAAGCAGTGGATGAGTGGGAGAATGCAAGTAAGCTGGAGGATGTGACTACAGGATGCAGATACAAGAGACATTGGTCGCGGTATGTCCGTGCCCTCGAGAGAGGGAATAAGAGGGGATTGTGATCAGAGCCGAAGTTAAGGAACGGTATGAGTGGATAAATCTGACGCAGAAGAAGATTCATTTACCGCTTTGGGAGGGGTCATGTGATGGAGCGGGGACTCGGGCCGAGACTCGGTCAATTTTGTATGTCTGCATCGAGTCGAGAGGAAAACTCGGAATGGCGAAGCAAAATCAGACTCGCATATTCTGGCTTTCTCTTTGACTCCTTCTTTCATTTCTCTCTTCATGGCTGAAAATGCAACTCAGGTCACAATATCCCTCCTCCCCGTGTCCCTCTCCCTCGTGCACATCCCCCGCCCCCGCATACACAACCTCACCCACCCTATCCTCAGCCAGATCCTGCAGCCAAATCCCACATTTCTCAATATAACATGCAACGAAATAGAGCTCAGTCTCTTCGCAGAGCACCACATGTTGGCTGACTTTGACAATATCGCAAGGAAAGACCGTCACAAGCAGCACTCCCGCTCAACTCGCAGACTCGGCTCCTATGAGCCAGTCGAGATGTCATACGAGAAGTGGAAGGTCCTCCAGATCGACTCGCACTCTGACCAGCTTGGTATGCGTGACATCACGTGCATCGTTTCTACTGCTCACTCACATACCCAGACAACTCGGGGGCTCGTGTCCACGAGCTATCTGCACCTCTTGCAGCGGCTGGAATATCCATTCTCTACCAATCCTCATACATGAGTGATTTTATATTCGTGCGTCAACCCCCGTTTACTCTCATACCGCTGCACATATTTATCATAATTTAGGTGAAAGAGTCACGATTGACCGAGGTCATGATACTGCTTGGATCTGCTGGTTTTGATTCCTACTCTTCTGACCCCAACCTACTCACCTCAAGAGTAGTCTCCCCTCTCCTTTCCCCTACATCCATGGACGACTCGTCTGTGGTCGAGTTATGCCCAGACTTTACATCGGACGGTGGAGCCGTCTTGACTCGCACACGAAGCAGTACAGATGCCTCAATTTCTACAATAGCATCTGCCCTGCTAATTAACCCACAAGTTACTCCTGAGCATAGTCCAATTTCCCCTCGACCCTCATCTCGTACAAAATCTCACTCCCCGACATCTAGCGAAGTAAATATCTTATCTCCTAACCTTGCCTGTGTCGGTCTTTCAGACGACAGTGTCGATACCTGGGGGCTTAAACTTATCAAGCTGGTTGCTTTCCCTGACCTTATACCTTTGCCGCATAAAATGCCCACCACAAGTCTAACTCGAGGTCCTTTTTCCAGTAGAGGCAGGTGTCCCTCAGACCTTCAAAATAAAATTCACACTGGAGACCAAACTTCAGCCCCTCCACTATATGGGGTAGTGGATTTTCCCTCTTCCTCATCAGATTCGTCAGACTCAAGCGAAGAAGAAGGCTATTTTTCGCACTCCCCCAGGCGTAACCGCTCATCTTCTTCCCTTATTTCTTCTGCGGCTTCACGTTCTTACCCGGATCTCGCAAAATCTGCGCCTTCATGTGATTCTTCCTTCAAGCACCCTGCAAAGCACCTCATCTCTCCTATCGGCGCTCCCTCTTCTCTGAATTCACCATCGGCTTCTCGGCGGCCTGCTTTTCTTCGCTCAGAAACATCAAGAAGTCATACCACCGTGAGGCATTCTCGAAACGGCAATCGCATGAGTGTGCCCTTCTTTAGCTTCACGCGAACACCAGAGGGCTCCTCCCTGACCACAGACGTTTCACTGCTTGCCGCACTGTTTCCTCCGGCCGAACGGCACATGGTGATATGCGGCGGCGAACTTGATGCTCTGGATGCTCATTCCAGCTCAGACTCCGAGGACGACGAGGAAAGCGATTCTGAGAGCAGTACACTCAAGTGTTTGCAAATTGATCTTCGACGTTTTGGTCTAGGTAAGCACTTTCTGCCTCGCTTTCCTCGCTGTAAATTTTTATAACTTTATTTCCCCATTGTTTCCCTTCCCTTCTTTGCCACATCCAGATAAGCATGGCCTCGTGAACCGCTTCTCCCGTGTTCTCGAACAAAATGGCATCAACCACATGTATAGCTCCACGTTCAAAACAGCTAACCTGCTGGTAAGCCACGCGTCTTCCTCACGCGATCATCTCGCAAATGCAGTATTTTAATCGTTCATTTACAGGTCGACAAGGTGGATGCGAGCCGCGCACAGGCTCTACTGCGATCCTGCTGAAAGTCCCAGACACGACCCTTCTTTCCCCATTCGGTCTTGGCGTTCCCCCCTTCATTCTATGCGTCCCTTATTCTCATGCATCTGTGGCCCATCTTTCAAAAATATTGGCTGTAAAACACATCGATTTTCATCGCGTCTATATTATATTAGCAGACTCCTATCTAGAAGATATATGTATGTGTCTGGATTTCATGCTACAGTACCCACGCGCAATACCCCTACTTCTATATTATAACGGCGGCGCCGCCAGTGTACGATCATCTAGTTCTCATTAAATTGATTTCCCCTACCATGTGTTCACGCTTTCGTCACCCTACTATTCTTTTCGGTCTCCTCATTCTTCCTTTCATTCTTCGGCATTACGCAACGCGCCATACCCTGACTTTATTACTCATGCGTACTCTATTCACTTTTTGAAGCCTTCCCCAATCGATGCCTTTGTATCATCGTAAGTTATGCTACGCTGTGACCAAACCCAGAGGTTGTACTATGAAATAAATAACTGATTATATCCAAGGTTTTATAACTGATTTTTTTGGGTATTGATTGATATTCGTACTAGTACAATGACGAAAGTAACGAGATACACAAGAAATATGGTAAAAATACAATAATGCAGTAGACTATTAACACTAAAATACAGTATATATGTGGTGCACAAACCCATATCAGATGAAAAATCAACACATAGCAGTACCCTTTGCTCGCTCCAGCACGGATGTGTACCAGTCGTCAAATGGCGGCAGACTGTCGTCTTCGTCTTCATCAAATTCTGTAATACGGATATCACAAGAGGGCTGTGAATACGGTGCGGAGTTTGAGTGATCGTAGCATGTAGGTTTCTGGTTCCACTGAGAAAATGGATCAATGTAACATCTCGCCGGGTCCATTTCGCAGGTATCCGCATCCGCAGCCACATGAAAATATCCTACTTCGTCGTCGTCTGGCGGGCTTTCAGGCACAGGACTATCCGGCCGCGAGGGAATGTCGCTTTCAAGTTGATCCATCTCATCGATGGCTAATTCTGCCGCGCGTGCTTCTCCGTCATTGTCGTGAATAGGTAGTTCGTCAGTACCCACGAAGGTGATGCATCGAGGGAAGATAGAAAGGTAGGTGTCGTCTTGAGGATTGATGGCATTTTGCCAGGCGACCCATGGGTTCTGGGGTGCAGGCTCGGAGATCATGATGTGAGGCACAGTGCAGGGGCGGTCTGATTCTAGGAGGGTTACACCTAGAAAATGTCTACATGACGAAATGAGGGGCTGAGAGGAACAATTGAGAGTCAGGAAAATTGTATTTTTAGGGTAGCTTAATGAAATGGGTGCCTTTACCTGAGCAGGATCAGACCATTCGAAAGGCTTTTCGAGGCTTTGCACAAAAAAAGGGGTATCGTACCGCGCTCTAAACGCGGGCGCCTTCTGACTTGCCACATAAGCCTGTAGTAGGTCGTTACTACATTAAAACATAACAAGTGAAAACAAATAAAACGCACTAGAGCTCTGTAATGATGCCTATGAATGGCGTCAGCTACATGCCGGAAAATAAGGCGCTCTGTCGACGCTGATCGCACCTTTGGGTAGGTACATCAGAGAAATCGTATTTAGATTAAAAGCTAATCATACCAGGTGTGAGAACCTCGAATAGCTGAAAACAGCAAGAGGGCTTTTTTGGTGGAGCCCTTCGCTATATTCCACGGTAGGTTCACTGAAACTGGTAAAAGCTACATTGTCGGGACAATCACCACTTGGAGGTGGCGAAGGGGTGGATAAGCCATATAGGATAGGCGGGACAGCCAAGTAATCAGGCCACTGAGGCTCAAGCCTATTCTGAAGAGGGATAAAGTAATCATCCCATGAAAGTTCTGGTGGGCTTATGACTATATGCGGTGCAGAGTGAGGGCAAGAAGCATCCAACACGATATTTCGCCGTTCTCGTCGCAAGGTAAGAAGGGTTTCCTAAACCAATAGGTGAGACAAGTAGGGAAAGCTGAGGAAGAGAACTCACGTTTTCTTTGTCATAGTCGCACACTAGGCCAGTACAACAGGCATACGGCAAATCACCGGCAACAGAAGGGAGTATCAAATGAGAAGCTGTCTGAGTGGAAATCTGTGTCAAAGCATACTACGTATGAGGGCTACTGGATGCTGAGTTATGCGGGAATAATGCTCACCATATCATTTGGGTCAATTTGAGAGAGCTGCTCGGTGGCTGAGGAGGTGCATGGGAAAGAGTGCAAGTGAGAATGTTGAAGCTGGCAGGAATCATGGTCAGGTTCGACCACTTTAACTTGAAGTTCCGAACGCGAGGCAGAGGTGCATGCCGATAATTCGATGTGGGGTACAAAACTGGGGTGATCAGCTTCTAGGCCAACATGTGTTTCTGACTGCGACCGGTTCTCCTCGAGGCGGACGTCTGGCTGATGGCTACGCGCTTCCAGGTCTTCCTCAGGCGCTACGGGCTCCATATCTGGCGCGAGACTGGAGCAAATCTCGTATGGAGACTGCTGTGAATATAAAATGAAAGTCAGAGAGATTTTTCAGCTAGTATATAACCCAATGCTCGCCTGGTTATCGTCGCCATCTTTAGCTTCTATTAGCTCGTTATCTTGACATTCTAGGTGTCGTCCCGCCAGCTGGGAAACGACAGAAGCTATCTCGGTAGTAAGCAAGGCTCGACTTCGTTCCCACGCCTCTTTGCCTTTCCTTTTATTCGGTTGTTCGACATCATCCCGCCTGGTTGAGGGCACGATAGGCATATGGCAGTACAGGAACGTCGACCAGAGGGAAATGAATTTCGTGATCTCATGGAAGAGCTGGACACCTTTCATGACCAAAATTGTGGCGTGCACTAGTGGTGAAACTGTTTGAAACAAATGGAGTTGGCGCTAGTATTATAGTGGAGTGGAATGCGGTGAGTTCAGAGTTGATGTAATGCTTCAAGGAGCTATTTCGATTTCGATAGTCTATGGACTGGGGAAGGGGTTGACGGATTATGCTTTGGTTCAGACACGGTCAGCCATCCCTTATATTGGCGACCATCCACTGAGGGTGGCCATGCTGTGGCCACAATTGCTTTGACCGCCAGTGGTCTTTGTCCACAAAGAACGTTACATTGCTGTGATTCCAGCGAGACATGGTAACTGTGAAGCTTTGATTAGTTGTCTCACAAGCGTCTTCTCAGGTGCTTCGTGCTTCCAATGGATGAAACGGTATAACGCGCCCAGTCATATGGCGAAATATCACGGGAGTTTATAGCAAAGGGTATGTGCGGCATAGACGCACAGTACAAGGACAATCTTTTGCATTTTCTGGGCGTTAGTATCATAATAAGATGAGTCGCCAGTGAACAGGAATCTAATTCTAGCGCTCAATAGCGCGACGTGTTGATTGATGAGGGCAAAGCTGCCGAAATATAAGCTGTAGGAACACTGGCCCGTCTCACAAAGATGGAACGCTTCAAGCTGTCAGTGATCAGGGCGCCAGCACCTTAGCCGATGTTCACGCTTTGTGTCTACTCGTAGCCATAATGAAAAGTTAGCTGCCGGCAAGTACAGTAGTTATCCTGAATTTCCCAGCCTTATCCTTACTCAAAATCCAGTGAGTACCACAAAAAAGAGATGTTATTGCTCTTCAGGGTTTCCTGCAGTGCTATACTCATGATACACAGTATACACATGCTAATTCTTGACCTATCGACTGACCAAACTCAGTTTTTCACTGCATTCTGTACACCTTCATCCGGTCGTCGGCCCGTCACTTTTGAAAACCCTTGCATGGCATAATCCGCCCCTGAGAACTAACATTGGTATATAGGTCAGCGTAATATTGACTTAAGAAAAGAAGTAGGGTACATACCCATTGAGCAAAGTCCCTCAAATAACTGGGCAGCATCGGCAGGATGGGCGCGAAATGTGTGTAGAAGGGCAGGTGAAGTACCTGAGAATACTTTTCATCGAGAGCTGTGATGATAGCTTTGACAACGGTGACAGGCGCAACAGATGGGGCGAAAAACTTGAAAAATTCGTTTTGCGGTAGTCGAACAGTCGAAAAGAGTGGTGTGTGAACATGACCTGGGAGGACAAGTGTCGTGCGAACGCCTGGGGCGAGATAACTATAGGTATGGTGGTCAGGGTTACCTTACCAATATTATCGAGTAAGCTGCATACCGTTTGTCAAGTTCGTACCGAAGTGACTCGTGTAAGGAGACGAGCGCAGCTTTTGATGCGCTGTAGTCGGCTGTTAAGATTGGTAAGATTCATCAAAGCAAACCAAAATTCTACAGGGAACATACTCATTTGAGCAGAGCCCACCAGTCCCATGACGGAAGACATCGTGACCTACAAGTATATTGGACGATGGTGTAAGGCAACAAATAGTGGAAGTACGTACAATGTGACCTCTTTTCTGTTTGATCATTTCAGGAAGGAACGCTTTGATTGTCCAGAAGTGAGACAGGGTGTTGACTCCAAATGTTCTGATGTATTGGTGATATTAGTTAGGAAAAATGTATGGTTGAGCAGAAACACATTACTGTTGAACGTCTTCCTCATTGAGGTCAAGAATAAGTTTGCCTTGAACCACTCCTGCGTTGTTTATGAGCATCGTAGGGTGTCCAATCTATGTGAAGGATTTAAAATGATTAAAAAGGACCATGCTACGATCAGGCACTTGCTTCTTCTATAATTCTTTTAGATACCGCTTCAACTTCCTCCCATTTCGAGACATCACACTGATAAAAGGCAACATTATCTGCGTCGTTCATCAGCGATAAAGTGATTGAAAGAAGAATGAGTGCGAACAATTTTCTGTGATGATAGGCTTGACATCTAGAACAACCACAGTAACATTACGGACCGCCAAAGTGTTTGCTAGCAATTCCCCGATACCAGATGACCCTTTGTTTACCGCAGTGATATGACTTATGCCCACTTTAAACACAAGTTATTGGAACCTACCTCCAGTGACCACAATAATCTGCTCGCTCCAATCCAAAGGCGCTGTTCCAAATAGCAGGTTGCCTTGATTACGATATAACTTAGAGATCCACTTTAAAGCCCCTGATAAAGAAAATCTGTTAATGAGAAGTGATGCAACATTAAGGGAGATACTCACAGAAAGCAGAGATAGCAACGAGATATACAGACCAGAACAAGACGATGTCACTCGTAAAACTTTCTCCCTTGAATACGTAGAAGACCGGAATGAAAAACACAAAGAAAGGACCTGGATAACAAAACATGGTCAGGTTTGAATGCCTTACTTGTGAAAAGGAGCGTACTGAAAGCAGTTTGCGAGAGAACTTTGACTACCAGGTCAAAGTCAAGAGCGTCGAAGATGGGAGACGGTTCGTAAGTGGGTTGGTCGGTCATGGTACAATACAGAATGCGGATGGCAAAGATTATAGTTGGGGGACGAAGTAAAGAAAAGGACGGGGCTCAGCCTCGTCAGTCAAAAGAAAGATGGAGAGATGCGAAACCAACAACTGTCAGAGAAAGGCGCTGTCAGGCGAATAGAAATAGACATTCCTTTTTTGGTAACTATTTAAATCTTGCTCTTGTGGCGCTTCACTTGTTTTTCTTTACTATTACTACGATATTGGTAGTATTCAGAATTGTCGACACCATATGCATTCTTGGTATTTGAAGATCTGAAGTCGAGTCTAGTTTCCTGTCCAATCTTCAGAAGGCCTAATAAACCATCAGGTGTGATACACGTCTGCCAAATCATGGGGGTATTCGCAACCGATTGGGTTGGGAATATCTGCTCATATTGTTGTACGAGGCATATGTGTCTGTCGAGTATCTCCATGTTGTATGTTGTGAGCTCAATTGTTTTGAGTCTTTTAGATATGACGCGAAGTGACATGCTTCTGCGACAGGCTCACCTTCTATCTAAGCTTATCGCCCAGAAACTTGGCTGTCAAGTTCTGTGCAATATAGACATAATCAGTTTTCGTGTGGTACTATATTTCTTCTAGTCAAGAATTGGATATTCTTATTGGTCTGAGCTAGGTGAGTACCGAGAATATGCCTGAATTCCAAAGTAATAATTAGGGTAATTTAGGGATATGCAATGATGTTTGGCATCCTTTGTAGAATGTCTTTCAGTGTTGGAGGGTTTCTCAAACCGCCCTTTGTCCTAAACCACATCGCTGCGCATAGAGCAAGGGGGTGTACATACCACATTCTGTGGACGACGTCGTGCCCGCCCGTTGCGCTTTCTCAGCGTGGTTTATGATACTTTAGTGACTTGCTGCACCTTTCTTTTGTTCGCTCTCGAAGCAATGGGCAACGAGCCAAGCAGACCCCCTTCCGCCTCATCAGCCGCTCTCAACGTTATTGGCACATCCACACCTGAGGGGAACTCTGGTTTGAATGAGAAGTTGAAAGAGCCCTTAAATTGCGGTCACGTCGTTTCTGTCGAAAAAAGGCCAAGTACCTCCAAGGTTATACGCGCTATACACGTACGTTCATCACTAGCTCTCCGTTGTTGGAAGTTGACAATACGAGATGACAGAAATTGGGCCCAACAGCGTCTCTACTATCGTTGAACAAGGTAAATCCATGAATAGCATATATTCAGGCTTGCATGAAAATCGAATCTTTTGAATAGCCCACGACTCACGAATGCAAAGCCACGGCCTCAGCTCCAGGTCATAACCTTGTGCTTGACTCCCATATCTCCTATGTGGTCGAATCCGTACGTGGTAGTGTTTGTTGCACGTTTGCTATCAAATGACTGTCCCTCTCAGCACAAGGCCGCTGCATTACCCAATCCCAGTCTTGTAAGTAACCTTCTTTCCGGTAGATATTTTAGAAAAGTGCTTACGGATCATATGTGTCAGCTTGAAATTGAAAACCTGTCCGGTGATGAGCCGCGCGCGCTCACTGAGGCTCCGTTGTCGAAGGTGCCCATATGCGTATGCGTTGATTTCAGCCATATTTCTCACCCCTGATTCTTGTATTCTAGTCTATGACTGTAAATGATTGTATTCCCCAGCCTGCCACCGTCGTAGATTCCTTTTGCACTCCCAGTTCGGTAAGGTCGGATTCATACGAGCATATCTCTAGTTAACATTAATTTTAGGTGACTGGCGATGCAAAGGAACTCGCGGTCACCAGCAGTGCCTCACTATCATCAATAGATATCCCCGAAAGCTTTGAGATCCCCAGCACAAGCCTACCCGTCGGGCCGGCAGAGGTGTCCATTGAGTTGGATCGCGTTAACCTTGACGTCCCCTTTGAGGCTGACCAGAACACTGATTCCATTACACCAATTTTACGGAATGACGACGGGCATAATCATGGTGTAAGCATAGTCATTACCTGTCAATCGTTGGTAGAATATTAAAGCACCCTTAATTCAGGCATCCTTGGAAAAATCAGCTCAATATACATACGAAGCAAAGCATATATTCACTCTAGCAAACTGTTCTGATATTTCCGATACACTTAACATAGAATTCTCCTCCATTACTCCTGAAGATGTTTCACAATATCACAATATTTCAAAAACTCAGGAAATCTTTGCAAGCTGTCCATCCACTACTTTAACACCAGCAAAAGGAGTTGTAGAAGCCGCAAGGCCTCCTCATTCTGATTTCATTGTGCGTATATACAGGGATAGGCTGCCTATCGGAAACTTATCTTTTCGGTTCCTATAGGTATCTATAGACACAATAGAGCCCAGCTTCCCGTCTGGCATCGATGGTTTCTCAAAAGAAGGACCCTCCGTACAACCTGCTTCTCCTTCATTCACAATCACCTGCATCGATAAAGATCAAACTTGTAGTAGCAATGACACCCTTTCTAGGAGCCCGTTTAATACCAGCGAGGCGAAACCTCCGAGCATCGCTAATACGAACATACCAGCGGCAAATACATATGCTGAAGCAACAAACGTAAGTCATTCGCATGTGACTTCCGGGGTCGATGTTTTGTGACATTCGATCGTCCAGCTTGCGGCCCGCTTCCCAGATTTGGCCTCAGAGATCCTCTTTCTTCCCCTCCGTCCTGGGGCTGACACACAAGTTCCGGAAGACGGGCTTAAAGAGTCCAAGGTCAAGGTACAGAAAACCCTCGAAAAAGATAAACTATTTCGTTCCTCGTCCCAAGGAGGCCGCACACGATTCAAAGAGAAGAGGCAGCAGGCGCGACAATCGAAAGGAAAAGGACAACAACAATCATCCAGTGCTAAAACTCCGGTCACTCGTACTCCTATGGCCTTGGGGTTAGCCACCATTACAGACCACAGGCATACGGACGATAGCCCGAATTGGGCTGCGGCGCCGCTTCCTCCAGCCGTGGCTCGCACGCCGTCGCTGCCCACGAATCTTCATAGTGCCTCTGGTGGAAACTCGACTAGGAATGACCATAAACATAGGAGGCATGGGAAAAGGAAGGAAAGCTCCAGGGATATGGAAGAGATGCACGGGTCTAAGAATAAGCAAGTCAAAAGAGACATAGCTCCCACGGATGTCAGTCGGAACCACAAAGTAACTCCAGGACATTCCCTGGCTGCTCAGAAGCAATTGCCCCGAACTGCAGCCTCTTTGAACCCCGCCCCACCTCAGTCAGTAAAGCCGAGCATTCCTAGTTGGGCAGTCGAATCCAGGACTCCCATTCGAGGCCAATCAACCACCTCCGATCCTCGCATTACTATCACGTCTACTTCGGAAGAGGCTGCCAATCAGACATCATTGGTTCGTTCGGATACTGTGATCCTTAATGAGCTTTTTTCGCGAGCAATGAGCATGCGCGACAATGACCGTGGACCCAATATGGAAAGTCCGATTGTCCCAGGTGTGAGAAGGAAATCGACAACGAGCGTTGAACCTGAAGCGAACCGTTCACAAGCTAACATTGGAAGAGCTGCGGCCTCGGAGGATCGTAAAGTGGACGCATCTGGTTATCAATTCCCAGCTTCATCCTTCTCCTTTGGTACAGTGACGCCGCCAGTAAAGGTGCAGCGTGGTACAATAGACGAGTCTAGGCCGATGATCCCGTTACGACGTAGTCCGCAAGAATCACACGGTTCAGTCCCTGAATGGCGTACTAAATCTTTGGGTTTGAACAGAGATGGCCACACGGACAGGAGTCAGCGAATACCAATCGATTTATGGAAGACTCAGCCCGCGCACTCGAACCAGATCGAAGGGACTCTACGCGAGATACAAGAGCTTATGAACAACACGAACGCCCCTCTCAATTTCCAAAGGTCATCTGGAGTTCCAACAAAAGGACGGACTGCGCATCAGTTCACAGAGCACTGGACACCGAATACCAGTTCCGTATTAGCCGTTGAACGTAACACAGGAGAAAACTCGTCATCGTTTACTTTCGACCATGCGATAGGCACAAATATGACGGCTCTCGCGGGGAATATCAGTTCTCTTCCTCGGCGCCCTTCTCTTGCAAATGCAGAAATGGCAACATCTTTCCTTCCTGCTCTTGGGGGCCTGCAAGACTATTATGGTCGCCTGATATATGATGGAGGTATGACGAGGGAAGGATTTATAGAAATATCCAGGCGTGAAGATGGTTCGAGCAGGCCGACTGATAATGAAAGAAGTGTTATCTCCGGCCCTCGCAACGGAGGGCTGACGAATCGCCGGAAGGAGGAGGGAGATATGTTAGGCCGACTGCATTAATGGCAGCGTTGTCTGGACTCTTTTGAACGGGACCTCGTTACCTATGTATGCATAGTTTTGCCCACATGTTGAAATGTCTCCACGCAATTCCCCACTCGGCTTTCCGTTGCGTGGTGTAACAAACACCTTGCAACGGGAAGAGATCATGTGACCGACAAGATAATCGGTAACTTGTGCGGGCCAATTCGCGGAGTTTGAAATATTTGAGTGGTTTGGAGTGAATGTTACGTGAGGTTTTGCCAGAAGGGCTTTCTTTATCGCACTAATCGAAGCGAACAGCGAGGATTCTTTGCTGCACTGGCACATGTCTCAGTTATGGACGCACAAACAGGTTGCAAGGAGCATGGCTGCAAGGGATGATGCATCGATGATGCTTGATGACACGAGGAAGACGGAGCGTTTGTCCAACGGAAACCAGTGGACACTCCATAAAATACCAAGAGTTCACAGGTGGAGCTGAACACAAAGGGGACGTCATACAGTAGCCAAGGGTCTAGATACTGGATATCTCATTTCCGGATTTATGCTGAAACGGAATATTTTTTTTTGGTAAGATTGTGGGCTTCAAGTTGGCATTCATTTCTTCATCGCGATATGAAACTTCCGCACCCATCTGTTTGGCACGCTATCCCTCACAACACCGTGCTCCCATCATGGCACTCGTCCCTCTCGATTCTACCATGTCCTTCTCACCATCCTCGTCGTCGGATTCACCTCTCCATCGTTCGTATTCTTCCAATGCTAGCTTGCTGCCCCGAAACTATGACAGGCATTTGTCGCAGGGCGACAGAGTGCAAAGCTTCGCCAGTAGTACATCAGTATGTTCAATTGCTGGTTTCAGGCTTTCATATTTGTGACCTTGTATGTTGCTGGTAGACGGAGACTCCCTACACCGCTGGGGCGGGCTCAAAAGTGGCCCTAATATCCGAGAAAGTGTGTCCATTCTTATTTTTGAACACAGCAACCCAAGTCAAACAAACAAATGTTAGTTTAACCTCGCGCCAGATCCCCGTTCGTGGGGTTCAAACCTCTCGCCGGACTTCCCTGAAGCTGACGACGACCTCCACAATCCAAATGCCAAAGAACAGTCTCGCGGTATAGGCGGGTTTGCTGTTTATGACCGAGGTTTGGCCAATCTTGGCTGTCTGGTGATCGTCTGTGTCGGACTTGTAACACTTTTGTAAGTCATTTTTCGAGCATATATACTTACTATTCTGAAAATTTCAACGTAAGTGCTGGATACCCCATTATAACATACTTCACGAGGAACGAGCTTTCAAACATGGGAGGATTCAATGTTGGAGGAATTAATGCAAGCGGCCAAGTAAGCTTGATTGCCATCCCATATCGTGACGCGCATATATGAACTTTTCATCCTTCGAAGATACCCGTACTTTCTGGTAACTGGGGTCTCATTGATAGTGAGACACCCAAAGAAGCGCACACGAAACCTTCATGGAATGGTGGTTCAGATATGGAACTGGTATTCTCTGACGAATTTAATACACCTGGTCGAACATTTTACCCAGGTGATGACCCATACTGGGAGGCAGTCAATCTGCATTATTGGGTAAAGTCAATCATGAAAAGAATATCAACTTTGGCTAAAACTTCTCTTGAATACTTGTTAGCAAACCAACAATCTGGAATGGTATGATCCAGAAGCCATCACAACGCAAGATGGTTACCTTGTTATCACCTTGTCGCAAAAGGAGACACATAATCTAAACTATCAGGGTGGTATGTGATTTTGATTCGTTGTTTCGCCCGTCTTGACCCACGTGCACAAAACAGGGATGATGTCAAGTTGGTAAGCTCATATTGCTGTTCCTCCTTCTTTTTGCCAACTCTCGAACGCGTGCCTAGGAACAAATTCTGCTTTACTGGCGGGTACATCGAGGCAAATGTATCCCTTCCGGGTGTAAACAACGTTGTTGGTAAGTCGTTATGTTTAATTTCCGCGATGGTTTGATTCGAACACGGATAAACCCATAAGGCCTGTGGCCCGCTATATGGACACTCGGTAACCTAGGTACATATAGACTCTCTTTCCAGAATCTTCTTTCATTTATTCCATTACGGCAGGTCGAGCAGGATATGGTGCAAGTCTTGAAGGGATGGTGCGTGACGTCGTGAATTTGATGACCAAAATACATATTTTCACTACAGTGGCCTTACACCTATGATTCTTGCGATGTTGGTACGGTCGCCAACCAAAGCATAAATGGACAACCCGCTGCCGCTCTGGTAAACGGGGATCCAAGCAACGGGGGCGTGCTATCTTATCTTCCTGGGCAACGTCTATCGCGCTGTACGTGCAAGGGAGAGTCTCATCCTGGTCCCGTGCATTCCGATGGTACTTATGTCGGTCGCTCCGCCCCAGAAATCGACATGTTCGAGGCGCAGGTACGTTACTTACATCTTAACAATAGTCCTCCCGATCGCTTTTTTGCCTTGAAATTTGCTTAACGAACTTGCAGATCACAGGCACACCCCTCACTGGACAGGTATCTCAGTCAGCTCAATGGGCTGTGAGTGGCTTGTCCTTCTCGATACCAAGTAATTCTGTCTGATCATGTCATATCAGCCTTTTAATGCAGGCTACATTTGGGCGAACACGTCTGAAAATGAAATTATCCCGAATCCATCTGTTAGTGTGCAGAATACATACATCGGAGGTGTACAACAACAGGCTACGTCGGTCGTGACCGATACAAATCAAGGTTGCTACGAAGGGGAAACAGGGTGTTTCGCTGTTTATGGCTTTGAGGTGAGCCTCATATTGTTATATCTGATTTCTCGAGACTTATTCTACTTCACAGTATGTTCCAGGCAAGTGCACGATGTATTCAAAAGGCGTACGTATATCCCTAACACATCGAATTTCCTGGGTAATTAGGGTTTGATAAAGCAGTGCGTATTGCTGATACCCCCTATGGATGACTTCAACTGATTATATGCTATAGTATATCACATGGATAGCCAACAACGAAGTGGCTTGGACGCTCAATGCTGCAGGATTGGGTGCCGATTCAACTGTACAAATATCTGCCAGGCCTGTTCCTCAAGAACCAATGGTGTGTTTTCATTTACTCCTTACTTGAAAATACGAACTCAAGGAATAACCTACGTTTTCTTATATATAGTACATACTAATGAATCTTGGCATGTCGACTAATTTTGGCACAGTCGATCTTGCCCACCTCCCATTTCCTGTCCACATGCGCGTGGATTACATCCGTGTATACCAGCCTTCGCATTCAAAAAACATAGGATGTGACCCCACAGCATTCCCTACCGAACAATATATTAACACGTGAGTTCAAGCCCAGTGTCTGCTCCTATAGATATTTAAAGGGATCCAGGTACATGGAGGCTTATACCAATCCAAATCTCACAACATGGAGCGTTGACTATGACCAGCCTGTCCCCAAGAACTCGTTCCTGGATGAATGTTAAACACCTCGCAATTTTCAGAGAACTTCGCTATACCTTACACGCCATCTCTTACTGTATCATGACCCACCCTTTCCAGTGTGCGACAGTTTCTCCCTGTATATACATATATCATTATGTTTCGCTCCGACAGCGTCACGGCGATCAAATGGCTCCAATGCTGTACCCCATCCCTAACCACCGAGGGCTTGCAAACCGACGACGTCGCTTACTACATCGCAAACTCTACCCTCGCATACAGTTCTGGCGGTATTACCATATATTCGGTAATGTAGTATGCTTCCCCATGCAGGCATTTGAAACCTTTCCATTATTCTTTCGAATTCGTATAGACTTCCTTGGCATAAATTATGGTTTTGATTGTTTACCAATAACTTCATATTTCTCATGGACATGTCTTTACCTCATTTTCCCCAAGTTCTGATTAGACTCGCCCCGCCCGCATTGATCTCCTTTCCTCTCATGATTGTTCCATTTATCGACGTGCTTTGCCAATTCCAGAATCGTCGTTACTGTAATTATACCGTATCCATCTGACTTCAGAGCTAATGGAAATCAAATTAAGTTTAGAGAATGATTTGAACGACCTGTTCATCGTTAGCCATTGCTGAGAAAGTTATACTACGGAAGTTACGAGTAAAATGACTGATTCCAGATACCATGGTCGCCTCCAGAGCCACAAGTTATTAACGGTTTTGTGTCGAATTACCAATGGGAGCTAGGGTTACATGAGATTTTCGTGATGTACAAAGAGGTCACTATCTGCTCGTTGTTTGAATATTGACAAAAAATAGGCTTTTAATTGCGTAGTGACGTGGGAAAGGATGTTTGGAAGCTTGAAATTATATTCGCCATGCGACATGAACCTCGTCTGTGCGGAACCTTGACGATTATGAGCGATTATACCTTTCGATACAGTAGTCGGCATACAACTAACCTTTGAGTACATGTGCTTTCGTGGAAAGGTGTTTCATGACCCATGCGATAGCTAAGAAGACCCGCTTGGGCAATCATAATGCCATTATCGATGCAAAATCTGGTAGAAAGACCGATGAAGCGTCGATTCATCGATAAATGATGAATACACGTACCGCTCGTCAGTAGCGAAGACTTGTCCACCACGTTCTTGTGCCATTATGCCCATCATTTCTTGCAACCGTTCGTTACCTAGTTCAAATCACGGGGTGAACTGCGACCTCTTCATAAAAAATTTCGAGGACTTACAGCCGACACCTCCAACAATGAGCACTTCTTTACTTCCGATATGGGCCATTGCCCGTTCTGTGATCTCCACCAACATTGAAAATACAGTTTCTTGTAGAGAAAAACATAAGTCGGCAGGTGTAATTATGTCTTCGTCGGAAACCGTTCCATTTGGCAGGCTATCAGCGCAAAATTTCTTGTCCAGCGTATATGCTTCAATCGCGGATAGGATCCCAGACAGGCTGACATCCATGCCTTTCGTAGCATACGGCAAAGGCACAAGTCGGTTTCCCCTACGCATAAGAGAGACTATAAAGAACGATAATCAGATTCAGCGAACCAGCCTACTTTTTTGCTTCCTTCTCGATATTGTACCCTGGACTAGGATCGTTGCTCAGATTTATGACTCTGGCAAAGCGATCGAGACAGTTCCCGACAGCTATATCGAGAGTTTCTCCAAATATTCTATAGCATTGTCGGGAATATGCAATAACTTGTGTGTTTCCGCCGGATACATAAAGAACGACAGGGTTCTGTGCGCCTGTTATCTGACGCCCCATTTCGATGTCTAGAGCGCATCAACAGGAGAGGGAGGGAGAACAAGCAGTGTATACCTACGTCCCACGCAGTGATTCACACCAATGAGAGGCTTGTTGTAGAGAAGGGAAAGAGTCCTAGCCACAAGTGCGACAGACTGTAGAGGGGCACCCATTCCAGGACCTAGTCAACCCACATGTGTGTGAGCTAACAGTAGGAACGACAAGACAATGAAGTGACCTTTTGTGTAACAGATGCAATCAAGGTCGTGCATTGATACCTCTGCCTTTTTTATAGCATCTCGTATGACAGTTAAAGCCCATTCTCGATGATGCTGGGCGGTATCCCGCGGCAGGAAGCCCTCTCCAGGTGGAGTGATATAGGTATGTCGAATATTCGACAAGACTAGAGTCTTTCCATCTTTATCGTGTTTGATTATTCCCGCACCCAGCTTGTTTGCTGAACCCTCAAGGCCGAGAGCAATATATGGTTTAGCTATTTGTTCGGTGTAAGCAAGCTCAAAAAAATATAACATTGTTTCTCAACTTGGTGCCTGCAGTGGCGAGATTTTGCGATATCGACCTGGCATTTGGTACAGTACTTATTGAGTGAAATTGATAGTCGATGTTTTGGTTTCCAGCAAGGGTCCTGTTATCTCATGATCGGCTCCAACAGCGATAGATTGGACGGAAGAAAAATCAAAAAGAACATGCTCCAAGCAAGGCTCGAACTTGCGACCTCAGGATTACACAATCATATTGTGTCATATTCTCATATGAGACCTGCGCTCTAGCCAACTGAGCCATTGAAGCGATACCCCACTGTTGTATTAGCAGTATATCACAGCCAAGTACTTACTTTCCTTATCCTCTTTCCCGAGGCAGGTCGAGAATATACCGTGATATACCACTTCAAGTTGCCGACCACCAACCGTCAAAAGTCTGTTTGAATATCCTAGATTCTTCAAAGCATCCCCTCCTTTCAACCTGGTTACTTCAGGAAATTAGATATAGCTCTTCAACGACACATAAAACCCCTGTGGTTATCTAAAATGTCAGACAGTGACCAACCCGCAAGGAAGGAATGGACGCTTCACAATGAAGAGCCTACGTCTGCCCCTTCAACATCATCTACAGAAGCTAGCTCCCAGCAGCACCCCAATAATCCAACGTCGCAGCTCACAGCAGCTCCCACGCCTTTACAAGCCCCAGACCTATCCGCAGCCACACTAACCACCCCCACTCAACAATCAGACCGCATTGAATTAATCTCGCGAGCCCGTTCTTTCCTAACTTCCCCAAATATCCGGGACCAAAACATTCTCTCAAAGCGGTCTTTCCTTTCTGAAAAAGGTCTGACAGCTCCTGAAATCGAGGCCCTCCTGCGTGAGCTAGTGCGTACATACTTCATGTTCCAAAGGTTTTTCTGCTAAACCAGTTCATATTGCGTAGCCTCTACAACTTCCCTTAGTCCCTCCGCGAACATATCCTCAGCCAGCTCCTTCCAACCTGCCCAATCTCCTTATAGGCCTCGCTCGCATTTTCACATGGATTACTGGCACATCTGCCGCTCTCCTCTTCATTTACTACGTACGGCACACACGATTCCTCTTTGATTGATGACTAAAATTTCCCTCTATTAGCGGTTCATTCTACCCCGTATCACCCGAACATATGAAGCCCGTCATATGCTCATCAAACACCAATCAAGTCTTCTTTCCCGTTTCACTGATTCTCTGCGTACTTTGAAGGATACGCAAGAGTCGTCGTATGTTGAACTTCCCCGGAAAAGTCATCCCGCCGAAGATAGTCGCTATGCGCAACATCACACTCTGGAAGCGCTTCTTGCCGCAATTGGTGATGGTGATCCTGAGAGTATACCAGATGAAACCTTGCTGCGATGTGCATTGGAGGAGCTTACAGAACCAAAGGATAGCGGGGCTGTGAGCACTGAAAAGCTTTTCCATCACTTCGAGGCCAAGGTTTTGTGGTTACAGGGTGAAGATGGGGCGCAACGCCAGGTGATACCACAACATTGACCTTTGTTTTACTGAGTTCTGACAACTATATTTTATATAGGGTAAATTGTGGTACACACTCAATACGAACCCCGTCTTTACTTCTTCACCCCCACCCCCTCCCTCACCTCCCTCATCTTCGTCGTCCTCTGCACCGAAGCCACTCCCATCGGAGCTTCTCTGGAAATACAACCCCCCACAATCGAATATTGCACCTTTACTCCCTGCTCTCTCGAAACTCAAAACTTCTCTTCAATCGCGGTCGACTATTCCCTCTGTGGCAAGCGCAGCAACACAGAATGCCCTACAGACACTTTCTGACTTTACCGGATATATCACCACACAAACATATTCCCTTAATCTTCCGATCCGAGGTGGTTTTGGCATGAGCACAAGCGTAGGGTTAGGAGCTGAGGAGGACGAACTGCGTCGCGAAATTCGCGCACTCAAGGGTCTCGTGCTCAATAGACGTTCCTTTTTGGGGCCGGGAATAGGTGTTCAGAGGCCATCCAGTGCTCCATCTTCCAGCGGAATGGCTGGCAGTACACCATGATTATATGTTTTGGAGATGTCAAGGTCTAAGTTAACTATGGATACAATGTATTTTTGCAGTTTTGTGTGATTGAGCCTTACCAGAATCATACCCAGTGCACCAGCGAACCAAGGATAGTTCGATAAGCTCATATATAGCTTTGTATTGTGAGAAATTCCTGGACCTGTAGGTTCCAGGTTTCCAAAGCACAAATTTCCGCTGCGTTTTCCAAGGACCTTTTAGTCATTACTCATTTACGTTTACGCTTCCTTTCCTTTTCTCGCACTTTCGGCTCATTCCGTCTATTGTCATGTGGCTACCTTGGTGCTACTCACTCTTGCATCCATTGTATGATGTTGCTCTGTGATCACTGTAAAGACCACACAAAATGTTAACTGTAATGGCCTGCTGTGTGATCTGGACACAGCCGGTGTAACAACCAAGAGTTAGTTACTCTGGTGCACACAAGAACACACTATAAAGAAGATGTTGAGGGAGTGGTTACCCCTTAAGCTGCAGAGAGTTTGTTGGTATACAACAGGAGGACTCGCTAAGGAGTCTCCTGGATTTATTGGGGTATATATACTAATACAGAGTGTTTGTACTTATGTACTGTACAGTTGATAAAGTCAGTGGCTGATGATGTCATGGGGCCTAGCCCGCATGACCAGCTCCACTGTGTGAGAGAGTTGTATCTAAAATAAGAAGAAGGCAACGCAGCGCAAGAAAGAGGAGTTTGAACAAAAGGGGAAGTGCCGCGTGGCACCCTGTGTGAAAGCTAAAGTGTACAAGGTTAAAGCAGAGAATGAAAAAGAAGGAAAGGTCCGAAAATTGTGTTATCGTAACAGCTGGGGCCAGGTCTGCCCCAGAGGGCAATGGTTATGACCATAATCAATATAGTAATTCTGTGCGACCTTGTATGGTATTACATAGCCTTGGACCACATAGACCTTTTGCCAATTGATGTATGGATGGTACCAAATTAACTGTTGCTCAAAAGAGGAAGATGAACCAAAAATTACTTATTTTTGCTCCTAAATTGAAATACTACAGATCTACTTTTGTGCTCAAGCCATTCGCTGTGCTGCTGCTAAAGAGACAGCCATGTTCTTTTTAATGGAAGTGTAAGGAATCAATTTTTCTATTGCATTCCCATCATGTCATGGCTGTCCAACCCATTCCCCATCACCCCTCTTACTATTGGATTGGAAGTCACAGCCAGTACTCTATTACTTTTATCTTTCTTCTTCTTATTTTCCCTTCACACTCATGTTCTATCATACTTACAACGTAGGAGATTCCTTTCCAACCCTTGAGAAGATATCCTGATGACGTAGCATTAGTCAAAGGCTATGCCCAGGAATACTTCAGCGAGAGATTAATCAGTGATACGAACTGTGACTCAGTACCTTCTCATGGGTTTACTGATCCAGCGAATCATACATCCCTTACTAAGGATTTCTCCCACACAATTAGTAATTAGGATAGATTGTACCATTCCCTCCTTTTTCTTATTGGCTAACTGTTTGGTCAGACCACTCTTGATTTTTTTATTCCTTTTGGTCTGACCTCGGTGATTCATTATATAAAAGAGTAGATACTCAATGTATTATTCCTTAGTTCAATATTAGTTTGGATTGACACCTATACAGACACTCTTCAATCTCAATACTCTGGTTTGCTGCTTTTCCTCAAAGGACTTGGCCAGACATTTGTTTTGTTATATGGCTCTGTATTTGTTGCCTGACATTCTGCAGTATAGGATCAACATATTGAGGTACATGTAAGGATCATTTATATTTTCTTATTTTCTTATCTTTTTGTTCCATGTCTTGGTTCTCAGACACTTTCCCCATCACACCTCTGGCTCTAGGGCTAGAGGTATCCTTTGCTATCTTGCTTCTCATAGCCCTCACAGGCTTTCTTAACCATTGTTACCACTTCATATCGCTGATCAGAGACTGGGTAGTACTCCCAGCCAGCCAGCACAATGGGTAAGAACTGGCGGCAGATATCTCACCAACCAGCTCCAAGCCCCATCAGTGCCTGGAGATACTAATAGACACTTTAGTCAGGATCATACCTCATCATGAGGATACGGTTCCTGAACATGCATGACAATACTTATTATTAGTACATTCTCTCACCTGCTGATTAATCCCTAAAATTGTATGATAGTTATTCTTTTTCTTATTGGATAGTTTCATCCTCAGACCACTTTTCTTTTATTCTACTTCCGGTCTGAGAGATAGACAATTAGCTATAAAAACCCTACATACTCATATATCGTTCTTTAGCTTTTTATTACTTGAATCACCCACTTTACTCCTCACCAGAAACCCTTGAGTTTACTCCTAAAAAGTCCTCTACTTGCTACAATCACTAGCACCTGTTGACCTCAAGCTCATGGTATCTCTTACTCCCTGCAAGTGCAGTCGGAGACGGGTATCATTTTTGTTATAGTTTAATGTTGCCTCACAGTACAGTCCCAGTGTTAATTGAATGGCCAGGCCCATCTACCTCTGACATCGGTAAGGCTGAGGTCTGAGTCAGCCCAGCAGCAGCTGAAGGTCCCAATTTTTTCCCATCCAGTGTGGCTGTGTATATTGATAACAGATTGGTTGTTGCTTGATACTGTGCAAATGGAGGTATTATATATAATACCTACCTTGCATGTGAGCATATTTTTCAATCTCTATCTCTACATCCCCATCTGTGAAAAATATGTCTTTCAGTTGTCTGAAACTCTCTGATAATGTAATAGCTTACTGGGGTCAAACCCTGTCTCCTGAAGATCTACGTCTATCATACAATTTTGAGCTTCTTTATTGACAGATCCTAACAAAACCTTCTGCCATTGGAGAGTGAGTACACATTGAATTTTGAAAGTATGCCCAACAATAACCAATGTACATATATGGTTGATTTGATCTTTGGTATACTCAACCAGATGATCAGCATGATGAGAGGCGACTCCAGCCATGCTTTTGTATAGGTGAAAAAATGAGAGGTGTGAGCTGGCATTGGATGTAAAAGAAACATACTGCTTTAGATAACTGTGATGGTGGATAGAGCTAAAGGACACCTCAAGGACAAATTGGCCTATCCTGCTACCTTGTACTTTCACTCAGGCCAAAAACTGGTGAGAGTTTTTGTTTTTGGAATAGGAAGCAAGATTCCACGTTGTTAGAAATGAATCTCCGTGCAAAATTTTTGAATGAGGTGTGGGCTTGTGTGGGTGACTATGACCACTTGAAACAAATTGAACCAACATTTTATTGTGCCAACATCTGCTGTGAGTATGCATGCTTGTTCTTCTTCTATATTTCAGGTTGCTCAAATTTTGTAATTAGCTTAAATCTAACTTAGCTTCATCGGAACCATGTGAGGCAACATTAAACTATAACAAAAACAAAACCTGTCTCCCACTGCACTTGCAGGGAGTAAGAGGTTCAATGAGCTTGAGGTCAACAGATGCTAGTAAATATAGCAAGTAGAGGACTTGGGAGTAAACTCAAGGATTTCGGTTGAGGAGTAAAGCGGGTAAATCAAGTAATAGAAAACTAAAGAACTATACATGAGATGTGCAGGGCTTTTTATAGCTAACCGTCCGTCCCTCAGACCAAAAGGGGAATAAACAAAAAGTGGTCTGAGGAATAAATCAACCAATAAGAAAAAGGAATAACTATCATACAACTTTGAATGATTAATCAGCAGGTGAGAGAGTTGTACTAATAATAAGTATTGTCATGCATATTCAGGAACTGTATCCTCATGATGAGGTACGATCCTGACTAAAGCGTCTATTAGTATATCCAGGCACTGATGGGGCTTGGAGCTGGTTGGCGAGATGCCTACTACCAGCCCCTACCCATTGTGCTGGCTGGCTGGGAGTGATACCCAGTCTCTGATCTGCAATATAAAGTGGTAACGATGATTGAGAAAACCTGTGAGGGCTATGAGAAGTAGAATAGCAAATGATACCTCTAGCCCTAGAGCCAGAGGTGTAACGGGGAAAGCGTTCAAAAACCAAGACATAGAGAAAATAATAAATGGTCCTTACAAACCACTTATCACTCATTTGGTTGTGTCGCTTTTTCTCTCATCATCAAATTACTAGTAAGATCTCTGATATGGTCCACAGCTCTAGCTCTCTAGCTCTCTACCTTACACGCACCCTGTGATAACCAGACCCTATACCAAGCTAACGGAGGTCTAGTCATTTAATCACAAGTGTAAAGACCCTAGCTGTTATGCCGGTAACCCGAGCAGCGTAGGACTTAAATCACACAACAAGTGTCTGACAAGCAAGTATAAGAGTAAATCTACAACTGGGGTATGTACATGGATATCGTGCTAGTTATATAGAAGAAGGCATGAGGCTACGGTGAGGTATGACGTAGCGTATTGGTCAGTAACATGTGTAATGCGTGAGGCTGATTGGTAATGAGTATTACTAATGTGTCACGTGATTACTAGATAAGATAAGATCAAAGAGAGATTAGATTAGGTGAGATAATAGTCTCTATCTCGCAATTAGATAAAAAAGATGAGTCACATGGGTACGATTGTGACATTACCCCCTCCTTAGGACTTTCGTCCCGAAAGTGAGAGTCTAGCTTTCCGGTTTCCCAGTTATATAAGGATTTTCGAATACGAGTTGGAATTGTGAGGTTTTCGAATGGTTGGTAATTTAAAGTAAATTCTATCCTTCGGGGTGCACTGGGGTTTTTATCATGAAACTGTTTTACGAGTTTTGGTGAGTGTGTTAGGTTAGATTCGGGTTCCCACGTGCGATCCTCTTTTGGAAAGTCTTTCCAATGTACCAAATATTCTAGTTTCCCACGTTTCAATCGTGAGTCTAGAACCTCTTCTACTTCATATTCTTTGATTCCTTCCACTATCACCGGTGGTGCGGTTTTTGGTTTCTTTTGAGTTTCGAACTCTGGTTCTTTGAAGGGTGTGAGTAACTTTTCGTTGAAGACCGGGTGTATGTTCTTCCATCGTCCAGGAAGTTTTAATTTATAGGCTCCTTCGCCTATTTTCTTTTCAATGGGGAAAGGTCCGTGTCTTTTATCGTCAAGTTTCTTTGCGGGTCTATCGGTGGTTATATGTTCCACTTCAACATATACTTTGTCTCCTTCTTTGTATGCAATAGCCTCCCTCTTTCCTTTGTCATATTGTTTTTTCATATTTTCTGCTGCTTTTACCAGCGATTTTTCTGCCTCCTTCCTTGTTTCCTCCATCCTCTTTACAAACTCCTCCGCACTCTCTGTCTTTACCGTACTTCTAATTCCTTTTGCGACTTTCGGATGTTGTCCTGAATTTAAAAAGAAAGGGCTATAGCCAGTTGCAGAGTGTGACTTATTGTTATAAGAAAATTCCGCTAGTGGTGACCATTCGGCCCAGTCTGTTTGTTTGTGATTGACGAATATTCTGAGATACTGTTCTATCTCTTGGTTTATTCGTTCTGTCTGTCTGTCTGTCTGAGGATGATAAGTGGTCGAGGGATTTCCTTTTATCCCGAGGAGCTTATAGAGATCTTTCATGAAGTTAGAGACGTATTGCGGTCCTCTATCTGAAATGATCTTTTCTGGTATGCCGTGATTTCTAAAGACGTTGTCTCTAAATAATCTGGCTACTCCTTCTGACGTCACTTTATCATAAGTCGGCATGACTTTGATCATCTTCGAGAATCGATCTACTACCATGAGTATCATGTTGTAACCGAGAGACTCCGGTAATGGTCCGATCAGGTCTGTGGTAATGATTTCCCATGGTCTAGTTGGGATTTCATTCGGGTGTAACGGTGCCGCTTTCTTTTGATGATTAATCTTTGTGCGTTGACACGTTTCACAGCCTTCTACGTATTTTCGGATGTCTCTGTCCATGTACGGCCACCAATACCATCTAGTTACCAATTCCTTGGTTTTATACTGTCCGGGGTGTCCTGCTACAGTGGAGTCATGGTTTTCTTTTATGATGTGTTCTCGTAGTTTCCCGTCTTTGGGAATATAGATCCTTCCTTTGAATATCAACATCTCGTCTTCCATCCATATGCCTTTTTCTCTGTCTTCCCCTTTCTCTATCATCTTCCGCGCTACTTCGTCTACATTCATCATTCTTTTACAGATCCATTTGTATAATTCCACTGCATCGGCTGATTGCTCTGCCATGCGTTGTCTTTCTGTGTGTGAAATCATCATTCTGAAGTGTTCTGCTTTTAGAACGATTATGTCTTCGTTATCATCCACCCCCCTTTCATGATCTGCTCGTCTCGAGAGAAGGTCTGCTTTGATGTGTTTGGTACCTGGAATATGATGGAGCATAAAGTGGTAATTGCTCAATTCCATGACCCATCTAGCTTGTCTTCTGTTGAGCTTTTGAGGTTGTTTGTAGTAGAGAAGATTCTGGTGGTCTGTCCAGATCTCAAACACCTCTTTAGCATCAACGAGATAATGCCTCCATTCTTCTAACGCAGTCATTATAGTGAGAAGTTCTTTATCGTAAATCTCATAATTGCATTCTGTAGGGTTTAACGCTTTTGAGAGATATGCAATCGGTTTCCATTTCCCGTCTTGCATTTGTGAAAGAACTGCCCCCATAGCATAATTGCTGCTATCAGCTTCTATCTTGAATTGGCCGTCATCAGTTGGTAAGGCGAGTACGGGAGTTGATCCGACACGGGTTTTTAATCCGTTAAAAGCGTCGATCTGTTCCTGTCCCCACACAAACTCTACTTTCCCGGTCAATTTCGTTAATGGCTTGGCGATCAACCCAAAGCCTTCTATGAATCTTCTGTAGAAGTTCACGAAACCCAAGAATGCTTGTACATCTTTCTTTGATTTGCATTCTGGCCATTCCATGATTCCCTTTACTTTTACCGGATCCATGCGGATTTCATTTTCTGAAATGATAAGACCTAAGTACTCTGTTGAGGTCTCTTCAAAATCGCATTTTTCTGGTTTTAAGTAAAGATTGTTCTTCCTTAAGATATCTAACACTCTGCGCGTCATTGCGCGGTGTTCTTCAATTGTTTTTGTGAAAATCATGATGTCGTCGAGGTATATTACGACTTTTCCGTCATCAATCAAATCTTTGAATAGCGCATTCATCATGGTTTGAAATGTCGCTGGCGAGTTCGTGAGTCCAAAGAACATCACTAATGGTTCAAAGAGCCCTCTATTCGTTCTGAAGGCTGCTTTGTGTTCGTCTCCGTCTTTGATTCGGATATTGTTGTATCCCCATCTGATATCTAAATTCGTAAAGTATTTCGCGCCCCTGAGCTTGTCTACAAGTTCATTTATCAAGGGTAGCGGATATCTATTCTTGATGGTGATATCGTTTAATCTCCGATAGTCTTGGACGGGTCTAAGTTTTCCATCTTTCTTTTTGATGAAGAAGAACGGGGATGCAAATTGAGATTTGGAAGGTCTGATTCTTCCTGATTCGAGGTTTTCGTTTATAAATGCATCTAATTGTTCTTGTTCTCCTAAAGCCAGTGGATAACATTTGCAGTCCAGAGTATGGTCGCCTGGGATGAGTTCTATGGCGTGATCCCATTGGCGTCTCTCTGGCAGTGCATCAAATGACTCCTTATCGAATACGTCTTTGTAATCGTGGAGGTGTTTTGGAACTATCTTTTCGAATCCTCCTTCTTTCTGATCTTTACCAGCGGCTTCGGCAAGTTTCTGAGCTGTTGTGCCTTGTGCCCTAATATGGTAGTAGTGATCATCAATAGAAGTATCTTCGTAGTTCATTAGATTCACTTGGATCAGCTGATCCCCATCTGAGCGATCTACTTCCGAAAAGTATGTGTCAGGGTCTTCTTCCGGATCAAGGAAGTCAACCTGTCGTTTGCATTCTTTTGGGCATCTATCAAAGTTTAACTCCGACTTCTTCCAATCTATAGTGGGATTGTGCTTTGTTAACCACTCATGTCCAAGGAACATGTGACCACTCCCTAAGCTTGTTACGGCAAAGTGAATGTTCTCTTCGTGGTCTTCTATGCTCAATCGTAATTCTATAAATTCTTTGATAGCACCATCTTTGTTAAGTGTGCCATCAGCGTTATAAACTGGAATGGGTCTTGGTATTTTCTTTGTTTCATAGCCTTGTTCTTTTACGAACATTGAATCTATACAGCTATCTGTGCATCCACTATCTAAGAGAGCTTCGATCGTTGTTGATCGGTTTGTGTCAAGAGTTGTGAGTTTGCAAGTAATGTTCATCTGATTTCCTTGCGTTCCCCTAATATATTTCTTTGGGGTGTGTAACTCTAATAGAGCGAGTTCAGCATTGTGTAGCGTCAATGCATTTAACTCTTGTATCATCTCTATTGTGACTTCTCTGCTTCTCTTTTGGTGCGTCCAGATGTTGAGAATACCAATGGATCTGTCTTCCTTTTGGTCTCGTAATCTTTCAGCAACCCAAAGTGGCGTCCATGCCGCTGTCAGTCTCTTTCTTTCTTTGTGGTCTAGGTTTTTATTAGAGGTGTTCCTGACCTCTTTGGAACTGGTCGAACCATCAGTTACATCAGTGCTTCCCAATTGAGTCACTGCTTTCTGTGGTTCTGTTGTTTCCAATGAAGTGCTACCCGATTGAGTCACTTCCTTCACAAATTCTTTTTTAGATACTGCACTTTTCTCTTTTGAGTGCGCCGTAATCTCTTTATCGGGGATCTTTCTAACCCGTTCCCCATTCAGGTTCACATCTTTTTTAGTTTCTTTTTCTTTTGATCTTAGATCTGCTGCGTCTTTGGCTAATGTGATTTCATTTTCATGATCTATAGACGACAAACAAGATTCTTCGATCGATAAAGAAGAGAAACTATTATGGAAACTATTGTCTTTAGGCACAGCCGGTTGATGTGTTACCGCTGGCCTCTTCAAAAACCCTGAAGGATCTTTGCTCTTTCTTCTGCACTCATGTTTTGCAAGAACTCCCTAACATTGAATTGGGGTTTTGCGTGTGCCTCCTTTTTGCATTCAAAGGATCGGTGTCCTTTTTCTCCGCACCGGTAGCAGAGCCCTTTCTGTCGGTACTCCGCTTTATCAACCTTCATCGGGTCACCGGCTTGGGTATAAAGGTACCCGCTACCGTCCTTCTTTCTTTCGACCTTTGGTTCGGTCTTTCCTCCTCCGTCTTGCTTCTTTTTCTCCGTGCTTCTGAAGCTCTCCTTCTCTGCCTCTCTGTGGCGCCATAAGTAGTCAATGCGGATCAACTTTTTTTTCCACTCTTCGTAGTTGGCTGGCTCCCGGCCGCCGTATATTACCTGATTGACCAGGGGTTCATTCATGTTTCTACGTAAGAGCAAAATGAGGAAGTCCTCATTGGCTGCTTGGAGGTAGTTAGCCTCTCTTCTCAGTTCTTCGAAATGTTCGAAGTGCTTCTCTGCCGTGTTCTTCCCTTGGCGCAAGATCATAATGTCATTGCGGGCAGCAAGTTGCTCGTGAACATTTTTGAACCGAGTCTCCATTTTGTGGGCGAACCACTCGAAACTTTCGTAAGTGGATTTGAGGTTTTCTCCTCGCATCCTCTTTTCTATCTTCGTCTCCATCCACTCCGTTCTGAAGGCAGCCGCTGCTCCTCCTGTCATGAAAGAAAGCACATAGGCGATCTTTCTCTTGTCATCCGCAAAGTACTCTTCATCATCCTCGTAGTTTAGCATTAAGGCTTCGCGGAAAGCCTTGTACTTTTTTCGGTCTCCATCGAAGTTTTCAGGCTTCTGGAGTGCCGTTCTCGTTCTGTCTACGCGTCTCGGCTGCGTACTGGGTGGCGTGGGTGCGGATGCGGCGGGAGCGGACGTAGAAGAATTCAATGTAGCTAACCTCAGCTTGGCTAGCAATTCGTCGACTTCTTCTTTCGCCTCTTTCAGCTGCGTTTCGTAAAGATCGTGGAGCCGCCTCTGCTCCTGTTCTATTCTGGTCTGAACGTACTGTTCCAGTCCAGCTTCCTTCGATGTTGGTGCTTGTGGTTCTAGGGGTGGGAGTGCACCTGATAATTCTCCCATTCCTATCTCTGGTGTGTCCGGCTCTTCGCGCGGACCTCACCACTCTCCGAATGCTTCTGTCGTCATGATCTGGGTAGGGGGTGTGGTATCGGGTTCTGATCGGTTCTATTTCTGGGAATGTGAAGTAGATTTCCCAAGCTAATCTGTTCTCGGAGTGAAAGCGTTCTTCTGCTAGCCACTCTTCGAATTTCCATCCCAGGTTGCATACAAAAGAGTTTCCCGATGATAAGTCGGATCAACACTTTCTAATGTAAGATCAACCGGGTCTATCTGTTTCCTTCTTTAGTCAAGCGGTTCCTCTTCTGTCCCGCACTGACTGTGTATGTAACTAATTCTATCTGATATATTGGTGTTCTAAAGTATAGTAACTGGGGTCCAGACGGTTGTCCCAGTGATACCCAGCGAATAACCGCGTGCAGGTCTTTTCCAACTGGCAGACTCAAGTGAGTGGCCTGGTCAGAAGGGTAAAGAAGCTTTTCTAAACTAAGTAATACCTATCGGGCTCCACGCCGTCAAGGGTTCTAGCTAAAGGGTTGGAAGGGGGAGTGAGGGGGATATCGACAAACGACTCTGTGGGTGAGACGTTGGCAGGAAAAAATGAAACAATGGTGGATGGTCGGGTGATAGGTGTGATGATGGTTGGTTTAGTGATATAGACGTAGAGTTTGGCAATGCCAAAGAGTATGATTGCGATGAGAGGGAATAGGGTGATGATTAGGATAGCTGTGCTTTTGCTCATCAACAGGTGTCGTTCAAAGTTGTAGATTATGTAAAGACCCTAGCTGTTATGCCGGTAACCCGAGCAGCGTAGGACTTAAATCACACAACAAGTGTCTGACAAGCAAGTATAAGAGTAAATCTACAACTGGGGTATGTACATGGATATCGTGCTAGTTATATAGAAGAAGGCATGAGGCTACGGTGAGGTATGACGTAGCGTATTGGTCAGTAACATGTGTAATGCGTGAGGCTGATTGGTAATGAGTATTACTAATGTGTCACGTGATTACTAGATAAGATAAGATCAAAGAGAGATTAGATTAGGTGAGATAATAGTCTCTATCTCGCAATTAGATAAAAAAGATGAGTCACATGAGTACGATCGTGACAACAAGCAGGGTCTAACAATGATGTATAAACATGTAATCAACAGCTGGAGGATATGTACAAGAGGTAGCTGTATATATACTAGAGAACATGTGTTATAAATGAGGCGCTGACTGAGCGACATGCGTAAGGCATGCGGTGCTTGGTAATTGTCTTTGTAAGTGTCTACGTTATAGGTCATGTGAATGGTCACGTGACTATGATAAGATAAGATTCGGAGAAATTATAGACATGGTATCATTATTGGTTTGAGATAAGAGTGTCAGGATTAAGAGATCGTGACACACCCTTGATCAATATCAAAGGTTACCAGAGCTCATAATTTGTTTCTGATCATCTTGATGATCCCACCTACTGTCAATGTTCATCCTTTAATATGTGAGCTTGTCTGCTCAGCTTCAGTGTATGTTATTTCAATCCAATCAGTGCTAATCCATTTGTATGGTTATTGTTACGTTGTAGCATGTTGATTCATCCTTCAAACTCATCACAAGTTGTCACTTTGGTCAGGATGACTACACTTTTTGTTGGATTCTCTTTGTAAGGACGTAATAGTGAGCCACATGGAGTGTTTAATAACACTAGCATTAAACATGGGCAAAAACTGTGCTTATAACACTGCCACTATACTGATTTAACAGAGTGACAATATTGAGTCTTGAGCAGGTAGTTATGAACAACAATAGTACTGAAAGGAAATCAAAAGCTAAAGGGATAAGTACAAGTTGGTAGCTAGTTATATATTATAGAACACTTGTCAGCCTTTAGGCACTGACTGATGAACATGATAATGAAGCATGTAGTCTTTGTAAGTAAATCATGTAATGTAAGATCACATGATGAGATGAGATTAGATAAGTATCTATGTAATTAGATAAAGAGAGATGAGAGTTTCTACTTCAGAGTTCATAATATAAGGAGAAAAGTTAGGGTTTGGTGAGGATAGTGCTCATGTTATCATGTATTTGAACAACCTGACTGGGCCCTCCAACCACCTGACTCACCTGACTCCTGTAATTGATGGCAAATTTAAAGACTTATTCTTCAAATTCCTTCATGGTACTCCCAATATAGTTTTTTTGTGGCTCTCCACACAACATTCTTGTTCTCAACTTCCCGCTTCAATTCCACCACATATTGTCCCTGGATGACCAGTAATAAATATCAACTTAATCTTGAGCCAAATAGGTTATTATGGTGAAGAACTTTGTGATGGATCTATAAACAAACTGATCTTGTCATTGTCATCACTTTCCAAGTCTACCACTACTGTGTACAGTCTTTTGATTGATCAGCTACCACAGCACCTTGCACTGTTCAACATGATTTCTACTCACCTTCTAAACCTGGCTACTCTCTATATCACTATGTGTTTAATATATTGCTGTGGTGACTTGAGTTTAGAATCAGATGATGAAGATGATTCTGTCATGAGTTTGCCTATAAACTTTGCCCTATGTTCTTCATTTGAGAAATCAAGAGACCATCAGCCCAGCTGAACTTGATATGCTGGGTTATTCAGATTTTGATTATACTTCAGAGGTTCACTTTCTTTTGCATCTTGACAGTACAGGATATAAATCTTGCTTGACAGATGATCATTTGCTGAATTGTGGACTAGCTGAGATTCCTTCTAAGCTCAAGTTGCTCAGAATATCCTCACCTGGGTCCTAGAATACTAGCTCCCCTCAAATATTCAACAGAACAGTTGATGCTTCTGAATGGCTTTTGTGGACATGTCCTTGTTTGAAAAAAGTTGTGATAGATGGGTTTTCTAAAAGGTACGGTGTTGTGGACTTGTTTTAAAATCCACTTCTTGATGCAGAGAGGTGGAAGGATGTTGACATTTCTTATTCTCTTGACATTAGAGAATAAGAAATGCTACATCCAAACATATCACTTTTTTAAAGCTAATGTTGATTTGTATGCTCTCCACAAGGTGTTCTGGATCATACAGATGCTGTTGCACTTGTATCACCACCATAAAATCTAAGGGGCATATTGGCATTTGTTTTTCACTCTTGCAAGTATATATAAAGCCTAAAACCTTGTAGAAGTTGCTTATCTGATAAGGTAGGGCTCATGCACACCACTAATGTCACATGATCACCTGACTTTTTTTGTATATATCTAATGGTACGCACAAAGCCTTAATTTTGTCCCAAACATCCCACAGAAAGTTTTTCAGTTTAATTCTGCACAAATCTGTGCGAGCCGATATGTGCAGTTGGCATTAGGAAAATGGAGTCGTACGCAGTGTCACAACAAGGATGGATTTGTGTGGGTCACATGCTGTCACAGATCACCTGATGTTGAGTCCCACCTTTTCGGAAAACTATTTGCTGCGCCTTTCTTTTGCTTTGATGTTTTCCGACTCGGACTCTGATTCACGGCATATGCTTCCATCATACTGCGACCGATTTGCCCGTTTTCCGAGTCGCATGTGGACACATAACTTCTTCCTCCTTTCACCTGCGCATAAGCCTGTGATGTACGTATGTGCGTTCTGCCATTTGCGGCGGCCGCATAAAGTTCTCGCTCTTATATATATCTCAGCCATTTCACTGAAAAGTCTCACCGTACTTTCATCCTTGATGATATAGCTACTACGCATAGACCAGTATTCAATCTCACACAGGTTCTGTCTGCTTGCCTCGCATATTACCTTCAATCATAACCCAGGTTCGATCAGTCATTGAATTTACATTTTTTCTTTCACACTTAGAGTAATTGCATTTCAGCTGCATCATGTCACATTTCGAGCAACTCCAGCCAGAATCATACATATTTAGGTTACCTACCGAAATCTGGCAGGAGTGTTGGAGTTACTCCAGTCGAAATGATCTCCAGCGGCTAGTCTCAGTTTGCCGTCTATTCCGTCAGACGTGTCAAAAGACCCTCTACCGGAAGCTCACATATGGGGGATCAGACCTCTTTGATCTCATGTTGAGCTTATATGAACCAGATTCTTGGAGCTTCGAGCGCTTGCTGAAGCGCTTCGAAACAATGCGCACGGATCCAGATGGCGATGACGTTCGGGCCATGGTACACGAATGCCATTTCGTAGGACTGGAAGACTCGAGGAATCTACTTAGCAACGAAGCATTCCAAATCCATTACAGAAACCTGCCAAAGGTGCTAGAGACTATTCAGGCGACAACCAAGGCCTTTGTGTCGTTGCTGTCTGCCCTTCCCAACATACGCATTCTTCATCTCTCATGGATAGACCTGGACGATGAAATATGGAACATCTTGGAGGCATTACCGAATTTGGATGCCCTCGTGCTTAACGAGTGCCAAATGGCTGGTGGTTCCGAGAGACATATGTCTTTGAAGACCTTTAACATGTCTTCCAGCGGAATACCAAATCACTTGCGTCTTTCTACACCCTTGCAAATCTTGGCGCCTTCTCGTTTGACGGAATTGACCCTTGAAGACGAATACTGTACTGGCGCCGTCCTCTCGTCACTCATTTCCCTGGGCACCTTTCACCATCTTACACACCTCGCAGTTCATGTTGAGGAAACCACTGTGGATAAATTCCTCACCTTGTTACGCGCAGCTCCTCGCCTCAAAACTCTAAAGATATCTGGCTGTCATAATATATCACGTTACCCGCATGCGTTGCCTTCTGACGTGGTTCCATTACTCACGTCATATGATGGTCCCCTCCACCTAGCCCATCTATTTACCACCAATCGTCCCGTCACTGACGTCAAGTTACGACTGTCGATCCCCCAAGGTCAAAACAGCATCAACTCCTTATTCTTATCAGATCAAATAGGCTCCTCGATGGCCAGTCTTTCTAGATCCACAATCGGTGTGAAGTGCCTGGCACTCAGTGGGATAACATCTAGTCTCGACTCTCTCGACGCCGTTACTGCCTATCTTCCAGACTTGCGGGAACTCGATGTGTCTTTTTCCAGGCTCCCTAGCTTTCCATTACCCCTAGATGAAGAGATCGAGGGAAGATATCAGCGGTCGACGAATGTAAGCTCTTTTTACTGGTAATTGACACACATACTCAAGCAGCGCTGGTCAGGTTGATGGTCTAAAGATCGGCTGCGGTGGGCCGTTCTCCAGTATTCAACAATGTCTTCCTAAGGATCATCCCGTTTCAATACAGGTCCGTCGTTTATCCTGTCTCGTTGTCTCAAACTTATGCACTAATACTTATTGTTATTGCAGCACCTTGTCTGTTTAATCGCGGATGGACACGCTACACTCCCAGCTCAAATCGAGGTATTAAGATTGCGATGCGATTTTACAGCACGTCCTGCTGCGGAGGGTGCAGGCGAACGACTTATTTTAGAGAAACTGTCCGAGTTATATCCTCGTGTGAGGGAGGTATGCGTTGGCACCAATCTCGTTTGGTATCGGATGGGAGAATCGTGGTCCTCCAGTGCTATCAGGACCTAGCATGGATTGGCAAGTTCAGAGTAAAGTGATGATCTTTTATACCTAGAAGGCACTGGTCGGAATTCCAAAATCTGTTCTCTTGTTTATAGAACTTTTGTAACTTTAGATTTTTACCTCGTGAATGCATAGTGTCACATCTTCTTTCACTTGTTGCGAAAGAGAGGCCGTGTTCGATACGACTTGGACAAAGTAGTTATATATTACATGAGGTTTGATGAATCAGTATACTTAAGCACGGATTGTCTCCGCAATGTTATCGATCACAACTTTCAGCCTGTTTGCCTCATGTACAGCTGTGGTTGTGTTCCTGTCGAATGTGAGTGCTTCCGTCAGTCCGGGAAATGTGGTTGCACCATAGCCTAAGGTAGCATTTAGCATTGAATAGAAGGTGGGTGAGTAGGCGAGGACCAACCTAGCCACTTTCCAGGAGCTACAGCAAGATGTTTGTACCATTCGCGATCTTTAATGCCTTCCTTTGATATGAATCCACGCTCAAATGTAATGAGCTTCTTGTTCACGGCTTGTACTCGTTTAATAGCCTTGACGAGTGCCCGAGGTGGACGATGTCTGTAATATAAAAGGTTTCATTAGAGTGGAAGAATTGTCAACGAAGCCAACAGCCTCACCCAAGATGATGATGGCGATTATTGACTACCTCTTCCCCCCGCGAATCCTCATGTTCCTTTGCCCAATCATGGATCCGGCCACCACTGTATGTTATCGTTTTTCCATTGGCTAACTTAACTTCACGTTGGTGAAAGCCATCAGAATCACATTGCTCGCCCTTGTGGAATATCGTTTTGACTTTGCAGATGATTTCATGTAATTTGCGCCTGAAGCGACGATGTCTGGCGTATTGTTTCTTGAGTTTCTTGAGCACCTTCTTCAAGTTGCGTTCTGCCCCCTCTTTCTCCGTGTCCAACTTAAAGCTGACACTCTGCAGGTGGTGAATGGAGTTACGAAGAGGGGAAAGATCTACATCGAAGGAAGCATCTGAAGCTATTGCCTCAACGCTAAAGATATATACGAGGTCAATGGGGCAAGGCTATGATCACGATGATGAACTTCTTACCTGTCGAGATATGACTCCAGCTCATAGGAATAATGCGTTGTATTGAAAGGTAATACGATGGAACCTGAAAGTCGCAAAACTTGTAGCCCGATGTGCTTTGCAATGGCAACCTAACAAAAAGTGAGACCTGAACAGATGCAATTCGAGGATGGCACAACTTACGTGGCGGTAAAAGCCAGGGTCTCCGTACATTTCTTGCCATCTCTGAGAGTCGAAGACTGAATGATAGTGATACACAGGGTCATGCAGCGTCGATGAAAACCCTCCGTTGGTGCTTGGTACCTAAAATAATATACACAGGTGATATCAATATCTTCGTATACGAGCGACCCAGGTACGGGTAACGGTAACATACCCCAATGTACTGCAGGAAAACTGTGTAGTCACTGCCTGAACCAAGCGCATTGACACCGATGCTATCGATAGCTAGTAGCTCTTCTTGGTGCATGGAGGCAACTTCAGGATCCAAGTTCTCGCCAAACAAAGTTCCAGTATCATGGCGAGCATCCCAGAGGGTGCGACCTTCTGAGGTGGGGTGGGGGATTTCTTCGGCAGTTTGACGGAGCAAGTGAGCAAGCAAAGGGGAGGCAGATGCACCAAGATGAGATCCAGATGTAGAGGAGTCTGCATATGAAAATAATGAGAGGTAAAGGTAAATAATTGAAAGATATTCATGGGTACGTACCAATGTTGACATAAGCAACTACGTGCTTGTTGATCCAGTCTGCAAAATCTTCTCCCCATTCTGTACTGCCAATAAGGCCGTACTGTAGAAATTTTCAATTGCTTAGCTAAATTGTGTCTTTATTTTTAAGCAGGAGAGCAAGCATACCTCTTCTCCATCCCAGCTAGCAAAGACGATAGTCCTGAGCGGCTTCCAGCCCTTTCGCAAGAGAGCGCCAAATCCACGGATGGTTTCATGAACAGAAACAGTACCAGAGGTAGGATCGGTTGCCCCGAGGACCTGTTTCTAGTCAATTACATGTCTCAATTAGCTCAAAAGGCGGTTCGCTCACCCAGGCTGTCAAACACAAAAGCATCAGCATAGATACAAGAAAGAAGGCAAGACCCTACCATCCCGATGATTGCCAAGTATTACCACTTCATCTTTGATATGGCCAGGAATGACACCCATAGTGTTCCAGATGGGGGTGATCTTCTCATCGACTACCAATTCATTTCAATTCCAGTAAGTTGATATGGGGATATGTACTGCCTTACCATGATTAACGACTCGGACGGCCCGAGCCTCATCGCCTTTTTCTATTTCTTCTAGGAGCACTTTTGCGTTCTCCCAAGAGATAGGCAAACTTGGTATAGTCGGCTTGCTCCAGCCTTCAGTTCGAGTACTATTTTCATAAGATGGGTAACCTGGAGTTGTGGGATCTCCAGCATAGATTGACAAAAATTGAACTGAACCACGCTGAACAGAAGTAGGATTTCGAGCGGGGCCATGAGGGTATCTAAGTGAAGCTGGTGAGAGAAGGTAATACAGACAAGGAAGTCAAATGACATACGGGACGTAACCATTCTCGACGGTAACCGTGCCATCATCTCGAAGGTCAGAATATATGAGAACAGCAGCAGCTCCAAGTTCCTGAGCAGCTTTGACCTAGGGAAATGATAAACTTCACGACTAACATGCCGAAATGACGATAAGGTGCATACCTTCAAGCCACGGAAATTTCCTCCATATCGTACTAGGACAATAGAACCATTGAAATCAACGCCTGATCATGTATAAGATAAGTTTATATGGTGGAATTTTTGAGGTAAGGTTGCATACCAGCTTCAACGAGGGCGTCATAATCTTGCTTTCTCCCGAAGTGCGCATATATTAGCTTCCCTTGAGCCTCTCCACCACGGCTTATTCCATGCCATGTTGGAATCGTCTGGGCGTGTTTATGAGCATCCGGGTCGGTTTCATCAGACACTTCTTCCAATTGGGCCGACCAGACAGGACTTCCATCTTCTCCTAAAATTTCGAGGCTGTGCTCAAGAGGAGAGTTGAGTGCAGGATAGTACACGTCAATCCAAGCCTTAGGTTCCTCAAGATATGGGATTGAAAGCGTCGAGTTTCGTGACTCCTCAGATCCAGCAGGAAATATGGGTACATCGGCATGTGACGAATCAATGCCAAGTTCATTTTCAAGCAGAGACAAGAAATATTTGGCGGTATCTAAATCTCCTGCAGTTCCCGCCATGTGGGGCTTGCTTGCATATTTACGAGAGGCTGCTAGTGCACTGGACTCGTTAGGAATCGATCTGAAGGTAATAGCACATTATTGGGCTGTGCAGGCAAGTGTACGTGACGACTCACAAGAACAATTTCTCTGCCCTCTTGCCAAACAACGCTTGTTTTTTGCCTTGACTATGGTGGCTAGTCAATGCATCAACCCATTGATCGCCATTATCACCTCCCGTGTGCCATACGCGAGGTTTAGATATATCCCAAAGAATGCGAGAACCTATAGAGATAAGAAGAAGCCAGCGAATCCAGGGTTGGACCCTCAGGGATGAACTTGAAGGACGTTGTGTTACGACAGGAACAGGTATACTATCAGAGCTCGATGTTTCCTTCGTCAAAGACTGTTTGCCCATGGTTAGGTACTAGTCACAGGCAGCGACGGTTCGGGTGAGAATAGCTTTATGACATAGAGTGTACTTTATATATTTGTGCGTTGGCTGTTCGAGAAGCTCTCAATTACCATATCGGGTGTACAACTAATCTTATCACGGTTCGCCACGACGCATGCCGCTACCATGCTGAAACCCGTCGCTCACATACACGTTGGACATACACAGAAAATCTAGCTACTAATACATAGACAACATACCACAGTACTAGCTTACTTTCATTTCCCCAGTACAAGACAAGTCCTGCTTGGAATGTACACCTGAATAGACTCGAAAGTATAAGGTACGGTCGTTGATGTGCGACTAGCCATGCAAAACAACTCACCTGTAACCAATTCTTCCGCCCATTCCAATCCATTGGCGTCGTGGAATACTTGCCGTCCAGTGAGACGTTATCAAACCCTCCAAACCTTTTCTCATCGCTGCTGAACACAACGCCGTACTCTCCGGCTTCCTGAACGCCCACACGATAATCCGTGAACGAGTTTGTGGGGTGGAAATTAAAAATGAAGAGAAGTCCAGCACGCTCAAACACGATTACTTTATCGCCTTCATGCTTGAGCGATACATATGCCTGGTCAATGCAAACAGTATGAGCATCCTTCCAGTTTATCTTGCTAAGATTGTTACCTGAGGTGCTGACAGCCACTTATACTTATCTTCGAGATGGTTCATAACACAGTCGAAGTTATTCAAGTACCGATACCGCAAAACCAAATCATCGACAACGTTCCACTGGCGACGCGCATAGTGATAAGAATTGTTGTTGCCTTCTCGAGGAAAATCGAGCCACTGCACAATCGACGATATTAATAAACCCAGTACATCGCATCGTAATTGAAGTCACCTCGGGATGTCCAAACTCGTTGCCTTCAAAATTCAAATATCCTTCTCCACCGAGGGAATGGACGAGAAGACTGTTTTGTTGAGTGATAGTTTCAAAGAAAATGGAAAGAAAACCAACCGAATCATCTTATGCAATGCAAGCCCTCTTGCTATGATGGGTGTCATAGGTGACATATCAGACATGTGTGTATCTGCAAATTATCGCCTTAGCTGAATAAAATAGGACCCGTTTAAGGCGACTAACACATCTCCTTATCCATCAGCCAGAATGCCAAAGTCTTATCGCCAACCAGGGCCTGGTCATGGCTCTCGCAATACGCCACACTCCGCTCGCCATGACGCCTGTTAATGAGAGTGTGGACAATGTTGCCCATATCCCACTGATCATCGGTCTTATGCTTGAGAAGTTTAATCCACATATCGGGTATAGCCATGGACAAGCGATAATCAAAACCGACGCCTCCTTGGGTTGGGGGGATACAAAGAAGGGGCATTCCCGAAACGTCTTCAGCAATGGTAACAACGAAAGGGTAAAGTTGGTGCATTGCATCATTTGCCTGAAACAAAAGCACACAGTCAGAGAAAGGTTCCATGGCGGTGGGTCACTATTACTTGCCAACATTAAATAAACAATTGCCTCATCATCGGAACTATCTCCAAAATATTCGTGGTATCCACCAGAGAAGCCAGTACCTATACCATGATGGGTATACATCATACTTGTCACACCATCAAATCGGAACCCGTCGAATTGGTATTCCTCTATGTAGAACCTAAGGTTGCTCAACAAGAAACGCAAAACTTCGTGAGATCCATAGTTAAATAACCGGCTGTCCCAGAGTTCGTGACGCCCTTTTCCGCCTTCATGGAAGTAAAGGTGGTCTGTACCATCGAAGGCATTGAGGCCATCCAATACATTTTTACATGCATGTGAATGGACGACGTCTAACAGAACTGTTATACCCATGCCGTGCGCGGTGTCAATGAGCTCTTTGAGTTCTTCGGGTGTGCCGTATCGTGAACTGGCAGCAAAGTAATTTGTGACTTGATATCCAAATGCTGAGAGGTGTTCAATCATCAATCATGCCCTCTGGAGAAGGGCGACGCGCTTACAAGCATAATACGCATGTTCCATGACAGCCATCAGTTGAATGGTATTGTACCCCAAATTCCGAATCCTTGGTAGAACATCCTTCGTGAATTCTTTGTAGGTACCGACCCTCCCTTCTGAAGTGGATATGCCAACGTGAGCTTCATATATTCTAGCTGCTTTAGGCTGAGGGGGACGCGAATGCTTGAATTGGTAACGTTCCGCTGCGGGAGGATTCCAAAAACGCGCATCGTAGATCGGGGAAACAGATAAATCCTGAGTGACACGCTTGATCCAAGCTGGAAGACGTTCGATGCGTTCACCACTTGGGATAATCATAGATATCTAACAGTTTGCATTAAATAAACGACTGATTAACACTACATGAGACCACTCACTTTGATTTTAGAGTCGTGAGGAATTGCACAAACTCCAGGAGACTTGGGTGGAATGGTTAGCTCCCATATTCCGTACTCGTTTTTGGTCATCGGGTGAGTAGTCCTATTCCAGCCATCTACAAAACCAATCATTAGTTCACTCTCTGTGCTTATAGCAAGCCTGTGGTCAAATCTATGACCCTACTGCAGTATACTGAGTAGATAACAAGCACAAGATAACTCACTGAAGTCTCCGATCAAAGTTGCTTCTTTCGCGTTGGGTGCCCATTCTCTGTACACTACCTCTCCGCTTTGATTCACATTGAGCCCCATTTTCTCGAAACCTCGAGTGAACTTTTCATAGCCGCCTTCATATTGATCAATTGTGCTTTTCCACTTCTGAAACAAGACTTGACGGTGCGAAATCGTAGGGAGGAAAGGCTCAAGATAACCGTCCAACTTCAAGACTGATTTGGGATCAAACGCAGCCGACATCGTGGATGGTGGAGAGAAAGGAAAGGAGCGGTGATGGTAGATAAGAGGAAAGAGGTGCCAATATCATTTTTACAGGTCGCAATACGGACGCGTTGGATTTCCCTATGACGTTGTTGCAGGATCAGCCTGGACCCAGTAATAGGGTTACGGATACAGAAACAACACTCGGGTATCATTCATCCAATCAAAGTGCGCGATAGATACAAAAATAATCTACAGGAAAATCTGGGAGAACATTGCATACCAAGCGTATTACAGACGGAAGCAAAAATTAGACAGCAATGGAATTATTTCAACCACCCTTTTGATTTACCATAATTTATGACGCAGCCTGCATTTTCAAATATAAACCTCTCAGGCTCAGTGGAAACTACAGCTTGAGTTTTGCGTCCCCCCTTGCGGACCGTACTCGGTTGCTTCTTCTTTGTCGTCTTTATACACTTGGCTAATACTTCTTCCATCTCCAGGAGGCAGTCGTAACACTCTTTTTCTTCGTACCCTCCTAGAGCACTACGGCTTGCGACCGATGTGGTTCGTCGCGAGGGAGCAGGAGGTTTGAGCCGCTTGGAATATAGCAATTTAAGAACAAGGTAATGTAACCACTAAAATGACCCGTCAATAAACAGAAAAAATCGACAAAAAGGAATTAGCTACCATCACATTAGTAAATGGTCGATACTTCTGCCACGAGTTCAAGTTGTAACCTTTCATCATCCGATATACATCGAACTGGTAATCTCCTGTGTGACTCAAAGCATCAAGAACTTGGTTCTTCCTCGACAATTCAATATCTTACCTTCGCCCTCAAATATCTCTTCGTCGAAGTGAGTCCAGTATGTCTTAGACTCATTTGCATCCATTCGTGAAAGCCCGAGGTCGATGATGGTAGCTTTTAGCCCAAAGCGGATGTCATCCATGGGCATTTTTGTTAATCGTTTTGTTTTTGGTATAGGGACGGTTTTAACCAAAATCTGCCCCCAATGAAGATCACGATGCTAGTTCAAAATCAGCTCAAAACTCGACCTCTACTAAAAATTTATCTGACTGACCTCAAAATTGACGAGCTCTTCTGCTTGTGAAAGAGCCATGGCTACTTGCCAAAATAAACTACACGCTTGATGCCAGCCCAACTTCGCCGTGTGTGTGAATGTAAATGCTTCAAGATCAGGCCCACCATTGGGCAGCACGATGATAGCATAAGTCTGCGAAAGACTGAAAGTATCTGTATGATCAACTCAGTTAAAGGATAGCAATACAAAATATAGCTTGAATTTACCTGGGCGTATACTTTCGGAACCCTTACGTTCATTATATTCGTCCCATAGATCGAGCAGTAAGGAAGGATACCGACCTCGAACAATATATGTCCTCAGTAGCTTTACAAAACCGTCACAAACCTCCCCTATGGCGCGAGTTACGATCATTTCTTTCAACACATCCTTGGCGTCGCTGGGTGCGGGAGTGTCTACATCGTTGTAGACAGCCTTTGCTTCCTCGTCACGCAAGGGGATGACTTTGAGAACAACATCACCAATTCCAAAAACTTCTGAATACGAAGCTTCCCCGATTTTGTGGAATTTGATATCGGTAGCTGCTGCGTCTGCAGGTTGGACAATAGGATCGAAGGGAAAAGTTTCAATAAACGCGGAGAACTCGTATGGGTTATCCTGTGAGCATTCAGTTAGGAGCGGTAGCAGGTAGTCTGGTGGTGACGATGCGCTATTGTTGAGCTGGGGTGAAGGGGTTATGTCAAGCTGAGAAAAATCAAGCGAAAGGTCAAGATCCGTTGGGGTCGATGGTGATGGGGGGTAAGGAGCTTGATATAACGACCGACTGCCATTACGGCGGATAGGAGTTAGCTGTCGAGGTTTAGTAACAGGAAGTGGAGGAGGAGCAAGTGGCAGGTATATGGATGGGAGCGGTTGAGGTTGCACAGGTGGGGGAGACGGCAGTTTGGTTTTCGTTGTAGGAATACGGTAGGATGCTGGGGGAACGATCACTTCTACTTGGAGCTTCGACAGCTTTCGCGGAAGATTAGAAGGTTTGGGAGGTGTGCTTTGGAGTTGTGCCAAGGGAATGTCGTCAAGATGCTCTGAAACAACTTCAGGCTCTGATTCATCAGAAGATATGACAATGACATTCTTGCGCCCTGCGGGCCTCTTCATGGGCTTGACCGTGTACTCTTCTTCTTCACTGTCGCTGGTCGCGACAACACTTAGTATTTTAGCTGCCACTTTGCTCCCGCGCCTTGTGGGCATAGTAGTAACTGGATTTACTTGAACGTTCGTTCGCGAGACCCTCCTTTCCTGGCTAAGTCGTCTCCCCGCATCATCAATAACAATGATATCCAAGTCTACCAAAGGCGAGTAGGGCTTTTTGGCTCCCAACGGAGTGCCTTTCGCACCATTAACTTTCGCCTTTTTCTTCGTGAGAACGTGTTTCAATGCAGCTGGCGTAATGTTGGGATGGAGTGGGGTAAGAGGCTGCCGGATGGGAGTATAATTGTCCATTTTTAATTCTGCTATCTTCTTCGACTCTAGAGTTTTCCGGACTCGAGCTCGTTTGTTGGCTACAGCCAACGGAGAAATAGTAGGTGAAGCCTGAGATCGTTTAGGTTTCTTCTGTACACGGACAGTCTTCGTTGGAGATGGAGATAAAATAAGTGTATTCTCCGTTTTCTTGGGCTTCTTTGTCACTGTGGACTTGAATGGAGATTCCTCGATGGTGTTTGATTTGAGATAATCTCGGTCATCGCGGTCTGAGACGTTGACAATACGATGTCCTCGTCGCCCATACGAAAAGACTTGCTTGGTTCTTGTTCCAAGCATTACAACGATAAACACCACAACAAAATATGAGAGTAAGAGTGAAATGGTGGGCAAATTGAAACGCGATGTGGTGGATGTCGAGAGCCAAAACTTGAAGGAGAAACGCGCGTTGAACTTTCGGACGCGTTCTAGTCACGTGCACCAATGGGCGCGTCAATTAGCCATCGCGGCGTCGTCAACCGCGACCGTCAGTGGCAAGATCGATAATTGTTTGCAGCCATGGCCTTGCCTGTCTCTATCCGTGCATCTGTAACGCCTCTGGAGCTAGAACTGATCGCATCAGAAACACTGGTCGATATCGTACCTTTGATTTCAATGGAAAAGACTGCTTTCATTTCTGTGGGTTTTCTGAAACCGAGTTTCTCGAGGTACATTTTCATTTAATTCGATGCATAGGGCGCATATGGACCGCTTCGTCCACCAGTAAAAAGTCGTATACCTCTTTGGATGGCAACTAATCTCAAGCTGAAGAAGAAATGCCACATTGTTCCCCCTGATTGGCTTAACATTGGTACGCATAATCTCGGTACCTTGTTTATGGCAAGTCGATCTCAAACGTCAAAGCACTTGAAAGAATTCCTCCAAGAACGACTTACCCATGAAACAAGTTATCCAGCATTCAGCGATCTCCCTTTTCGGTTTGCTGAAATTGCTAAAGTCATTTTGGACGTGTATGTGATTACTAAAAGTTGACATATCAATTTGTAACCGTACTCACTTAATCGTATCAGGGCTTCAGACGACTTGCAGAATCCAGACAAAATCAGGTCTCTCTTGAAAGACTTGCGCGAAGCTCGTCAAGCAAAGAGTCGCGAAGGTCTCCAAAAACTCGATCACAGCGAACTGAGTGTACGTTGACTATTACTAGCCAATGCACATTAATTCTCATATTTTTCAAGTTACCAAATCTATGTTCTATGGAAATCAACGAGATCCGTCCTTTCTTCATTCAAGCAATGAGTGTTTTAACCAAATTAGTCAGAGAGCCTACTGCAGGACCCTAAACATAGTTCCTTCGGGCCCATCGTAATAACCTTAGGTATATCTTGCATCCACATTTTCCATCACGATCACACGAACAGCCTATTGAACTCAGTAACTCAGTAAACCAAATACATCCGTGTGCATTTTACATATCATAATTGTCCACAGAACACTACAGAAATATCCGACGTGTAAACATTGTGGCAGCGACCATTGGCAGTGACCTAAACCAATAAGATACCGTGTGCTCAGGATCGAGATATTTCAAGCATCTTGGATAAAACGTCGATCCTTTCTTGAATATCCTTTAGCTCCTTCAGTATAGTTGCCTCACTCGACTACAGCAAAAGTTAGTACCGTATCCATGAAACTACCACACACCAACTTACCTGCTGCGTGTCGGGAAGCATCTTCACTAAATCATCGAAGGGTACCTTGCTGATCTCGAGTCCATATTCAGCGTCATCGCCATCGACTTCGGGGTCAACGTTACACGATAAAATTTGCTCGCCCGCATCGGCAGATTGAAGCCAGTTGCCCATCCAAGTATTTTTCACGCTGGTGGTTTCATACAGGGCAATGGCAGTGAGGGGAATGAAAAACAGTATGCTCATCAAGAAACGATTGAGCTACATGAGAAGTTCAGTAAAATGGTTGCTGCATGAAAATAACAAGAATTCTGTACCCTGGCATATGCCTCGAGGGAAAATAATGGCAAAAATCTGTAAGAATGGGATACGCTGTTAGCGTTATTGCTTATGTGATAAAATCTAGGCACCAACTCGAAGGGGGCGACCAGAAAAGTTTCAATGAGGTTGAACGGTGCAGGATAGACGTAAGAGTCGGGGGCCCGTATCATCGCGACCGTCTTAGCAGCGAAAAAGGTCATATATTCAGCTTCTGCATCCTCTACCACCTGAAGAGCATATATTTCAATAAGCCGGAACAGAGAACCACAGAAAACAACTCACGTCAGAGTAGGCGGAAGAAAATAGGGAAATGAGGACGTTGAGAAGAATGACCGCAGTAACAAGGTTCCACCTTCAAAGAATTTGTTCGACATTTGACTCCATGACCGAAATGCAAAAAAACTTACAAATAATACAATAGTTGGCCAACAGGGCTTGTAACGATTTAAGTAAACAATCAGAATGACCATAGGTGAGATGTTTACCTTAGTGCGAATTTAGCGTAGTCAGGAGACCTGACATCACACAATCCTTGAGCTGGCCTCATCTCTATGCAATACTCCAATCACTTACGAAAGTAATGCCTGAACTAGAACATGTACAATCTGCGGGTGATCATAGAACAAGCAATTAGTGGGTGAAAGTACACTGCTTTTCTATATATATAAAATCGGGACTTACCACGCGCCCGTTCTCAGTCTCGCCGTCGGCAGCATCCAAAGCATATAGGCCTTGCCAGAAACCTAGAGCGAGTACAGATAGTAGCTAAATGCATAGTGAGACAAACAAAAAGCAAACGTAGGTGGAAAGTACATACTGCAAAGAATATGCCAGATTCCTGCAGCATACGAGCTACACATATCTGCATAGTACCAATATACCTGGACGAATAAACAATGTTAAAACCTGAATGGAAATTTGCGATTTTAACTGACCTGAAACCATCGAATATCGTGACAAGCTCTATAAAACTGTAAATAACAAACTTTCAGGGATTGAAGGCAACTTAACTCATCCTATGATATCATATTATTCAAGAGTTAGGCTGAGCCATATAAAAGGAACTTACCATATGAATGGAGACACGCAGCTAAGGACCTGGAAGCTAGTGAGTCGAAGCTCACTGGCCCTATCAGCATCGGCTCCTAAGCCCAGTACACGCAACACAAAGGCTGCTAGTAATAACGAGTCGGTTATGAAAGCAATAACATGCCAAAAGCCAATAGCCCTATAGCTAGCGAACCGGAGAAGTTTATACCACTGAGTATAATCATAAGCTCTTGCCTTGGTTAACAAAAAAGATCAATTCTTACCCTTTGGATATCTATGATTTAAAAACTCAGCCCTCGTATTTAAAATATACAAAATAAGCAGTAGACATACCTTCAAAACAAAACGCGAGGGCCATGATGTACAAAATATATTCCCATGCGTCCACCGATGCATGGTCCGAGTTGAGGCGTTCGAGAGGCTCTCGCACTATTCAATCAATAATATTAATATAGTTAGCAGAGGTCCACACAGGATTTAAAAAACTAGAGCCTGACCTGCTTGCGAAAAAACGACTAGGAAAATAAGCCAAACAACGATCCGGAAGGAGTTCTGGTATCTAGTATCATGAAATGTCATTGGTGCAGTCTTGGTTAATATATTCGTAACGCTCACCGAGGCACAGAAATGCGAGCAGGGTCTATGCGGTTCCAGAATCCCTGAGCGCGAGTTTTATGATAGGGAAAGTCTAGAAAAGAATTAACATATTTGCAAATAGGACATCTCACTAATTCTTACAGGTTATCTCGTTATTCTCGTTATTTCTCTGGATGATATCTCCTCTCCAAAGTGAATTGACCACTACAAATGGTAAGCTGATGATTAATTAGCGTCTAACGAAAGGCCTTACCGTCTTGAGCTTCACTGGAGGATAGGAATATAGTACTGCAGATGAAGCAAATCAATATAACGAAACTCAAATGAGAAAGATAGCTTTACGCACCAATGAGAGTCTATAGCGACCTCAAGAGCACTAGAAAGTTCACTGACATCGCCATCAGGCTCTCTATGTTTGAAACGCGTGCACATGATAGCATCCAATCTGTCGCTAGGGCCTTGATGCACGACCCTACGAGCGATTGCCTCACATGCAATCCCTACGCCAGGAAAAAAAGTTAGGTTGCAACGTGCTACATCAGAGGTAACTTTGCGTACCCCGTCCGTGATTCTCGCCAAAATCCGCGGGATTTGAGTATGCATCCCACATGAATTCTGCTCGAGCACGTAACAGACAATAGGGGAGCTTCAAGTTCCAAGTTCAATAAACAGTACTTCACTCAAATATTTGAATCACAGTAGGTGTTAACTCACAGCTTCGCCAAAGTCTCCGGCCGCAGCTATATATGCAGAGACAACGTTGGGAGTTACCACTCTGCTCGTAGCATCATTTATGCTTTTGACATCAACTTCGACGGGGAGTAATTTCACTGTCAAAGCTCGTAATCGTTTGATAAGTTCTTTAACGAAGCATGTGTTAACTGTTAGTGTGTATTTCGAAAACCCTTGTTGTACGCACTTGTCAAAGTATCTGGCGATGGCTTCAATGTCTTTGTCGACAGGACTGAAGCCTGCTCGTCGTCTCCATTCTGCATCATGGCTGTCGCAGGAAAACGGTAGAAATAATATTGAGCCGAATATCATGATTTTGCAGGGGCTTTCAGTGACAGCGCCAAAAATAGGTAACCAGTCCGAGTCTAACCTACAATTGCCTAGTAAAGCCGTACCTGGTTTGTTACTGTTTACCGATATCCTTCACTGCGCCATGCCAGTAAGACCTACATCTCATTTCTCAGCTTCAGATATTGACGATAATCACGTCCAAATCACATCTGATAGGCATACCACTCTGCGTTGAACGACGAGCAAGATGCGCGACAAGTCGGCAATATGGCAATTCTGCCCATTAAGACCAAAATTCGCGGACCAGCTCCTGTTGGTGAGTCAAAACATGTATCGAATCTGCAGCGAAGACGTTGACCCAGTCATTCGCCCAGCCAATCCTGAAGAAGGTGACATAGTAGACGAAACTCTCGACCTCTTCCGCGCCAATTCTCTCTTCCGTAACTTCGAGATCAAAGGGCCTGCGGATCGCCTATTGATTGTGTTAATCCTCTTTGTATCTGACTGTCTTGCAAAGATTGGGACAGCCCGTACTGTTCCGACCCAAATCGAAGCATCCAAATCGCTCAATACTCTGTCAGTGGATAACTTTGCTATCCCAGGCGATGCCAACTTCCCATTGAACGCACATTACGCTGCTCCAGCAAGTAGATCAGATGCCGGTGAGTGCTCCAGTGACCTTGTTGTGTTTCGTACCCATACCTTTGGTTAGAATATCTTCGCCAATATCTGACGCAGGTGCGTCAAGAGTTGGCAGCACGGTTAGTTGAACGTTTATACGCAGACGGGACTGGAAAGCCCAACAAGTGGTGGATGTCATTCCAGAAGAGGCGCTTCATGAACCGCAGCTTGGGCTCTTAAATTATCTGTCATCGTGTAATCAAACATAGCTGGATAGTAATGTATCTCTCAGAAGTATGACAGCTCTGCAAGAACGTAAATTCGATGTCATGCTCGCCTCTTTCTTTCGTTTGGATTCTTTCTACCGTAGCCTATCGTAGGCAATTCGTTGGCTGATTTCATTGATCTCCCTTTACTTCCCCCACCAAGGATTCCTGGCATCCAGTCAGGATCTGACCAGTTCCCAACACTGACGCCACCTTCTCCACCTTTCGCAATCAACCCTTTCAGCATCTTTTGCTCCTCCCGTTCCTTTTTGCCATCAACACGTTTCTTAGCTCGCATATAATCTAACTGGTCTTCGCGCAAAATAAGACCTTCTCCTGGGCCAGTTTTTGCAGATCCAGATTTCGGTGACGGGATGGAATACTTAGTTCCTCGAACTTTGTACTGGAAGTTTCTTTTAAGATGTATTTGCATTGCAGGCGCATCCGCTGCTGCATCCGATGAGGCGATTGTCACGGACGCTCGGAGGAGAGTTGGGTTTCCACACGATGGGCAGAACTGCTTAGAGTTATCTTTGCATATTCTGAGTCGCAGTTGTTAGAAAAGGGAAATACGAGAACAATCCAGGCTTACTTGAAACAGGCATGGCACCGAAGAACCCAACTTTTCACCTTCTGAATTCTCTTCCCTTCAGTCCCGACCAGGTTCAAACCCATCTGGAGTAAGACATTTTGCATTGCGAAATCGGCTGTCATGCATCCGGCAAGGACAACTTCTTCTTCTCCCTTTTTCTTTGAGCCTCCCGCTGAAGGGAGAAGGTCTAAAGCACGGGATTTATGCAGAGCAACGTTGCCTGGAGTTATCCATTCGCCCTCGCCGTCATCGTCATCAGAAGGATCGTCGTAAATTGGCTGTGAAGGATCAGAAGGGGTACTCGATGGTGGGGCATCCGACTCTGTAGTAGCACGCAGAGCTTGATCTGCGTCCGTGGTAATGTTTTCGTCGACTAGCTCAACTTCGAGAGGCTCCCTTTCTTCGCCATCGATTTCATCCTCAGGAGATACACCTGCATCTTCTGGTGCATTGCCGTCGTCACTTTCTACTACTTCTCTTTCCCGGACATCGAAATCCTCAGGGACATCTCCAGAGGTTTGTCCTTGCTCTTCAATCTCTTCAAGGCCACCTTCTACTTCCCCTTGCTGAACGCCATTTTCGGCCTCAGACTTTTGTGTACCGTCATGCGTGTCTTTTGGCGATGTATCCTGATCGGTGTCTTGTGAAGGTTTGTCGGATCTTGGTTCACTTTTGGGCAAGACAGTCTACTGGGTTATAATTCAACAAATCAGCATCGCATTATTGGCAAGAGTACCTGCCTCGTTGCTTTCTTTCCCCAGCAGTTGTTTTTCTCGTTCATGAAGGGAGTGCGTCAAGGCGAGGACACATATATCGGCGTGTGATAAGACGGAGTAATCTCCTGTTTTTTTGGCGAACTGAATAACTAGAGTTCTATAATAAAAATCAGCCCATTAGGGATAAGAGATCAAGAACACACCTTGGACTAAAGACGCCGCATCTGGATTGCGTATCTCCACTCGAACACCTGCAGACAGGCCTAATCGTTCAAAATGTTCTCTCGCCCGTTTATCCTTTAATTCTTCTAGTACTTGTGGGACTGTAAGATATACTTCGGCTAGCCCCCGCAAAGGAGACAAGGATAATAGTGGTCCTGAATCGAGTACAAGATTTTTACAGCGTGGTTTTGTCTCTGACATCGATAGTACGATCGTCCCGTAGAATATAAGTATGTCACGGTGTAGATCAAAGTGCTATATCCCTGCTAAATATTCTATGAATGGGGATATGAGGTGATTAGGTTTGCAGAGAATGCTCTTGAAAGGCTTACTTTGACCTGCAGGGAAAGGCAGGACAACGACGATAGATCGGGATTAAAGATCAATGCTAAGGGTAAACCTGAATGGTGTGCAGAAAGTAAACTGCAGTATGTAGGATCGAATTAATTTAATTTTTAGGATTATTTTGCTCGTTATCTTACCTGGGTCACGTGAGCTATCGGTCAAATCGGTCAGATCATATCATATCGGGAACAACTGCTATCGGTCAATCGACCGAATCACTTTTCAATAACTTTCCACTTGGTGTGCATACGGGAATAGCCTGAGAATCGCGGGACGGGAGAAAGGTGATCTAAGGTGGGTAATCAGCAGGTACCCAACCAGTAACCATTTATATAGTGGAAGTGCGTTTCACAATTTTTAAAGGTATCTATCGCTCCGTTTCAGTCTGACAGTGTTTATTCCTAAATGGCACCAAAATCGTGAGCTCTCTTTCAGCATGCAAATCATCCGTCCTGTCAACATTAAATAAAAAAACCAGGTATCGCATCGTCGTGCTTCCCGGAGATGGTATCGGTATGACAACTTTATCTGCGAAACAATGTGCATGACCGCTGAACATGATCTACAGGCCCGGAGGTTGTCGCGCAAGCAACTCGCGTCCTCGAAATCATTTCTGACGTCTCCCCCGATCTGCAACTCAACCTAGAGCCCCATGATTTCGGTGGATGTGCCATCGATAAGTATGGCGAACCCTTGCCCGAGTCAACGTTGAAAGCGTGCCAGGAAGCTGACGCTATCTTGATGGGTGAGAAAATTTTCAACTACCTATAACAAACGATATTAACGATATGGCTTCAGGTTCCGTCGGTGGACCTAAGTGGGGCGCTGATGCCAAAGTTCGTCCTGAACAAGGTCTTCTGGGTATCCGCAAAGCCCTCGGTCTATATGCCAACATCCGCCCTGCCAACTTCGCATCGGACTCCCTCCTTGCCTACACCCCCCTGAAACCAGAAGTTGCGAAAGGTGTCGATATGATTGTCATCCGAGAGCTTATCGGTGGCCTGTACTTTGGTCCTCGCAAAGAGCAGGGTGTGAGCCCAGACCCAGATAGCGCCTACGACACCATGCTTTACAGTGTTCCCGAAGTCCAAAGGATTACCCGTGTTGCAGCGCAGATCGCCCTCACAGCAAACCCTCCGCTTATCATTCACAACATCGACAAAGCCAACGTCTTGGCAAGCTCAAGGTTATGGAGGAGAGTGGTCGTCGAGACACTCGAGAAAGAATATCCTCAGCTCACCGTTGATCACTATCTGGTTGACACCGCCGCAATGCTTATCGTTGCTAGCCCCAAAAAGCTCAACGGTGTTGTTTTGACAGAGAACATGTTTGGTGACATGTAAGCCTTTTACTTTCAATTTACTCATCTTCCCTCACTGATACCTTCCCAGTCTCTCAGATGAAGTCAGTGTTATTCCCGGCTCTCTAGGTCTCTTGCCTTCCGCATCTCTAGCCGACGCACCTACCCTCCCATCGTCATCATCATTCAAGCCCACTTCAGGGCTTTACGAGCCCATCCACGGCTCCGCTCCTGATATCGCTGGGAAAGGTATCGCCAACCCTGTTGGAACCATCCTCAGTGCGGCGATGCTCCTGCGGTATTCTCTCGGGCTTGAGAAAGAGGCACAAGCCGTGGAAGCGGCGGTCCGGAAAGTTCTCGATGACGAGGCTATTGGTGGATTCGGTATCAGAAGCGCAGACCTTGGTGGTAAAGCCACGACAATTCAAATCGGTGATAAGGTCGTCGAAGTTTTGAAAGGGCTGTTGTAGGTTCAGTTTGTAATTGCTGTGCAGTATAAGAGGCCAAAGAAGTAACTGTACTTGTATCACAAACGAAACAATGTGAACTAGTTATGTTGGATAATTAGGGAATGAGAAGACGCGATTAGATGTAGTTCGGAGAAGCTTTACACCTCAGGTCTCGTGATCACCAAGGGGCCCCCCCATGATTCGTACAGACATAGCCGTTTCTGCTTATCTTCGCGCCATTTAAAAAGCACGGCCCGCTACCAGATTCTTGCATTGACACAGCTCCCAGGAAGCAATTCAGGTGACTGCAGTGGGGCCATGATCACGAGCAATCTGGTGGAAGCACGAAGTAATCAAATCGACTCCATTTTCCGTGCTCAGGCTTCCATTGTTAAGTTGTTTTGGGATATATCTGGTAAGTTTTATTCAACAAAAAGAGTGCAAAACAGTATATCAAAAAATATCCATTGAGGCCTTCATTCCCAAGCCACTCGACTCGCACTAACAAAACAACGTTAAAACAATCCTCCAGGTCTACCAATAAAGCATGCATATAAGCTTCAAAGACGTACTCGCAGCATCATTGATCCATAAATACTAACCAAGATGCCAACAGACTAACCTAAACTAAGGCGTTGCCCAAAAGTTAACTAATTAGAACATGTTCGCAAGCTTGCTAGCAGCTTCCCGTGCGTCCAATCGTGGTCGCGTCGGCTGCACGCGAACGGACTGCGACATGAAGGCCGGACGTGTATGTCCAAGGGGATCAAGTGCCTCAATTGAAGCTGGCCGCAAGGGAGGCTCGGCGGAGGACGAAACCGATCGACCCAGTGGGTGAACGGACGATGATCCTTGGATAACACCTCCCAAAGGCCCTTGGGGCAATAATGGCGGGACAGATAAGGTTGAAGTTGGTGGAGGGCCGGTAGAGTGGGTGGGTGTGATAAACATCGACTTGGTGCCATCTACGAAACGACCTCCCAGGGGTGGTTCTGTTTCTTTGGGTACCGCGAAAGTCATTTGCGGAGACCCAGCAAAGGTAGAAGATCCAGCACCAGGAGATTGTGGTGGCAAAGGAGCATGTTGTTTAGAAAACGTACTGGCCGTTGGTGGTGCAGAGGTAAGAGCGCTGGGTACATGTCTAGTAACAGGCGAAGGAGGTATGCTTGTTTTCGGAGCTGGAGGCCTAGGGTCGTCCTCCAGAGGCAAAATGACGGAAGGTTTAGGTATACCATTAGCTTTGGGAGGAGGCAACTTTTTATCGGCGTTATTCACATCTGATTTAAGAGCTTCCAGTTCCCGAAGAAGCTGCTTTTCATACATGATAGATGAACGTGCATGTTCGATCAAGGCAGCAGTAACATCATCATTAACAGATTTGTTATGCGTCTGAAGAGCACGATGCAGGTTTTGCGATATATTCTCAGCACGTCTGGCGAGAACTTGCTCGTATTTATTCGCCTGTAAACAAAGCCATCAGTCAAATTGACAGTGTGAAGTAGATAAGAACAACAAACCTCTTCCATGTCCTCAAGGGCTTCATCAACTCTTTCAGGCCTGATGTTAGAACTTGCCTTTAAACGTTCAATGTTTCTCCGTTTAGAGACAGTAGATTTGACGGCAGCTTGGTACTCCTCAAGAACACCTGTACGCTGCATCAACGTCTCCTTGGCAGATCTAGCATTCATCCCTTGATATCCAAGTGTGTCCCCAACGACGACGCATTCACTGATAGCCTGTGCTTGATCAAGGTCCGCGAGACTGTGCCACGCTCGCCCTAGCTTTCTCAATGCATTACCAAGTGGTGGGTGCGCCTCTGTAGTAGCAACATTGACAAGTTTGTTTCCCATTTCCGAATGGGAAACTGCCAGTGCTACGGATGCGAATACAAATGAATAACAATTACAATTCGAACACAAATAAGCGCACATTTTCTCGCTACCGACAACTTATCGATAGCCTTTGCAGCGTCGAAAAATTGTGTCTCAAGCTTCGTAAGCTCGAAACGCGCGCGCTGCAGCTCTTCGTCTTCGTCTGGCACACCTCGTCGCATGAGTCCAAATCCTGACGTACCCTTGCGCCGAGGACGCGGGGTTGGCTGGTACCCAAAGTCACTTTCAATAAAAGAGCGCAAATCCTCGTCATGGATGAGTATAGGATCCTCGCATATTCTAGTGAGCCATCTCTGCAGCATAATTCTAACCAAACGATCATCTTCTTCGTCTGTTGGCGCTGATGTCTGTGCCAACGGCAACGCAGGGATGAGAGTATGGGGACAGCTGACGATGAGCGATTCGTAGAATTGCTGGAATTCGATGTACGATCGTGATACATTGCGATACGTCGTTCCCGTAAAGTTTGTTAGGTTTGTCTAATCCCAGCAGGAGACGTCAACGAAAGCATGTTTGAATACCACAAATCCTGGCTATTTTTCCTGGGCGTACCTGAGCATCAAACTTGAAGAGAATGTCCCTGCGATTCCTGTCTAGCCCCGTGATTCTTACCCTGAGATACGGGCCCGTCTTCTCGAATTTCTTCCCGTTTGACCCTACTGTAGTGCGAGGCGATACGAGACCTGGTTCAGGTTGACCGTATATCTTTGGTTCCTTGCCATAGAGGCCTTCTGACTCAAACTTTTGAGTTTGGGGGGTAGAGGGAAGAGGGGAAGAGGCACGGCGCAGATTGGGAATGGGAGAATTTGGCTCGTGTGGTGTTGTGGGCCATGGCGGGGTAGTGTCGCCATCGTTTGCAAAGACGGCGCTGGTTGAATTCAGAGGGTCGAACATGGATTTGCAGTAAAATGAGCTGGTAAGACTTGAAACGACAACCCTTGGAAATACTCGGACGCGCTCTACAGCTCAGCCACTATGACTGAATTACGTAATCGTAGTCTCATTTTTACGCGCATCTATAAGGATGAGACTACACGAAGTACATACAACCTCTAATAGATATAGATAATATTATTCCAACCATGAAATCCAAAAAACAAATCGTCTGTCAAGCCAGCTATGTCCACTCATGGTTCTTTGACCTCGTCTTCAATGTCTCCCAAGTAAAGCGGAAGCATGTGTCCCATGCGCAGAATTTTGGTACGAAGGTACTTGTCCAAGTCGTGCCCATGGACAGCTTTCCCTCCAATCATTGTAGCACCAGCAGCTCTCTGATCCCTCTCTTCAGTATCAGTTTCCACACCAACTCCGAGATCTAGGTTAGCCGTCGAACGTTGCTTCCAGCTCCTAGGAATCATCGACACTCGCTCAACCACTCTCAGTCCCTCCTTTTCTAGTGCCTGCACCTTGTCGGGATTGTTGGTTAACAGCCGGACTCCCTCCCCAAGTTCGCTCCCAAGTCCAAGGTCCCGCAGGATAGCAGCCGCAACCTCATAACCCCGCTCATCCGCCTTATGCCCGAGCATGAGATTTGCGGTGACAGTGTCATGACCAAGGTCCTGCAGATTATAGGCGCGTATCTTTGAGAGAAGACCAATCCCACGGCCTTCCTGCCTTAGGTATATGACGGCGCCCCGCCCAGGAATGGTACTAGATAGGCTGTGTGAAAGCTGTTTTGGGAGCGGAACGGGCTGTGAGATGAGGCGTATTGCTTCGTCAAGTTGTTCGCCGCAGTCACAGCGCATGCTGCCGATGGTCTCCCCTGTGAAACACTCGGAGTGTATACGAACGAGAGGTGATGGAATAGAGTCGGGTGTGGAGGAAGAATGATGCGAGGTGGGATTAGAGGCGTGTTGTGACGTCGCAGAAAGTTTTCCGACGTACGCGCCGCGGATAATACGGTCCATTTCCGTTTCTGTTTCGTTCCAAACCGCATCTAGTGAGCGGCTGCGAATTGGCGGTGCTGAGGAACGCGTGTTGTCGGAGTACTGTGCGGGATCAATGACTACGGCTAGGTGCTCTTTTCCGTCGCGATTATTGTGGTACAGGTGAAGAAAAGCAGGGCCGTGTGGTGTTGGTATGCGAGTGCGCGCCATACATTTGACTTCCACGTGTGATGTGCTGCCAAGTGTCCCAGTAGTGATTAATGAGGATGAAAATTGTGCATCGATGTTAGAGGAGATGGACTGGGACCGACGTTTACGAGAAGCTGACAGGGGTATATTTTCGGAGGGTTTGAGCGGATCAACGGCGGATTGTGGGGATTCATTTTCTTTGGTTTGCTGGGGCAACTGCTTCTGCAGTCGGACCCTGCGTGGTGCTTGTTGACTCACATATGCGAATCGTCTGCGTTCCTGGCGAGCAGAAGAGTCCTCTCCCTTGAACTTTGTCCAGTCCCAGGAACCCTCCGCTTTGGGCAGCATGACACCGGGGAAGAAATCATGATGGTAGTGGTTGCGAGTTACGCCTGGACCAGAAGCGGCAGCTGCTGCGAGTAGCAGTGGATCCAAGGCTGCATCTCGCCTCGAGAAAGTTTTTTTGGTGGGAGGCCGGGGGGCTGTCAACATGTCCAGCAACGCAGCATCGGAGCCTGCCAATGATTGGTGGTGGTGGGATTCAGTGATGATGGCCATTGGGGCTATGTGAATCCAGTCTATGCAAAGGGCGAATGCAAGCAAGGAAATGCTGAGAAATGGGACAGCAATGGAAAGGTAGAGAACGATGACTACTGCATTTATATACCGTGCGCATCCCGCGCAGATCCGATCCCATTAAAACCGGCTTAGTGACCGTGATATTTACGTGACCCGGTGTGACTCCCCGTGACCATGTATCACACACGTGGTCGTTTGCGGTTTCGTCCAGGGAGACATGGATTCGGACAACCAGGACTGGTTCATAATGGTCTGCGCCAGCCGCATATCAGGCATCCCTGCTGCTTTTTATTTATCCTTAGCGCTCACACCGACGTTCATCTGATCATCATCTGCTGTGACATTTCTGTACGTTCTATCGAAGCCAGGTACGTTTTATGCTTTTATTCTCAGGTTCCTGGGTGCATCTTCGCTTTTTCTCGGCACAACTCCATCAGTAGTGAGCTGTGAAACCTTTGTTCCACTGGTTTCTTCATATCTAGCATGTGTCGCTCACGCTTGCTGTCATTCAACATCTAGAAATCAGGGCATGTGCACAGTTTAGTGATCTGTTACACACACATATCTCGTAATCCGCATTCGGTCAAATCCATTCAGTATGCGCTGGCCAAGTGTGTGTACTTTTTGCCTCTTGTATCTATTGCTCTGTTCTGTGTAAGCGCCCACTCGCATCGATCTTACTAATTACTCGCCATCTGGCTGATTCAACACATTTTCATCTTCCGTAGGTCATCGGCCAAGGTTTTAGATGTCGTGCCCGGCAGTTCAAGATTTCCTTCCTCCCTTTCTTCTGGGGCACACTGTACACTACTGCCATCGACGACTACACACAACAAGGCCCCTGTACCCACCTCTACAAGCTTTACACCTACACCTCACCTGGCGTCCAATTACATAATACCCACCGCAACACCCACCGCTACCCATCGCGGTTCTCGGCCGCACCGTCATCACCGACTGTATGCAGTAACCATATTCTTCATCGTGGTCGGATGCATTTGTGCGATTGCCTCCTTCCTTTGCTGCTTTCGTTGCTGGTATGGCTGGTTCAGGACTCCGAGGCAAGATGGTGTCGCAATATTGGTCAGTCGGTTCCGTATTGACAGAGAAATGGCCGAATTGCAAAGCGAACCAAGGGGCTACTGGTCATCGCATCCTCCTCCTCCACCGTACCAGCCACCCCCTCCGCGATATGAGCCTACAGAAGGTTGTCCAACCTCTGAAATTGGGGCAGAGCCAATACCATGACGATGGACCGTATACTATCTCTTCCAATCACATGGGAAAGTGTGCTCGTCATATAGTTCAACATCGGGGACCTGCTACGGGAGATCGCGGTTACTTTTTGGGTAAGGACAGATGATGATTTAGAACAAGGTTTAGAACAGTCTTTAGAACAGTCATTTACGATACTGATCAGATATAGTTAGTCTATGAACTTTTGGGTGGCAACTGTCATAATTGCACTTTCTTTTGTTTTGCTTTCACTATTGGGTTTTATCATATATTTCCGTAGAGTCTAACACTACTACAACGATTTCTCTCCTGCACATCTGTATATAATGTAATTGGAAATCCCATTGCTTATTTCGATCATTGACAGTAAAATCAGATGCCAGTGCTTCAAACCGTTTATCCTGAAGATAAGATAAAACAAATTTTAAGGGTGGTCCGCGATAAGTAAGCTTATGTATAAGTAAATCCACTTCAGGGTCACTGTATATATGTGTTACGAAGGCACGACTCAGAGCCAAGGGCTTCTAACACTTTGAAGTTTTTCCACCTCAAAACTTGTGCATCTCGTTGCATTGCCTTCGAATCCTTGGATCATACACATCCCGTTCGGAAGCTTCCTATCTTGAGGTAATCCCGGACCTTGAAAGAAAGAAAAAAACAAAGGAAGAAAAAGACGCGTCTGCCCTGCATATTTTGAGATTCTCCAGTTCCACGCGCTCCTTTCTTTCAGCGACTTTAAAAGAGCCATCGTCGTAAAAACACTGGACGTTGAAGAAAAGCCTCTCTTTGTCGAGTTCACGCGTACTGACGGATCATCGATAATCATTGAATATTGGTTTGCAGTCGCTGACATTTAATTAAAACAAACGACGCGAGCCTCGAGGATTACTGTCCTTTCTTCTGCGCGTTCATGTAATGGCCACAAAGACATCAAATGGAATGCCCAAAGAGACCAATAAAATGTGCGTTGTCTGCAAATTCAAAGCATTCACACCACTTATCGACATCTCAGACCCGGTTCGTCCAGGTTACCCGTAGGACACGACCGTGACGTCGCTCGAGCCAACGAACTGCATACACATGTTGTCAAACTCCTATCCTCAACCACCAACAACTGTCTCAGCGAACTAGGTTACTACCCAAACATCCAAAGTGACCTTCGAGGCGCCCTCGACCGTAACCACAGCCTCGAAGCAAATAACACCAAGTTGTTCGAAGATAACCGCAGACTTGCGGGCGTAGTCGCAGTGCAGAACGATCGCCTCGCGTTCCTTGACACTCCGCAGTCAGAGCAGCTGCAGAAGGTCTTGGAGATAAAGGACAAAGTATGCTATCTGCAAGCTGACATTGGGCGTAAGAACCAGGAATATGCGAAATTGGACGGGGCATATCGCACCTTGCATGCCGATCATCAGCGATTGCAGATAAACTATGCTCACCTCGTGAAGGAGTTACAGGATGCCAGGATGGATATTGCGAGGTATAGAGGGGTACCAGCTAATAATGTAATGATGCAACCATCACAAAGCAATGCCAACCATGTCCCTCTGAGATCTGGCCCATCGCCTTGGCTTAACGGTATGCAGCATTGTAAATATTTTAGGGGTTTACTGAGGACATTATCATTTTTAGGACCAGGTATGCCACCGAATCAGCTGCACCCCCTTAACGTCGAACGAGTACGCTTCCACTCGTATACCCGTTATCGATGAATATCGCTGATATGTTTCCAATAGCTTCCAGAAAGGAGAACGAGTTTAGACGGTCAGATGATGGGTGTGGGACCAACCCAAAATAACATGGTTCGCATTTCTTCCGCGTCAACCACTCCCACACATACCTCGGCTCCAGTTCACTCGCTTCAGCAACAAAGGAGGGTATCTGATGGATTATCACGTGTGCGTGGAGGGCGATCATGGCTTCTTCGAGGCTGCATAACTAATCTAATCTTATTGCAGCAACGGCCTCCTCAGAGTCCTGATCCATACGCCACAGGATGGAGGACCATGAACGGCGATGCAGCTGGACCGCCTCCTAGACCCCTTCATCAGGTACCCTCAATGAATATCCAAACCTCCAACCGTCCAATAACATCCTTGCATGGTCCTGCTCACGTCCAACATACAAGGCCTCTCGAACAATATCTTTCAACGGCAGCTACATCCCCTCATAGTCACCCAACGTCTCCTACTACCATACAGACACCATCAGAAGTCTACATGGCCACACACAATAGTCACCCTGATCGATCACTCGATAACGCGTCAACTCCAACAAGTACACAATCACTTCATTTTCCTATGGGTCCTCGCATTCGGATTCCGACAGATCAAGGTTCCAATCATCGCCTCGATGGAATCGCATCTGCGCCACCCGTACCAAGCCGCACCTTCCAAGCACCACATATATCCACTCCACCTATGCAATCTCCAAGCAGCTACACTAGGCGGCCTGCTTCAGGACAGAGCAGAATGGTCGGTTTCGTCGACTTAACTATCGATGACTCATCCGAAAACCCCAATGCTGCACCCACCAACTCATCAGCAGCTTCGCCAGCTGCCAGGACAGAAGGCCAGTCGGCACAAAGCCTGAAACGACCGAGTAGTGTCGTAGGCGCAAACCCCATGCATCCTGTCAGGAACGATGCAAACAAAAGGCCGCGTATATCAGATCCAACGTCTCGACCACACCAACAAAGCCCGATTACTGGATATCACACTCCAGTATCACAGGCGTCGAGTAGTCCAAATATACGGGCCAGTGAACCAGCACCTCCGGTTATGCAAGAACCAACTGCCACTCATGCTTTACTCCCTTCTCAGAGTCCTGATACATCTCAACCCACATCTGTACATATAGAAGGGCCCTCGGATCAGGCTCCTGTATCAAGTTCCGATCCACAGTCCCCTAATACAGAGGAAAATACTGAACGACCTATACAAGATACTCATACTCCTTGCACTCCTCCGATTGAAGAGGCCATCCATATGATCTTCATGCAAGACGCAGATGAACCAGAAGGGAAACGCTGTAGACTTTGCGAGTAGGTCTTATCTCAACTACTTATCTCAACCAAACAATGGTGTACTGACTTACCACTTCGTGTTAGTTGTCGTTACGCGGAGAAGTACATAACCGAACGGCCTCCAGCATGGATGCACGCAAAGATGGACGATCTCATTCAACACTGTGCGACAGAACATCCAGCGGCATGGGAACATTTGCAAAAGTGTGGAGAACCGGCAGAAGATTAAAGTCACTGTCGTTTACAAAATCGAATTTCTTCTTCCTACTTATATGAGAAACAGCCTAAGTGGTTGATGTAATATTGTCAAGCCTTTATATGCAATCGTTCGCTAATGTACGTTATGTAGGAATTGCAGTATGGTATTGCCATCTTGGTGCACCGACGATAATACTCTTTATTTTGGTTCTGTATGACCCTTCGCACTGGCTTGCGTTTGCCTTTCTTCGATAGACTAAGTGATAGTCAAGCCGCGCTCGCTACCAATCATATACATAGGTCAAATTTTCACCAATGGGCCTATTCGAAATTTCAGTTGAGACCAATCCACAAAGGCAAAGTAGTGGACCATCAGGCATTCGTTTTATTATATCTTCTGGAGTTCACTAATTTTCAAAGCATGGCGAATGCGATATCCACAACGCGCGATATAACCGGCACTCATGCTTTGATGGCCTTCGACGAGGAGCCTGGGATTATCCTTCTAGGAGGATTTTTCCAGTGCTTCCTTCAGGGAATTATCGTCGTCCAAACTGCCAGATACTGGGAATCACATGAAGATGATTCGCGCTTACGTCGATTCTTTGTTGCTGTGCTGGTGATACTTTCTTTGTGAGCTTGTGCCTATCCCCCCTAGCATGGGGAATCTGATGATTTATTCTGAACAGGTTGCAGACTGGTATAGAGGACTACAAAGTTTGGCATGTCACCATAATGCAGTTGCCATGGGTAAGTCTCACTACTATACACGTGCTTCTTCACCCATTACTTATCGCATAGGCAACCTCTGGAATGCCATGGTTCAATCTCTTCCTGAATGGCTTTATTTGTAGTCTCTGTAAGCTGTACCTGTTGAAACGGTGCTGGGAGGTAGTAGTCAGGTTCGTAATAAGTGACCATTGCTCATGGTGTCTCTCTAGATTATGAACAAAAATTGGTGGATTATCGCCTTATTGCTACCACTTGCAATAACCACGATTGTCGCGAATGTCTTGATAGTGAGTTAAGCATATATGGCATGCCCTCTATCCACTGACTCAGAAAATAGGCCGTCACAGTGGCACAAGTTAGCCGCAACCCACAGCAAGTAAAGATGGTACGCATTTACTCAGCATGTAACGACTCGAAACGTGTTGTTAACATGATCATTTTGACTTTACCTTACAGGATGCAACTTTTGTCGTGAGTAGTGGCCCTCCTGTGTCCATATTTTGAGCTCAATGTCCGCAAAGACAGGTGTCGTTGCGTTCTCCTATTGGACCTCTGCGTCAGTTGGTGAGTTTCATCTAGCATGCTCCAATCGTAATTTTGATATTGATCGCTTTTGTAGTTCTCGACATGGTCTTGAGTATCATCTGTGCGGACTTTCTGGCTCTTTTTCTTTCTTTTTCTATGAGAAGCACGCTGACATGTAATCTGCTTTCGTAGTGATGGTATTTTTATGGCGCGCAAGAACAGGACTATGGTACTTGGACAGAGCTCTATTTGCTTTTTTCGCTATTGCGACAGAATCTGCAGCTTGGCCGCCTGTGAGCATGATAGTTGCTGTATCGCTGTATAATTCTCGCAGTGTCAGTATTCGTATATTATACTATGAAAGGATTGATTTGATCTTCTTCTCTCGTCTTCCCCCAGGCAGCAAACAACCGACTCGTCTTCTTCTTCCTTCTTCTAACGGGAAAATTGTACATTCTAGCTCTTCTTCGCGCTCTTAATGCCAGGGACAGACTACGTATGAGATTGAAATCGCATGATATTGGTCGCGTGTCGCTTAGGGATTGGAGTTGGGATCAGACCCAAGCAGAACCCCCAACACTTAACGAGGTAAGAGTAACTTTTCGCTACATGTTCTTATTCCCATTGTCTTCATGCTCTCTGCTCCGCAGTCAATAATGGGTACTATAGGTACTATAGATCCTTCTATCAGCCCGCTGGATGATACTTCTCGTCGAGACCTTACGTCTGAAGCTTCACCTGGAGGTATCCATTATGATACCGTGACATCACGTATGAACGCACGAGAGTATGGTGTATTGTACACTAGCAGGAGAGCAGAGTCACTCTAGACCGCAGCATATAGTCATTTTACATGAGGGACAATATATTTGATTCGGACTGAGCTACAGACTGGAGAATATAACTACACGGCTGGAGTAGCTTAGCCTACTCAAACCTTCAGATTGTGAGCGAGGTTTTCGATGAGTTTTGTCAAACGATGCGCCTCATATTCGGCTAAAGTCGCATTCTGTTCGTAAAGAACGGCTTCAGTTAGAGCGGGAAGAGTCGTGGCGCCATATCCTATCGTCACGCACTTCATCAGTCGCTGATATCCGATAAAAAGTATACCAGTACTCACCAAGATATTTTCCAGGAGCAACGCCGAGATGCTTATACCACTCGCGGTCTTTGATCCCACCTTCAGAAATGAACCCTTGTTCGAACGCGGAAAGCTTCTTGTTCACCCTTCGAACCCTTTGCGCGGCCTTGATGAACTTGCGTAACGGAAGCTTGTGAATAGGGAATTTCCCATGTTTGACTTTCTCTCCCAATGTCAGTCGTTCCAAATCACCCTCATCCAAAGAGAGATAACTCCACGGGTCTGAGAGCCCTCCCATAATTCCATCTCCCTTGCAGCCGTGTTCATGGTTGGCATCATCTTTACCAAGTCCTAAATGTTTCTTCAACCATTTGATGGCGCGCTTCACCGCGGCATGGAACCGACGTCCACGTGCAAATCGTTTGAGAATCTTCCTGAAATTCTTCTCAGCCGCTGCCTTCTCTTTGTCGAGCTTCAGGCTGGCCGACTGGAGCTTTGTGATGGCTTTGCGAAGATCCTTGAGCTTAGGGAGAGCATCCTGAGAGAGTGCAGCGTCTTCGACCCTAGGTAAATATATTGAGCAACTCATCTTGCACAAAAGAATGGATTTCTCTGGTCATCACTCTATATGCGAGCGACAATCAGCACGTACCTGTCGAGGTAAAGGTCAAGTTCGTAAGCATATTGGGTGGTGTTGAGAGGAAGAACGATAGAATCAGCGAGGCGGAGAGTCAGAAGACCAAGACTCTTGGCAACTGCAACCTGATATGCATTCAGAGTGAGATGGATCTTGGTTTATCGAGCACGATGACTTACACGGCGAAGGAAGCCCGGGTCTCCGTACAATTCCGACCATTGTTCTGAATCGTAGATCGAATGATAATGATACACTGCGTCCATTGGTGTAGAGCCAAAGCCTTGGTCAGAGCTTGCGACCTGGTGGGCGTTCAGAATTGTTTACATTATCCTCAAATCACGTCAGGTACTCACTCCTAGCCTTTGCAAGAACACCGTGTAGTCGCTCCCGGAGCCCAACGCATCAATACCTGTCGTCAATGCGGCACGCTTACTCTCATGTTTGGCGTGTTGTTCCGCAAAGTCGGCATCAAGTTCACCGGGGAAAGGTCCCACGTCGAACTGAGCGTCCCAGAGGGTCCTTTCAGGATCAGTTGGGTGAGGCACGTCTTGAGCTGTACGTTTCATGAGATGAGCGAGAGAAGGAGAGGCAGAGAATGCCAGTCTAGATCCAGCGACAGACACGTCTACATGCCAAGGTTTAGACTTCGGTGCAATAAGAAGTGCAAGATACGCACCAACGTTGACGTAGGAAACAGCGTGCTGTTGAATCCAGTCTGCGAAATCTTCCGCCCATTCGGTGCTTCCGACCAAGCCGTACTGAAGGCTGGTCAGCAGAGTTTGAGCAAAGATTGTATGTGTTCACACCTCTTCAGCATCCCAACTTGCAATAACAATTGTGCGGAGAGGCTTCCATCCACGCCTGAGTAAAGACCCAAGACCACGGATGACCTCATACATAGAGACGGTGCCAGAAATCGGATCGACGGCTCCCATTACCCAGGCTGAAACATGCAAATCATTACATGGGATATGAAGTGGGAACAACATCTACACACCATCTCGATGGCAACCAAGTATGACAACTTCATCTTTGATGTGTCCCGGAATTGCTGCCATGGTGTTCCAGATAGGAGTAATCTTGGTGTCCACTGTTAAACCACGAAGTAAAGCTCAACCCTACACACACAAAGTGGGCATTAATTACCATTATTGACCAACTTCACTTTCTTTTCGCTGATCTTCCCATTGAGCACCCGTCCTTCGTCTACACCCCCTAGTTCAGCCAAGAGGCGCTGAGCATTCGCCCATGAGAGTGGAAGACTTGGTGTGTGTGGAACATTCGTAGGTTCAATACGGGTTGCGTTCTCGTATGCGGGGTAGCCTGGTGTCGTAGGATCGCCAGGGTAAGTAGAAAGATACATAACGGAGCCACGCTGAATGGACGTCGGGTTGCGCGCAGGTCCAGTGGGATAATATTCATAGCCGTTTTCAACCGTGACGCTTCCATCGTCGCGAGGGTCAGAATAGATAAGTACGCCAGCAGCGCCTAGCTCCTCTGCGCCTTGAACCTAAATAATTGTGAGTTGGTCGGACCAATACTAGGATGATCGGCATCATACAACATGCCTTGAGACCACGGAAGTTGGCACCATAGCGCGCAAGGACTATCTTTCCTGTCAGATCAACACCGGAGGCGACCAATTGATCGTAGTCATCCTTTGTGCCATAGTTGGCGTATATAAGTTCTCCCTCAGCTTCTCCGCCGCTGCTCAGACCATGGAAGGGAGCTACCGAGTCCCTATACTTTGCGGCATCAGCATCGCCTTCGTCGCCATCCTCCACGAGATCCGCGGTCCACACAGCGTCACCGCCTTCGCCGAGAATGTGCAGCTGAAGATTTTCCGACTTTGCGTCGTTCATGAGGGGGTAGTAAACATCAACCCAGGCATTCGGGCTGGTCAGAGTGCTTGTTGCACTGAGCGTTGCATTGCGAGACTCTTCAGTTCCAGCAGGATAGATAGGAGTGTCTGAGGATGAGGAAGTAATACCGAGTTCATACTGGAAGAATGCCAAGACGTCCTTTGCATCCTCGTAGTCTTCTGGTGCTCCTGCGAGATGAGGATGGGTGGCCCGTCTGCGAGATGATAAGAAAGCATATTTGGTGTCGGGCACAGAACTAAAGAGTGTTTAATGAGATCAAAATTCTGAAATATGCGACTGAGTACTCACAGGAAGTGTTGCTCGATGCGTTCGGTGATAGAAGGCTTGGCTTTAGCTAAACTGTTGTGGTAGAGGAGACCTTGATCTTCGTCGTGCGATCCAGATGCTGTCTCCACAGACGACGAAGAACTGCTATGGTGTGCTTTATAGAAATGATAAGTGGAGAAACCAAGCACGCAGAGGACCAACAGCCTTCGAAACTTCGAACGACGGCTATGATGATGCCTATGGGAAAGGCGAGGATGGGTGGAATGAAGTCCTTCAGGTTCGCGGATGGCCTCCGCTGGTTGTTTCTCGATGTCCATGATGGTTGGAGCTGGAAGAGAACAAAGCTCCAAATGTTATGTACTGTAGTAATCTATAAAACACCGCCGCGAACGCGTATGCGGTATGTCACAGGGCTGGGACGGCAAAGCTGCGGTTTTCGAGATTCTTCAGCTCACACCCGGCGTAGTCATCACGTTACCAAGGTGCCCATGACATGCACATGCTCATCGCTCAAAATCTCACACACAATCCTACTGGCTGGCAGTGTATGTGTACTGCGACAGATAACAAGATGCATTCTGAAGATTTAAAGGATAAATATCCACTGTTGCTAGCCTCAGTACAAATGTCGCCACTTGTGTTTGTATTCTGTAACAATGACGATACACAGTAGCATGTAAATCCATTAACTATGGCATATAGAGGTGGCTCACCAGAGAATCAGTAACAAAACACCTGAAAATTTCATCCTTATGCACTTGTTGACAAATGCGCGATCTTTCTAGCCGCTGTCGTGATCATTTAGTTACAAGGCGTACGCAGCAACAAGGTCATGTATGAGTATGATGTATCGGCTCTTCATCCTAGAAGCAATCCATGATACTCAGACATGACCCCACCCAACCCCCACACACACCCCTACGCTAACAATAAAACTGCTAAGATCATCAGCGCAGTAGATCTAGTACAAGGAACGAAGCAAAGTCACGATACCTTTGCTATCAAGCTTGCATGCAACCACACGAGAGTTTTATGTTTGCACAGATATCTCTAGCGCGTCCTGAACAACTTTCACCATGTTTCCCGTCAAAGCATACAATCCCAGATTGGCCCCTGGTTCCACCCATGCAAACGCCTGATGTTCTTCCGGATTAAGCGTTACATTACCTCCGTCGTGGACTTCGACGATGAAGTTAAGCTGGACAGTAGGTCCATTTCGCGATGGATATTCAAAACCATCAAATTCTCGTACAACGCGGTCCACGACTAAACCCGTCTCTTCGAATGTCTCTCGGAAGACAGTCGCAAGGACTGTGTCGTCGGTGTCTTCGACATGACCTCCTGGTATTTCGTACATGTCAGGGAAAGTATCTTCATGCGATGCTCTTTGAAGTAAGAGTAATTCTTTCTTCATCGATGACATGTGCGAGGCACTGGCAACAAGACGAAATATAGCGACGCCCACGACTAACCGTTTTCCGGGATGAAGAAAACGTAGTTCTGACACTGGGATGTCGTATTTTTTGACAGCGGGCGAGATAGAAAAAGTAGACATTTCTCTAACAGCGAGGAAGGAAAGGAAAGTACTGTCAATTGTAACTATGGCCAACCACGTGCACCAGAATCTGAGCGCGAACGTTAACTGTCGTTTTGCCATGTAATTTCTCCGCTTGCACTGTGTTTTTCCAACGATACAGCGAATAAGAAATGCAATGACTGCGATATTCTACAGATTGGATCTTTGCCACGTACTACGACCTGCAGCCCAATCACTACGGCACCCCGTTTGACATAAAAAGCAGGTCTCATTCACGCCCCCAAAAACATGGCTTATTTCCATGCTAAAAGCTTACTTGCAGCATTTGCCGTATCTGCTGGTCTCTCCGTCTTCACTTCAACTTATGAGCGCTCTATCACGCCTCTGTTCGCCAGTGTGCCTACTGGGAAATATCTACCGCATGTCCTATATGGCACAGTAGCGCTGACTTTCATTGTCCCGAGATTGACTACCTCTAGGGCGTCCATCGCACTGGCTGTGTTCTGTCTTCTCGCACCAATCACTTCATACCGGTTGGGAGCTTACGCAGCTAGATTCAGAGACCCGATCAAAGGCCCTCTTACAACCCATGTTATGGTTTTGGCTCCGGTGGTGTTCGCCGGCGCGTCTATCATTAGGAATCATGTAGAGGTAAGTGATTTTCTCTTGTCAGCTTTATGTCGTTTGCAGAAGCTATAAATGTTTTAAAATTATCAATCGCCAAGCTCCATTATTCGCAATTTCCTGTCATTATCATGATCTTCTGTTAATCTTGATTATGTGTGCACATTGATACAAGCATTGACCTCATAGAGCTTCTTTGTCTTGCTCGTGCTAGTCACTCAAACTCCTCAAGTCCACTCATTTTTGGTGCAAATCTCAGGTATACTATGCCTCGACATATCCGATGACAATGTTGTACGCCGTTTAAGCTCTTGCAATATTTACAATGATTTAGTTCATCTTTACCACAGTTTTTCGTCCTCGGCAGTATACACAGTATTACATGGGCGTATATGAGACTCAAGGAATCGACGGTAATGAAGTCTGGCAAAGGAAAAATCAGTTCTGTATTGTTCCGCGTGATCGCACCAGCTGTCCTACTCCCTTTGCTCTTCCTGATCGTTCCCAGCCTGCGATCGCCAACCCTTCCCCACCCTCTTGTGGGACAATACTCTAGTCCATCCTATCCCCTCCGCATTCTATCGTCTATACATTCCATAACTGGTATTGTCGTCGTTGGCGAGCTTCTGCCACCCCCTCCATCACAGGACATTACCTCCGCACATTCTTTTCGATTCCTCCGAGCATCTCATTCCCTCTTGGGCGGTGTTTGGATTGGATCCAAAGTTATGACTATGAATGATGCACTACCGATGGTTGACGAACAGGGTACACCGTTAGGTGATTCGATCTACAGTGCTTTTGTTCTGCAAGAGGCTGCGAGGCTGGTTGACAGTGCACCGCATATTCAGACCAGAGAGAATGCGCTGATTATGTATGTCCTGCTTACTTTATTTACGCATATACTGATATGGGTCTCTGCAGTGGACTTGGGGCTGGTATTTCTGCATCTGCATTCACGCGCCATAATATGTCCACCACAGTGGTCGAGATTGATCCTGCTGTCTACGATGCATCGCGGCGTTTCTTTGGCCTACCAGATCTCGGACAAGATAGGGTTTTCTTGGAAGATGCCCGAAAATGGGTGAAAAACAGAAAATCTTCTATCGATTGGTCATCTTCGCCCACCATGTATGATATTATAGTGCACGACTGCTTTTCTGGAGGAGGAGTACCCGGGCATATTTTCACCCTTGAATTCTGGGAAGATCTGAAGACGATTATGAGTCCTGAAGGTGTCCTTGCTGTTGTAGGTTCCACTGACTGACTACGCAAGCCCTTATGATTGTGCTGAAATCCCTGCTTCATAGAACTTCGCAGGGAAGCTTGGTTCGGATGCATCCAGAGCGGTTTTAGTGACCCTCAAGAAAGCATTCCGACAATGTAGAGCTTTCCATGATGCTCTAGAACACATGTCTGATGAACAACTTCGCGCGGAGTTCATCAATATGGTGAGTTGACAAACTTTCATGCATCTCGTAAAAACTCTAGCTACACGCTCACACGCGCTGTCTCTCTTGCAGGTCTTTTTCTGCTCGATGTCGCCTCGACCACTCAACTTCCGGCCGGCGGTAGAAGGGGATTTTCTTAATTCGTATATGAGGCGGCACATCCTGTCATCTCTTCCTGAGCGTGAAGTAAACTTGACACAGATCACGGGATCGCTGGCTCCTGCCTCAGAGGACCTGTACGTGCTGACGGACAAGAGAAATATGTTAGATGAATGGCAGCACGACGAAGCACTGGAGCACTGGAAGTGTAAGCTTTATTTACTTTTGACTCTGAATAGGAAATGACTGAGGACAACGTTTCTTACCTTTCTATTTCGATTTTACGTTCTACCCTTTACAGTAATGAGGGAAGTGCTGCCAGACATAGTTTGGGAAACATATTAATACCAGCAAGGAAGGTCGTGTAACACTCAATCCGTGTGTCTTCTATATACCCGGCCAAAGGAGTTGAACTCTATGGAGTACCATGCTAGCGAAACGAGGATTGTAGCAATTGGCATATCGTAAAGGCTGACTCATCAAGGCGTAAAATACTGTTCATGCAATGTATAAAGGACGGAATGCAGTCAGGTTGTAACTTTAGCGGGCCGGCAATGCCAAACGTCGTTCAGGTTTTGCTTCCTACTTTATCTTCGCGGGAAATGTTATCTGAACCGTTATCTTGTCGACTCTTTACATAAATATATATAATAAGGAGGTCTCAGTGCTTCTTGGTTTGTGCGCTCATCTTCACAATGTTTGCAATTACCATCCGACGTAGCTTCGTCAATAACATCCTCAAAACTAGAAATCTTAGTACACTTGCCCAAGTCAGTGCAAAAGTGTATCTCGAGGCATATTTCTGAGCATTACGATCTTCCTTGTGTTTTAGGATGTTCGGTCAGACTCGACCTTCCGTATACCTCTAATCGACTTTTCAAACTTTCGAAATGCAAAGTCATACGGTGAAAAGCGTCGCGTTGCCGATGAAGTTGTCAACGGATTCAAAGAGGTTGGATTTGTCTACTTGACAGGGCATGGCATTCCCAAGGAGACTATAGATCAGGCATTTTCTCAGGTGCTTTTTTTGTTCATAACGGTTGATATATGTTAATTATCTTAGGTTATGTTCGTCAGAGTGCAGCACTCTTTCGTCTCCCTGCCCAAACGAAGGCGAGCTCATCTGGCACATGTAGAATTCTCATACATCCTCAACTGACACTACTTTCAACCAGGAAACAATCGCCTGGGACGACCCCCGTGCAAACCGTGGCTATGTCAAAATTGGCCGCGAGCGAGTAACCCAGTCTGCTGATGCGGAGGAAATCGCAGCTCTCCGTGCTCAAGCACCTGATTTCAAGGAGACTATGGAAATTGGCCGTGACTGGGATCCTGTATGGAAGAATAAATGGTCACAGGAAAAGAGTGTTCCAGGATTCAAGCAAACTATGCTCAGCTTCTTCCAGGTATGTGATACCATATTCATCTTACTCGACAGATATGTTAGAATAATCCCGTTGTTTTTAAAAAAGACGTGCCACGAGCTTCATAGCATCGTGATGAGATCTGTAGCTCTTGGCCTCAACCTTGATGAAAATTTCTTTGATGATAAGATCGATGAACAGTGTCATAATCTCAGACTTTTATCTTATCCTGCCGTCCAGCGCTCCCTTCTTAGCAAAGAAGGTCAAGCTCGGGCGGGGGCGCACTCAGGTATGCATGGCCACTCACATGCAGTAGAATTTGTTCAGAAGTTATAATCATGGATTCGCAGATTACGGCACTCTGACTTTACTCTTTCAAGACTCAGTAAGTGAATATATATTTGTATATATGTTTAATAACTATTGATTTCTACTCGAGGTGGGTGGTTTGGAGGTACAAAACCCTCATACAAAGCACTTTCAGCCAGCAACTCCTATAGTAAGTATCCCATCTTAGTTTACGCTATTGCAAGTAACTCGTATTTTCTCGGACGCAGCCCGGAACGATCGTAATTAACGCAGGAGATCTCTTGGCCCGGTGGAGCAATGATGTCTTCCGCTCAACGCTGCACCGTGTCGTTGCACCTGCAGCTCAGAAGATCAGCAATACTGAGAGTATGACGCCCTCTCGCCAATCCATAGCGTTCTTCTGCAATCCCAATTTCGACACCAACATCGAGTGTTTACCGACGTGCACCGATGCTCTCAGACCAAGCAAATACGACCCAGTCACGACAGAACAGTATATTGTTGGAAGGCTGGCTGCTACTTATTCTTGAACTCTGTTACGGGATGTATTAGATTCTCAATGAACGAATGTATCCTTGGCATATATCCTGTGCATACAGTTTCTCAAAATATAAGATAGCTTATTTCAGTATTTCGACATGACCAAATATCGTACATCTTAATCTTATGGCAACAATATGATCATATGAGAACCAAGCAGAGGGCGAACAATGCAAGGGTGTCGCTGCTATATTACGTGTACAGATGCATTGTAGTACATGTGTTCGATATAATATATATGTCTAAATAATGGCTTTATGCCTTCTTCCTGAACATGCCCAAAGTATGTTGACCTCCGCAAGCAACTGCAATGGCTTGCCATGAACCTCCTTCTTTGCGGACCACCTCGATAGGGGTTTCTGCTTCCTTTTCACCAACGCCTAGTTCTCCTTGCGTTTCCTCCCCCCATGCATATAGTGCACCTCCTCGAGTAATCACCATATTGTTATGCGTCCCGACCGAAATGTGTATAATTGGGTCACTCTTGTCCGGGAAATCGATCTCCATGGGCTCATCAATACAGTCTTTGTGAGGACGATCTCTGAACTCGGCATTATCATCCTTGTTGAGTCCAAGCTGATTACCATCGCATCTCCCGCACGCATACACCTTCCCTGCAGCTGTCAGGAACAGTGTATGGTGCTCGCCTCCCGCAATCTCTACAACGGTATCACCCTCAAGAGCCTCCTTACTGAGAGCAGGAATCTTTTTTGGTGAACGGACTTCGTCCGATGCTGATGGTGGATCGAAAACGCCGGTGCCGGTTTGACCCATAGTATTTAGACCCCATCCCCAAACAGCCCCCTCTTCATCCACTGCAAAGGAGCAATAGTTCCCTGCACCCACGAGCACAGCTTTGTTTGATCGATTACCAAGAATGATTTTCTCAGGAACTGTGCCGTGGATCTTGCGGCGTTCGAGAATCTTGCGACCAAGCTGACCCTGCTCGCCTGCACCCCACGCATAAACATTTCCGTGTGTGGTCAATACCACCAAGTGGTTGTTTCCCGATGCTACAGACACGGCTTTCTCGTCGTTTGGTTTCTGACCATAACCTAAAATAGGTTTCGGCAGAAACTGGTGTTTTTCTTCTCCCGAAAAACCAAGAGCACCTTCAACAGCCTTTGAAGCAGTATAAGTTTCGTCGGTTTGATGTATATTGTGCTAAATACTCACTCGGAATGAACCCCACACTCGCAACTCCCCCTCGGAGCTGATGGCTGCCGAAATACTATCTCCAGCAGCTATCCGAACAGCGCGGAATTTCTCGTCGACTAGAGACTGAAGAGGATATGGAACAGCAGTCAGTTCGTCGATATCAAGGAATGATCCTGGTTTGTTTGGGTCGGGCACATCCTTCGTGACGCGACCTAGGGCTGCGTCGTCGTTAACACCACATGACCATATCTACGTAACATATTATCGTTAATTATTCTGGGAAGATAAGAGACAAACGTACAGTGCCGTTCTCATCAATAAAGAGAGTATGTAAGCCACCGGCTGCGACAGCCTCGAGACCAGCCCCATCACCGCCAAAAGCGCCTTCCTGCATCTTAGTTTCGATCCAAGCACTCTTTTTGGGCTTTGCGAACTCCCCCAGCAAGTCAGCGCCCATACCGAACTGACCGAAATTACCTGCACCCCACACGAACAGCTGACAGCCGGGGTGTGATTTCTCGGGAGGAGTTGGAAGAGGATTGAAATAGGGTTTCCGTGGTGCTGCTTCTTCACGCACTGTAGCGAGACCATTCACCTTTGAATGTTTGGCCAGGTTCAGAGTTTGTGTTACTTTTTTCGTGGATGCAGGCTTTGATGCGACTTTTTTAGTATGTTCGGTTTGCGGTTTTTCGCTTCTTGCTCTCGAGCGCTTGGCTGGCGGGGGAGATGGATCTGGTGAAGCTGGGCGCTTGGTCGTACGACTCGCCGTACGCGCAAGAGGTTTTGGTGCCTTTGCAGCCTTAGCTGCTGCCTGTTGGTCTGGCTTCACGGAAGCAGCACGGGTAGACCTTCGAAGAGGCGGATTAGACATGTTGGGAGTGGGATGACTGGGGACGGACAAGAGGGGGGGTCTCCGTTTTGACTATTGCAATGCCCTTATATACAAGAGGACAAAGCAAAGGTGGTGGTAGTGGTGGTTTGAAGCAAAGAAATGCGATGGGCCCCTGCACACCCAAGGACCAACAAGGTGTCCAACTGTGCTTTTTCAGGCGTGGAAAAGAGTGCATAGATCACATGACTAAGCGCGTCTGTGGCTGATGTTGCTCTTTGTTTATATGGGAATCAGCTCTAGTTTTAGATAGTGGCCTGTGCTCTCCGTTACTCAATACAGTCACATTAACACTGGCTCAGAGAGGCTTACCGTATCCATATCATATCCGCCGACGTGCACTCGTTTTCAATGTGTTGATTAGGCTCTCAGGGTGTTTCGCTAGAGCCGCGGGAACGTGTCGTCACGTGCTACTGATTTTTCTGCCGTTCTTCAGAACCGTGTCAGCAGACTCTTGCACTTTTCTTGAATTCCCTGTACATCCACGGACGTCCCTTGGGGGAAATGCACATCGAATAAGCTGATTTTGCGCTGTCCGTAAGCATGTGAAGCCTGTGACTATACTGCATTTACATATGCTCTCTAGTCCATATCAGCACACTCGTCTTTCAAGTTCGTCATCGTTAACAGGTCCAATGTTCTCGCAAATATGTCGAAGGAGTCGAACGCATATTCAGATTGTATGGTCACGAGCTACTTCATGCTAACGGGGTGTTCATTTATACTTTCCAGAGGGGTTTGCATAAAGAGCGATATCAGTCATTCGTTCCCCATAATATTCTTCGAAAATCAGAAGATGTGGGTGTGCGGCCAGGTGGTGAAGAGTAAGCCAATATATACGTTCACCATGTGCAGACTGTAAGTGCTCTTATCGGATGTTTCTAGATTTACAGTTGTGAACCCTGCAAACAACGAGGTGCTTTGCACGTATGTGGCCCCTATGTCATACAATATGTTTGCAGCCTTTTGAATGTATGTCTTTCAGCGTCCTATCACCGTCCTCAGAAGATGTAAGAAAGGCGGTAACTCACGCTCATGAGGTTTACATGTCTGGAGTCTGGTCAAAATCATCAGCAATATTTCGTTCTAAAGTCCTCTCACGTCTGGCATATATGCTGGAGAATCAGATTCCCGACATAGCTCGCATAGAGGTCTTGCAAACAGGTAGAGCCATACGAGAAATGAATGCTCAGATGAGTAGACTCCCTGAGTGGCTGTAAGTGGATTGTCATGAATTATCTTCTTCATTGAGGATCACGGACTTTTCACAGCCATTATTATGCCGCATTACTTCGGACCCATCAGGGTTATGTGGCCCCTACTCAAGGAAAGCTACTAAATTATGTTCAGCGAGTACCTCTCGGTGTGGTTGCACAGATAACTGTAAGCACAAGCCCAAAATGTTTTGCCCTTGCCTCACATCAAAGCGTAGCCATTCAACCACCCATTGTTTATTGCTATGAAAAAGATAGCTCCAGCTCTCGCTGCCGGTAACAGTGTCATAGTGAAACCATCAGAGGTTCATTTCTCTATATTGACAATACTCTCGTGCTGACCTGATTATGAAAATCTAGCTTGCGCCCATCTCGGTTCTTGAATTTGCTGAGATGGCAGCTGAAGCCGGGGGTGCGTTCTTTATTCATACCTCAGGATCGTTTTTTGATCTGAACCATTTTGCTAGTTCCTTCTGGCGTTCTCACAGTCCTTCCTGGTTTTGGGCCTACTACAGGAAAAGAACTGGTTTCGCACCCTTTGATCCGCAAAGTTGACATTACTGTAAGTTAACTGGTCGATTATCTCCTGAAAGCACCGTCATCAGAATTTTCGCATCAGGCTGGTACATCGACGGGCAGAGCTTTAGGAGGCGTTGTTGGCTCAAATCTTGCTTCCTACACTGCCGAGCTAGGAGGGAAAGTCAGTCAAAAGACAAATGTGCTATGGTATATCCTGAAATATTCCTCACTCAGGCTCCAATTCTCGTGTTTGATGACGCAGATGTACAGTCCGCCGTTAACGGTGTTGCATTTTCGGCATTTATCGCCTCAGGGCAAACATGTGTTTCGGGGACGCGAATTATCGTCCAGGACAAGATCTACGATGCTTTCATGACCGGGTTTCTCGGCAAAGTCGAAAGCATCGCGAACAGTATGGGAGATCGTGCGTCATCTTGATCGGTATCGATATATGTGAATGACTTTTTTTTTGCCTCGTGAAGCTTCTAACCCATTATGCTCAATGGGGTCCATCATTTCTCATCGCCATCTTGAGCGTATCGAGCGTATGGTCGATTCACGGACCAATGGCACTATCTTGGCTGGTGGTAAAAGGATGGTGGGCAGATCTTTACTGGATGACTTCGATTTCTCCCGTGGCAGTTTCTTCGCGCCCACGGTTATTTCGGAAGTCGACACCAAAGACGAACTCTGGCAAGAAGAGATATTTGGCCCAGTAGTGGCGGTCGCAAGATTCTCAGTGAGCAGCACTGTGATATGGAATACATTATTCTACATGTGACGCTTATTCTGGTGCTTATAGGACGAGGCCGAGGGGGTTGCCTTAGCCAATGCATCTAGATATGGTCTTGGAGCAGGTATATGGACGACAAACTTGTCTCGGGCACATCAAGTGGCAGCCGACATCGAGTCTGGCCTTGTTTGGATTAATGCTCACCACAGGAATGATCCTAGCTCTCCTTGGTATGTTGAATAAATATTTTGCATCCCACACTATCTCATGTAGTAATTATTAGGGGTGGCATGAAAGAGAGCGGGATTGGCAGGGAGAATGGAATTGAGGCTTTGGAGTCATGTAGGATATTTTTTTTTCTCGTTCAGTGTCTTGGCTGACTTGGGATCTTGATCTTGTAGATTCTCAAAGTAAATCTATTATTGTGAATACAGCCAGCTCTGAGGAAACTAGGCAAACCGATGATTGGTTTACTGAAAGCGGAGATACAAAGCGGTATGGATGAGCGCAAGTTGGTCTAGTAGTGACCACGTTATCAAATTTGTACTAGTCGTTAAAGCACAAGCCAATGTGAATAACCTGAATGATGAATTAATGTTTTGAGAGTACAAGTTACATGCATACAACACAGCTAACACTACAAGCATCCGAATGTCCAAAGAAATATCCAAATCATAGCTGAATTCTAAGCAGTAGTTTTGATAGCTTCTTTGGCAGATGGCTGTGGAGTAATGTTACTAATTGCATCCGCAAAAATATAGGAGTTCCACCTACCTCACTCAACTCTACTGGGGGCTCGTCAATAAAGTCAGGAGTTTTATTGAGGTCTGCCAAATATGACGTGCTCTCTTCCTCATCTTCAAGTGCCAGGGCATCCAGTTCTAAAAGTATTTCAAGCCCTGTTACTAAACGTTTTGCGGACACGAAGTAGATTAACATACCAGCTTCCAGGTCAGCTTCATCTAGCTCATCTGGAACAGCATACGATCTGCCCAAGGACTCTTGGACTTCATTCGCCTGCTCCAATAAGTCTTCCATTTCATATTGTATATTCTAGAAAATTCAATCTCAATATCATTGGTGCCGCATGCCACAGCCAACGAGACATCACCTCGATTTTGTTGATGTCTATCTTTCCATATTGTTTTTGCAGTTCCTTATTGGCAGATTTCATTGCATCAACTGTAGCCATGGTGTTCCGTAGGTTCTCTGTGGCGATCGCTGCTGACTCCATGTTGAAACTTTGCTGAGCGAGCTGATTCAGCTGCCCCTCATACATGCGTTTCTGCTGCAACGTCCGAAGGGCACGTTGCTGGATAGCATTCTGTAAATTACAACATGAGTTCACTGCGCACTGCGATGACTGTAAAATCGCGAGTCACGTACTTTGCCAGGTCCGTTGCGGAGTTTGCTCATTTGTTCCTTGTATCGCGCTAACTCGCCATCTAATTTCTTGATCTTTACCTCGATAGATGCTATCCGAACATCGGTCTGCCATGTGTTCCGGATGGTCAGCGCTAAAAGAGCAATATAGACCCCTACGAGCTCACCGAGGAGATGGCATCTTGCAACGTTGGTTTTGGTTTCTTACTTGCCGAGGATCCAAATATGCGATTCATTTCTTGAACTTGAGGGTTATGATGGGATGTAGTCAAGATTGCAACAGTACCCGTACTTTGGACAAGAAACTCGGAGACAGGCCCTGGCTCCTACCGTAACGCCACGCAGTACTGATACCGCAGTCTAATGATTACTGCAACCAAAAAAGGCAATCGTTGGGGATGTCCGGGGTCCCTTTGAGGGTCCACCGCTCGAAGGAACCGTGACAAGGAAAGTTTCTAGCTATGGAGAAAACAAGAATATTCGAGCCGTGCGCTAAAACTGCTACTGCAAATGGGCGCCCGTCAAGCCATTTCAGTAACCAGTATTTACTGTACTACGGATAGTGCATAGAAGGCTGAGGCACCATGAGCCAGCAAGAACAGTGTTCGATCTTCAACGTAAGTAAAAATTCTCCTTATCTCTGCACGGTCCCTGTGCTCAAGTTGTGTATGTCTTTATATCTTAATTGTCGATCGTAAACTGCCCTACTAAAAAACTCAGGGTCGCTGCACAATAGTATGTAAGTGTCTGCAACCACTTGCCAAGGTTGTACTGGTCGTATTAGCTACCATGGCGATCTCAGCAAATGTACCGTTAGGAAGGCTGCAGGAAGCGGACGCAAGCTAAGTCAGGATGCAGGTGTGCAGTGTGCAGTCCCCAAGAGTCACTTACCCGATGATAATAATGATAGTGAAATCGAATAGGAACTCGGTTTACGCTCCACTCCCTAGACGCGGACTTCATACTCAGCGAGAGCACGTTTGGAAACACAGCGACTCGGTTCGTTATACCGGGATGCGGTAAGTACAATACGCTCCTCGAGGGCAAACCATTTTAGATTCAAGGTATGTAGCCGCTTTGCGTATGACACGAGAACATGACACAGTGATGGGATTCGTAGCCAAAGGCGACGTGAGTGGCTGATGTCAGCGCGTTTAGAGCCCGAATCAATCAGGTGGTTTTCCTGGAACGTAAACGGAGGTTTTTCTTCCTTCTTTACGTCTGTTTGATGGAAGACCAATGAGCCAGGGAAATAAAATTATAAGGTGCGTTCAGTGGCAACTCGGACTCCATAATATTACCCCTTCAATACCGTCTGATCAGATCACAAGCAAGGACATGCACTGCCCTCCAAATGCACCGGCAGTATGAGCTGGCATGAGTTCCGCAAAATTCCGGATATTTTGGCTATCTCAAGGAGAATTCGGTTAAGTCTAACCCTTGAATTATGCTAAGATAGTAGGTTGAAACAAGTCAACAAAAGATCGTATATGGGATCCAAGTATGCACAGTTGTGTGGGCGTATGCGTATCAAGGTTTATCGCAGCCGACAGATGTCGTGTTCGCAATACAGGCTACCCTTCACACTACCTATTTGCGTCGTTGTCTTTCAGAGTGCTGGAGAATGAACGCTGTACCTTTTCACTGACAGACCCTGATCATGATGGTAAGTCTCAGCAGTCCCAACAAGGGAATCTCTCATTTTATTTTCTCCGAATCAACCTTCTTCTCTCCTGCCTTGTGCTTGCTGGGGGCCGATGGCTCCTCACAATATTTTATCCACGAGCCCTCATGTTATTTAACGGCTGTTATCCTGTTCTCGAAGTCAGGCGCCTCCAGGCATCATGTCTACTTTTTTCCCCCACGTCAATATTTCAGCTCTCGAAAAGTTCGCCTCTGCCACGGCTGCAGCTGAACATCCCTCCAGACCTGCCTCAGGAAGTGGTGGCTTCAAAAAAGCAGCTGTAAAGCTGAAGCCCGAAGTATCTAATTGTGAAGATGTGGTGTGGGCCGGGGAGAAGGTGGGCCGTCGTCGTCGCATGCTTTACATCCTCTGACTGTTTGAATCCAACAGATGATTCTGATCAGTTTTAATCGGACCACTTTACCACTGGGCCCTTATTGCATGCTAGCCCATTTTCCAAAAGGTCGTCCTCACCTAACGACGCAGGCCCTGGTAAGAATCTCAGATCTAATTCGGTAGCAAGGTGCGTACTCACTATGATATCCACATAGGTTGGGATGACTGCCACTGTACGGAGTCATGAAGAGAAAATAGAAGCTCCGAAAATATATGCCTATAAAGACTTTCTACCGAATGATGTTGGTGCAGAGGTGGTGCTTCTCGAAAAGGTGGGGTATTATCGCTTTATTTCTTCACGGGTTCACCGTGCCTCACTCACTTGTCCGAATCTAGGTGCCCGGAGACTCTCTGGACACAATATGGAGAAGACTGTCGCCTTTCCAAGAGATGAAAGTCTGCATAAAGTTGACCGAGCTGCTCTTATCGATGTTCAACCTTCGTGGCTCGCTCATCTGTACAGACTTGCAAGGGACGGATATCAATACCAGGTCAGCTAGTGCCCTTCCTCAGGACCAGCAGCCCAGGAGGCAATACCAGCCTTCAGTCCTTTTGAGCCGACCATTCAATGATCATCCTCTGGACAAGATAAGCCCACAGACTGGTCTGTCGACGGCGGCCGACTACCTTGCATCCTTGGGATATCGCGCTGAGCGAATATTTAGCTCAAGTGAATTCAATCAAGTGGCGCGGGACACAGGATATCCAGAAAACCCACCTTTGTCTGATGAAGACGTGGTCCTGATAATAGAAACGTTCAAACGATACAGGAGCCTCATTCCTTATCACACTGGTGGCTTTTATATCCCAGGTACCCTCTCGGCACCAGCCCGTGAGTTGGCCTACTCTGTACTTCAGAGTCGCCACTTCGGAATCTACCATGGCGACATGCAGATGTCACGATTTATCGTGCGCTTCACAGAGATTGTGGATAGCCCGGACATGGAAGTCACCATGACGCTCACTGGCTGGGAACATGCCTTCAGGGCTCCACTTTGGTCCTGCGCTCGCATGCCGCCATGGCTGAACAACCGCTTCATCAATGACGAGCCGGTTACATGGGAGCGGCAGCAGGAATTGCGGAGACTCATCTACTTTTTGATGAACGATCCCAGAATACTCCACCATCCTGTACATCCCAGCTGGGAATGGGTCGTGGCATACACCTATGGAGTCCCGGAGCGCTGGTTTGAGGGCTGTCTGAGTTCCCATTGGATGTTTAGAAATTCCCTCGAAGTTTTATTAGTGAGGCTCAAGACTTACTGGGAGAGTTGGCGCCCCGACATCCAGTTCCCTCTACCCGTTGGAGTTGACTATCGGCCTCCGACTGAAGCTTCAGTACTTCCCCCCGCCCCAGGGGGAGAAGAGCTCAACAGTAATGACTCACTTTTCGACGAAACTGACAAGGCTTTGCTAGAAGCTGAGGCCAAAGCCAATGAGTAGGAAAGTGTAATACCAGCACAATGACGAGCAACTCGAGCTTGTCTTCTAATTTGTATCGTTAACGCCCATGTTTTCCCTTTGTACCTTGTAATTGTCCTTGTTATCTTGTATTGTGATATGCCTGCATCTTGTATTTGGTAGCTTCATTTCACCAATTGCATTAGTGCGATTGTATTCTAGCATGTGTGCAAGCACGTTCTTACGAGTCATCTGACAGCCTATCTAGCATATATTATCATTTAGTAAGTAGCCCATACAAGAGCCGACGAGAACTGTGATATCATAAATTTTATAGTACACAGCGTCCTGATCAGATCACATCACACACAAAAAAGCCCTATCTACTATGATCCGTTGAGCTAGTACCGTAATTCGAATTGCCCTTCAATCGAAGACAGTTCTCGCCGGAAGATTTCGGTCGTAAGTGTATTTTCAATCCATTACTAGAACAAAAGTGTGATACAAAACTAAGCGCAAGTACAAACTAAGATTTCACCTATCCTAAGATAGAAAGCCACGAATCGCTCCTCCTACGTTCAAGACGTCTAAGCTGGATTAGTGCATTGGGTAAGCCTTTCAGAAGCATACATGGTTCACGTAGAACTCACAGGAAAGTATCGTGTCCCCACACGCCTCCAAGTTCGTAATAACTTACTTGTTCGTTTCCTGCCATCCGCAGAGCATCGGCAACTTCTCGCTGTTGTTCAACAGGGAACAAGATATCGCTCTGCACACCGAGGATGAGAGTGGGTGTGTTCGCAAGAGGACCAAGGCCTTCCGCGAGGTCCGGAAGGTGTGGAGGCGGATTTGTCGGAGGAGGGTGTGACTTCGAGTGAGAAGTTTGCGTGGGAGTGAAGTGAGACATATGTTGAGTAGAATCGGTCCGAGGCTGTGGCGGAACAAGATTCAGTTCACGAAGAGCTGGGAGGGTCATATCGAAGAGATCCATTGCTTTTGAAATATAGATCAGGGAATTGGCGTCATACTTTAGGCAGAATTGCTCGCCCTTCCGGGAGTCAGAGGTCAGCAGGAAGTTCACAATTACAGTTCTATTAAATTAAATTTGCAAACCTGATGGTCCAGATAAGTTTCTATGAGAAAGTCGGGGCAAAGGGCTGGTATACGGGGCAAATTGAGATCAGAAGACACACTTGAGGACGAGACCGGCGTTTCTGGTGGCGGTAATTGGCGTAATTTGCGCCCAAAACGTTGATCCCACTCAGGTCCCGAACGATATGTGATAGTAGCAATTTCTGATGAATAAGGGTTTGTAAAAAATGAATTATAGAGCGTTAATAAGATTTAACATACGGCGAGCGAGTTTCATTCCTGTGTGGGGAGGTAGACCATCATAATAGAAACCTTTGTTCCAATTTGGATCAGCCATGAGAACTACACGATATATAGACATGAGCATCAACAAGAAGAAGCTGTCACAAACAGCTTACCGCTTCTTTGGGCATAACGCATGGCAATACTTCCTGGGCTACTACGGGCAGCGCCGCTTATACTGGCTACCTTTCCGACACGCTCAGGATACAGCCAGCCAACCGCAAGACTCTGCATTGCACCCATTGAGGAACCCACACTAGCATAAAGTTTATGTACGCCAAGATGATCTAGCAAGCAAAACTGTGCGCGGACCATATCGAAAATCGAAACTACAGGAAACCTGGTAGCATAACGCTCTCCAGTGGAGGGATCGACGGATGAAGGGCCAGTTGTTCCATAGCAGCCTCCCAGAACGTTGGTACAGATGACAAAGAATTGGTTAGTATCCAAAGCCTTGCCCGGGCCAATGAACTTTTCCCACCAGCCATCCGCGGGATTAGCAGGAGTTGATGCGGCGTGTGAAGAGGCAGATAGACCCGTGTGGAGAAGTATGACATTGTCTTTATTGGGCGAAAGAGTGCCCCAGGTCTCATAAGCAATGTCCACAGACGGAAGTGGAGAGGCGTAAGTCAGTGGCAAAGGCCTTTCATGGTGGTAAACGTTGTAAGATAGCGGGTTTGGACGAGCATACGGAGGTTCGGGACCGGACTCTGAGGACAACTGTGGTTTAAAGTGAGACAATTTAGGAGCTGATGAGGCGATAATGCGAGACTCCCGTGCAGCGTGGGCGTCTACACAAGGAAAAGATGGGTTTGGAGATGAAGAGCCAGACGCTGGAAGGCAACTGGAGGACGATGCGCGGAGAACACGCGTGTGCGGTGAGGGTATAATAGCCCGTCTCGCTAGACGCAAAATGGACTGCTTTTGAGGGGCACAATGCATACTGATGGTGGTGGTCCTGGAGAGAGAACGGTCTCGTCGATGGCAAGCGTAATTAGCAAGCAAGCACTGTATTGTATCAAGGCCATGGCTGTATTACAAAAGGACTTGTGTCGAGAGAATGGCGAATAAACCCTAACCAGCACTGTGACCCTAACCCCAGCTTGGGTGTAGATTGTTCCCACGATAGGCGTGTTTTCGCGTTGGCAAGGGAAGAGAAACGAGTGCAGTGCGGCTGACCGTTGTTCTCTCTTTAGGATCCAACCTGGAACGTGTTTGTTGGGCGCTGGGCCACTTTTGCAGCAAGTCTTGTTATCCTGTGACATCGGGATATGACAGTAGGCTTGCCCTCTTGTGCGTCCTTGTGCTCCCTTGCTCGCTCCGCCAGCACGCCCTCCACGTCTGTCCCCGGCTGTTCAGATCTGCAAGCTCATCGTAAACGCTCACGTACGTCGTCGCGCAAACCTCACGGCCCCAGTCGCAGCCTAAGCCTTCTCAGTAAACTGCCGAGGGATGTGAGTACTCTGCTTTCAACGTGTTTCTTTGGTTTATATATACGTCGATCGTTCTCATGTGCCTTACTGCCAACACGTGTTTGCCTTTCTCCAGCTTTCCTCGCTCATTTACTCTCACAACGGCAGCCAACAACGTTCACCTGCGCTCCTAGCCAAGGTTGTTCTTACTCTCTGACTTCCTGTGAAGACAGCTAGCTTAGTCTCTCTTCAGGATTCACAATCGCTGAGCGCACAGCCTCTTTCAGAAGGTTATGCTAATTCTCAGCACAACGAAGCAAGATTGCCTTTAGCAAATAAAACAACAATGTTTGCTCCTCAACAGAATATCCAATCGGTCAGGAAAACCGAAAACAGAGTACGAATTATCGTCTCTGTGTTTAAATTCTTGCACGCGACTGACGCGTGATATTCCATAGATCTACAGCTTCTTTCGTTCACGCTCAAGGTCAAGGTCAAACGGTGAACGATTTGTATCAACCCCAGTTGGCCCTGTCCCCCAAGTTCCGAGTCCTTTGATCGGCCACGGACGCCACTCGAGCTTAGATCCTGATGTTCATGAGACTTATTCGCAGATCAAAACGTCTCCAAAACCTTCCACTCGGTCCCAGTCTCGCCCCATTTCCTCTACTACGACAGCAACCCACTCTACCATCACACCACTACCATCAGACTCTCGAATTCATAGAAGATATCGTCCTGATCCCCTCTATGTCACTTCACCATCGTCAGTGTGTGTTTCTGAGAGCTCTCATGACCCTCACGATGTTGTAATTACTCGAGAAAGGTCCGATATTCCTTCATCTAGGCCCTCATCTGCTCGACGGAAACTGCACACATTTTTTGGCATCTCACTGACTACTCCACGTAAACTATCTTTTAATTCCCGCCCCACTTCACCAAAGCTCCCTGACTATCCGCCGCAACCTCCACCGCACTTGTACTTCACGTCACCTCCGAATAACGTAACAACAGACCTGAATACTCCGCCCTACCCGTCGCTACATCAGGATGACCCACCAGCTCCTTCCCGTCCGACTAGTCCATCTCTGTCGTTCAGAGACAAAGGGAAAAGAGCGTGGCTTCCTCCTAAGTTTCGCTCGGCGTCAGATCCGTCGTCTAAATCAACTGATAGCCACTTTGCATCAAGGCCAAAGTCCGACTTCATCTCCAGCTCAGCCCCCTCGCCCTCATCTCCCATCTCCCCATCTTCTAGCGCTTACATGGCTTTACTAAGCGGTGATCATGTTGCACTGATACCTGATAGTCTGCCTGATATATTGGAAGGATCTACAATGGGGCCTACCCTAGTTGCCCCGAAGCCACTTAGAGCCGCAAATGTTCCGCAAATCATACACACACCACCGACCCCGCAAAGAGCGGCCACATCTCCTCCACGACTCATCGATAGGAAAGAAATGGATGAGGCATATCGTCTCTTAGCAGTTGCAAAACACCAACAGTCCACCGGTCACAGACAAGGTGCGCAAGACCAAAATGTCGAACAAACTCGTGTGGAAAGAGATGGACGCTGGTCGCCATTAGGATTTGCCTCCCCAAGACTGTTTGGTGGCAAAGATCTTGACAAAGAGAAGGGAAAGGATAAAACAAAGTCACGAACAAAAGGAGGCTTTGGGTTGGATAGAGTCAGTTCTCCTGTTGACGGGCGCTCTAACCGTGAAGGATCGGTTGTTGTTGGGCCACCCAAGAATATGAGTAGAAGAATCAAACACGGGAGTTTTGATTTTGAACGCCCTATATCTGGTGGGAGTGGATTGAGTAGGAACGGCTCAATTTTACAGCTTGGCTTGTATCCAAATAGAAATGGTTCGCGAGGGACAGTCCTCGAACGAACTACATCTTCAAATTCCCGAAAATCTCGAAAGAACGGCGATGGACGACAAACAACACCGCCATCGACATCACCCAGATCGTATCAATCAACTTTGCCCGATGCTCCCATGCCACCCCCGCTGACTCCAAACCACACAGGCGCCTCTGTCGCTTCTTCACACGCTCAATCATTCTCTACGACGCAGTCTAAATCGAATGTGTCCTCAGCATCTAAGCCCTCAGGTTCGGGTTTAACTTCAAGCCTGGGTCGGACAGCAGGAAAGCGTGCTCAGCGCATTTCGGTAGGACTTACACATGGCTCGTTCGCCTTTGAACCTGCCGCGCCATCTCCAACGTTAAACGAATTTGGGAGACAGGAAAACAGCAGTGGGGATAGTAGCAATAGTCGCCACAGGAGGGGCAAAGGACGATCATTAGATCTGGGACTTGGCCTGGCATGGGCACCTACCAAAATGCGAGAAGATGCTATCATGCCATCTTTCGTGAACACCAGAGGGAGAGCCAGAGCTTCCAGGAGACAAGGGCAGGGACGACCCAAAGCTGGCTCTGACGTATCAGAAATATTCAGGAACGTGTTATCAGAAACGGCTTACGCATCATTCAAAAAATGTAGGTTATCATTATCCCGTCGGGGCTATTTTACTGTACTAAAACGCTGCTCGATCAGATGTTCACCACTTTGACGCACATGCAATCCCGTTTGAGGGCCCAACAGGGCTGCTTGCGCGCGTTGAAAAACTCCTCAACGCCGCTCCAGGTCTCAAAGAGCAAGAAAAGCGCGAGCTTCTAAGCTCGTTTACGCGATTCGTTCAGCAAAACTCATGATCTAGGTATATGCAGACGTATGGGGAAGCGTTGTATGCTAGATGAGTAATTTCTTATGATATATATCTCCATCTTTCATATCTAGTAGATTTGTTTATTGTGCTTGCATTTCAACATAGTAGTAGTAGTAGTACCAACTTCGTCTCTCTCACTGTAATCTTCTTCATTTCAAGATATTCTTCCCACTTTTTCTTGGTTATAATTCAACCTCTTCATGTGACGACTAGCAACATCTCCTTCCTTTTAATAGTCACAATGTTTTCTACGCATTACTTCACGAGTTGTGTTTCTATTCATGATTGGTTCATGAGAAAGTACGAGGTGGTTGTGCATGATTCAGAGACAATATGTTCGCACTCGATTTGCTGATAATAATCGTCCATGAAAAATATATCCAAATGTGGTACAATCTCATACAATAAAGTTGTGATACAACACAAGTCCCAGGGATTAACCATAACTACAAGATTCGATAAGTGTATTGGCATTTATGTGGCAGGCCTTAGGGCTCTTAATCTCTCCGCTAGCTTGTCATCTTCCTCACCAACCTTTTCACCTTTACTTAGATCAGCAACAGCCGATAGGTCTTTCTTCGCAAGATCGTGTTGAAGTTCGATGTTTGCCTCCTCCGCAGTTTGCCGCAGTAATGAATCGATTTGGTCTTGAGGAGTCGAGACGGCAGTTGTGCTAGACATTGCATCTTCCATATACGATGTTTGAACATCGAGGTCGGAAAATTGAGACTCGAATTTGTCCATGACAAGAGATATCTTTAAGTGTTGAGATTCAGCGTCAATGTAGTTGCGCGAGGTGTGAATTGTCCCCCTACCCGCTCTAAATTCATGCTGTCCATAGCCTTATCCATTCCCTTGACCACAGCGGCCATGTTCCCCGTTATCTGGCGCATAGTCACTGCTGTTTCTACTCGGCTTGCAACAGCATCTATCCGACTGGATAATCTGAGTAAATTCAGGGCTTCGCTCTTCTTTCTGATGGCGTTTGATGCATATATCCGAGCTCCGTCATTGTTTCCTTGTTGTAAAGCCTGTAAAATAAGCTGATGTGAGTGTTCATTGACAGTAGATGGTGGATACGAACTTTCTTTAATCGGGTTTTCTCGGTATTCTCGTCTTTCTGGGCTTTCTTCGCCTGACGGCCGAGAGTCTTGGCCGTGAACTAAACATGGTTCCTCTGGTAAGTATCCTTCCCCGTATGGCTCCCAAGAAGCATATTCATACCTTAAGCTGGAATAAAGTCTCTGTGATATGTCAGATATATCCAGTGTACTGTGGAGTTGCCTGAGATGCTCACTTTCCATGTTGCTCATAATGCCAGAAATATGACTGAGGTATCGTACAGGTCCAACGACTTTGTGTTCAAGTTTGATATATGTAAGAGCTAAGGATCCACAGAACTGTATTCTGGTATCATGCCTCCGCCTTGTCACATGCCACCGCAACTTGGTTTGACTGCTCACGTGGCCACAGCCTTCACTTCCCCACAAGCGGACGCAGTCAAAAGTTCGAGTTGGCGGTGACCCACGAACTTGAAAAAACATCAGTGTACGGTCAGAGGGGCGCAGAAGAAAACAGGCCTTGTCATAATTTCGAAATTAGTAGCTTCAGAGGTTCCTTTTTTTTTGGTTGTCCCTCACTGGCATAATGTCATTGCTACATTATCTAAGGTAAGTACAACTTGCTTATTACTTTTGCTTGACACTGATGGGCCTAACTCATCGCTAGTTATGCTGCTATACTTTCAGCGTTTGCGTTTATGACACTTTCTCTCGGTTTGTCGTTTCTATTTGATGCATACCAGTCGCAATCATGACACGTCTTCTTAGCCAGCGGTTTATTATACATTTCCGAGCTCATAGAGGAGCACTCACGTCTCGCGAAAGTGGTTGGACAGCGGGGTATCTATGTACGTCCTTCTTCTTAATGGTAGTTTTTGATTTGCTGAGATGCTGCAATTACAGGCAATAATGCTTCTCCACTTTATATTATACTTCTCCGAATCGCTACCCCTACCTCAAACAATGTTCTCTGTTCTTTGTCACGTCGCGTACCTCCAAAATTTCTCCTCTACATGGCCTTTGATATCACTCACATCTCTATCTTTCGTCCTTTCGTGTATACTTGCTATCTCGGATCACTTCGTCTGGTTTTTTCATTTCGCTCGCATTACTCAAGAAGCGAGGCATTCATCTCACAAGTACCGTGGGCCAACTGAACATATCTCCCTCGCGTTCTCTGACATCGCGACATTCTTCGCAATATGTGTATGGCTTGCCCCATTGTTTTTGTTCTTGAGTTTGAGCGCGAATGATAACGCTTTGCCCACATCTTCAGGTAAGGGATGCGCCTTTTCGGACGCTTCTTTCTAACAATTTAAACAGGAATGCCAAGTACTCCTACTTCTTTGAGACCAACCGCGCCACCCTCGCATTCTTCGCTTTTTAAATCGCTTTTCAGCATACTCCCTGTGGGCTACATATCCAACTTACGCTTAAAATCCATGCGCAAAGATACGTCGGAAGGTATCATTGCACCACATTCTCCAAATACTCAGCGGAGAGCTTCGTCACCAATGCCATCTTCCCCCAATCCAGTGCAGTCAACAATGTACGGTAATATACGTTCGAGGACGCCGCCACGAAGCGCGACAATTCCACAAGACTTAGATACCAGTTACCTTTCTCCTGAAAATTTCCGACTAGGTTCGCCTCCCAAACGCTCTTCTGGTCCTCGAGTAATCCGCAGAGCAACCGGTGATGTTATAGGGTTAGGAACGAGACGGGTGGCGAGCAGTGCTTTGCGTGCTAGTCCAGATATTTAGTTAGGTATCAGTAGAAGGCATTAGTATCTTAAATTTTGCATACTCCCTTTCGCATTCATGGATCATATGCATAAACGAGTTTTGATTCTGACTAGTCATTAAGCAGATTAAATACTGCCAAACTGAATTGAAGCTTCGAAGCCTGAGCGCTGAGCGCTGTCAGTGGGTGGCACTGGCAAGCACGGGCATGAAAGGGTTCCAGCCAAGCCGGGAGAGGTATGATTCGTACACAAACAGCATAATTTCAGCCACCTGGCTGGGATACTTCAAATATTATGAATATATACTTTGTGATAGATTAACTAAAATTTTACCAATGTTTTGAGAAATAGCTGTGATGGTTTGTGCCTGACACATTGCTAGTTCTTTGAGAAGTCA